GAAGATCCCCTGGAGAAGGAAATGGCAACCCATCCAGTATTCTTGCCTGGAGAATCCCATGGACAGAGGAGCCTGCAAGCTACATGGCCCAGGGTCGCAAGAGTCGGACAAGACTTAGCAACTAAACCACCACCATGTTAACAATTTAAGATTACAAATCTCACTGCTGTGATATTTTTTAGGACATCGATTTACCACATAAATATGCACTATTTATAACAGAAATATTAAAGATGCTCATTAAATAAAAAAGAATTGAGTAAAAATCTATAAATGTAAATCACAGCATTTACATTTACATTGGCTCTTTAAGAAATTTAGGCATTACGTGACAGGAAGGCAGACTATTTGTTGAAATATCAATTTTCCTAAAGCCAATTAGCCAAATAATCAATTTGTTGAATGACTAACTTGCCAAGTTAGCTAAATTAAATTAATGTGGTTTAACATAAATATTTAGCAACTTGAACAAGACTGCTTCATTTTGGTTACTGATGACAACATATATAGAAAAATTATATACACATTTTTTATATTATGTGATATTCACAGTGTCACATATATATGGATATATTATGTACACATATATTTATATTTATATTTATATTTATACATGTGAAGCAAATGTCACTCAGTTGTGTCTGACTCTTTGTGACCCCATGACTATACAGTCCATGGAATTTTCCAGGCTCTCCTGAAGGCAGATTCTTTACCAGCTGAGCTGCCAGGGAAGCCCAATAAACCTGGAGTGGGGAGCCTATCCCTTCTCCAGTGGATCTTCCTGATCCAGGAATCGAACCAGGGTCTCCTGCATTGAAGGTGGATTCTTTACCAACTGAGCTATGAGGGAGTATTTATTACATACTTACATATATAGCTAACTTGTTACAAGACTAGGTGTACAGGAAGTAAAGATATCTGGGAGGGATGATTATAATCCCAAAAGGACCATGTGTGGTTAGCATAAATTAAGTAGAAAAATGAAATAAAACATAATATAAATGACCACTTTATATATTAAATACTGTACGCCATTTGCTGGTGGAGATACTCGAAGAATTTTATGAAAGAATCTTAAAACTGTTAAAAGTTTGGCAAACAGAAATAAATAAAATGAGGTCCTTAAACACTTTATTGATATATTGAAAAGTTAGAAAAGTTTTACTTTTTGTTATAAACAATATAGATTCTTCCTTCAAGAAAGTGTGCCTATTTCAACAACTCCTGATTAGAAACCACAACATCAGCATATGTCTGTAACAAGATTATTCACCTAATTCTAACTTATTTCATATTTTTTAATGATATTTTCTACTTTTTAACAGTAAAAGCATTTTAAATATCCTCTTTAGTATCTTTTAGCCTCTGCCTCATAGTCCATTTAAATTAAAAAATTTAAAAGCCTGTGCAAAAATCGGAATTTTGAATAAAATTGAATTCACTTTTTAGTGAGGTCATCTAAAATTTAATTTAGATTATTTTAATTTTAATTTGAAAGTGTCAGAAATAAATCAAAATTAACCAAACAATTCCATATAGAAATTCCATTATTTTTATTTTGGTTATTGATATTGAAATATATACTTCTACACGGTGGTTTTGTCACTAAGTAGTGTCCAACTCTTGCGACCCCAGGAACTGTTGCCTGCCAGGCTCCTCTGTCCATGGAATTCTCCAGGCAAGAATACTGGAGTGGGTTGCCATTTCCTTCTCCAATACGTCTACAAATTTCATAGCTAATAACCTAAAGTGAGCATTTTTGTTAAAACTGTTAATGACTGCTCTATTCCTCAGTGATCAGTGCAAAGAAATAGAGAAAAACAATAGAATGGGAAAGAGTAGAGATCTCTCCAAGAAAATTAGAGATACCAAGGGAACATTTCATGCAAAGATGGGCTCAATAAAGGACAGAAATGGTACGGACCTAATAGAAGCAGAAGATATTTAGAAGAAGTGGGAAGAATACACAGAAGAATTGTAGAAAAAAGATCTTCATGACCCATTTAATCATGATGGTGTGATCACTCACCTAGAGCCAGACATCCTAAATGTGAAGTCAAGTGGGCCTGAGGAAGCATCACTAGGAACAAAGCTAGTGGTGGTGATGGAATTCCAGTTGAGCTATTTCAAATCCTAAAAGATGATGCTGTGAAAGTGCTGCACTCAACATGCCAACAAATTTGGAAAACTCAGCAGTGGCCAAAGGACTGGAAATGGTCAGTTTTCATTCCAATCCCAAAGAAAGGCAAAGCCAAAGAATGCTCGAACTACAGCACAATTGCACTCATCTGGCATGCTAGCAAAGTAATGCTTAAAATTCTCCAGGCCAGGCTTCAGCAATACATGAACCAAGAACTTCCAGATGTTTAAGGTGGTTTTAGAAAAGGTAGAGAAACCAGAGATCAAATTGCCAACATCCGCTGGGTCACTGAAAAAGCAAGAGAGTTCCAGAAAAATAGCTACTTCTGCTTTATTAACTATGCCAAAGCCTTTGACTGTGTGGATCACAAAAAACTGTGGAAAATTCTGGAAGAGATGGGAATACCAGACCACCTGACCTACCTCCTGAGAAATCTGTATGCAAGTCAGGAAGCAATAGTTAGAACTGGACATGGAACAACAGACTGGTTCCAAATTGGGAAAGGAGTACGTCAAGGCTGTATATTGTCAATTAAATATTGCTTATTTAACTTATATGCAGAGTACATCATGCGAAATGCTGGACTGGATGAAGCACAAACTAGAATCAAGATTCCCGGGAGAAATATCAATAACCTCAGATACGCAAATGACACCACCCTTATGGCAGAAAGTGAAAAACTAAAGAGCCTCTTGATAGTAGTGAAAGAGGAGAGTGAAAAAGTTGGCTTAAAGCTCAACATTCAGAAAACTAAGATCATGGCATCTGGTCCCATCACTTCATGGTGAATAGATGGAGAAACAGTGGAAACAGTGACAGACTTTATTTTTTTGGTCTCCAAAATCACTGCAGATGGTGACTGCAGCCATGAAATTAAAAGATGCTTACTCCTTGGAAGAAAAGTTATGACCAACCTAGACAGCATATTAAAAAGCAGAGACATTACTTTGCCAACAAAGGTCTGTCTGGTCAAGGCTATGGTTTTTCCAGTAGTCATGTATGGATGTGAGAGCCTGGCTATAAAGAAAGTAGAGCACCGAAGAATTGATGCTTTTGAACTGCGGTGTTGGAAAAGACTCTTGAGAGTCCCTTGGACTGCAAGGACATCCAACCAGTCCATCCTAAAGGAAATCAGTCCTGAATATTAATTGGAAGGACTGATGTTGAAGCTGAAACTCCAATTTTTTGCCCACCTGATGTGAAGAGCTGATTCATTGGAAAAGACCCCGATGTTGGGAAAGATTGAAGGCAGGAGGAAAAGGGGACGACAGAGGATGAGATGGCTGGATGGCATCACCTAATCAATGGACATGAGTTTGAATAAACTCCCAGAGTTGGTGATGGACAGGAAGGCCTGGAGTGCTGCAGTCCATGGGGTCACAAAGAGTCAGACATGACTGAGCGACTGAACTGAACTGAATTAACAGTACAATCTTTAAATTTAATAAATTTGGCAAACCATTAATTAGCAAATTGGCATTCAATTAGATAATTTTCTGCTCATTGGTCTGCTTCTGGATAGAAGAGGGGAGGAGTAAAAAAAGGAACCCTGCATTAATATCAATTTTCAGAAGATGATGGATGAGAAAAACATTAGATAGAAATAACTCGAGAAACAGGAAGAAACCCAAGCTTATTAGGAGGAATAGAATTTCAAGAAAGATGTCAACAGTGTCAGGAGCTACCTCGATTTCCAGGAGAAGAAAGAAAGGTCAGGGTACCTATGCAGGCATTGCTTTCAGCAGAGCAATTGACAGTCCCTTAAATTATAAGACGACTATAATTAACTGAATCTAACAAAAGCAAAAACATTTAACCCCGCTGAGATTCCTGAAGAGCAAGGAATCTTGCTCTTTTTTTATTTCTAATTTTATTTATTTCACTTATTTTAGAGTTCTCTCTTTCCAAGTCGAGTTTAGTAAATAAAAATACAGAATGCGAATTTAAAGGCAAAATGTCAATAAATAATGAAATTTTTATTTCATTAAAAATAAAGTTTAAGTATGTCCTAAGCATTGAAGTCTGCCGAATAGGAACCAGTGCAGGGCATAAAAGCCTTGGCTCTGAAGTTTCTGGGCTCAAGTATGGGTCGACACTTAGGTTTGTATGGCTTTGGGCAAGTAACCTAAAATTCGCCTCAGTTAGGGCGTGTGAGGATGGGGGTCATAATCACAGTAACAGTCCTTATGGAACTATTGTGAGTTGAAGTCTCCAAGGCGCCTGTTTGTGGGGTGGGAACGTGCGCAGAGATCAACAAACCTCAGCAGGACGATTCATTAAAGGGGGAGCACGAAATTACAAGCACGTGAAGGGGGAACTGTCTTAGGGTTTGCGTCTTAGGTGGACTTTCAGGCTCACCTAGGGGTGATTAATAACCAAGGCAGACAGGCAGATGAAAGAGTACAGGTCCAGAAATGGCGGGGGCGGGGGGGAAAGGAGCCAAGGAAAGTTGGAAGGAAGGGAGGAAGGACAGGGATGTGGGAGGAGGGTAATAGAGATAGGAAGAAAAGGCCGGGTTGACGGAACACTTGCCGCTGGATCTCTCTTGAGAAGAAAACGTGGGGTTACTGGACCTGTGGAGACAGCCTTGCGACGTCAGCACTCAAGTGTGAGTGCGGAGGTTCGGTGGCGACCGACGGGCCAGGGCGCTGGGCGCCGGGTGAAGGGTGTGCGTCTGCGCGCGAACCCCGGGGGCGCCCGGGCCGGCCGGGCGGGGCGGGGCGGGGCGGGCGTGGGGCGGCCCCCGGGAGGCCGGTCCGCCTGCGCGCCTGGACAGGCGGGCGCGCGAGCCGGCGGAGCAGGGACGCGGGCCGAGCTCCGGGCGAGTCGCGGGCGTGCACTCTGCGCAGCGGGCGCTGCGATGGGACACCTGTGGCTTTGGGGGACCTGCGGCCTCTGGGGGCTGCTCCTGAGCATCGCAGAGCCCCACACAGGTAACTCAGTTGCGGCACCGGGAAGGAAAGCAGGAGAGGTTGGCGTAGACGCTCCCCGGGTCCGGGTCGAGGCGACACCTGGCTCCAGCCTAGGTCAAGCCTAGGTCAAGGGGCTGAGGGTGGTAACTGCGTGGAGATCCTGGGGACTAGGTTTAGGAAGCCTGGGACGCAGGATTAAGCAGAGACAGACACGCTGTCACAGACGGACAATCGGAGACAGATTGCTCTTGCCATCAGAGGTGCTCTTTGAATTATGGAACCTCACCCCTTACATCCGTGGTGACTCGTTTGCAAAATAGACTGCAGTTTGGCTGCAGGTGGGCTTCCCTGTTGCCTCAGACGGTAGAGCCCCCGCCTGCAATGCGGGAGACCTGGGTTGGATCCCTGGGTCGGGAAGATCCCCTGAAGGAGGGCATGGCAACCCACTCCAGTATTCTTGGAGAATCTCCATAAAAGAGGAGCCTGGTGGGCTTCAGTCCATGGGGTCGCAGAGAGTCGGACATGACTGAGCAACTAACACTTTCATCTTTTTCACTTGGCTGGGGGTGGAGGGTGCAATCCAACCCCTCCTTCTCTCTCGTCTTGGGTCCCTTCCCCATTAAAGAAGGACAGTCTCCTAGCAGGACAGGAATGGGTCTTTGTGGCGGGTGTCAGTCATTTCCTGGGGCAGCTGCCCTGTGCCTTCAAAGTAATACCCAGGAGAGGGCTGGGAAGAGCCTTGATAAGATAAGAAACTGGAGTTGGCCGTGGAGATAACGGGGAGGGTGAACCTGAGATAGGCGAGAAGCAGCGCGGCTAGGAGGTGGGATCCAGCCTGCTGGCTGGAGTTCCTCCTCTTGGCTGTGGACTGCTCCAGGTTACAAATGTGCCTGAAGCAGGAGTGGCCTTGGAACTCTTGACCAAGACAAACGTCAAGGGCAGAGTCATTGGGTCTCGGAGGGGGGAGGCAGTCTTCTTTATGCTGGAGAGCTTTTGCCACTGTAGGTGAAGTCCACACTAAACTTTTCTCAGGCAGGAATGAATGAAATCATAATTTTTAAACTTTTTCTCGGTCGTCCATTTCAAATTTCTGTGGTTTTTCTTTTTGTCACTTAAATTTTTCCACCTATTCTGAGAATGTGTTACTGGACGGAATAATTACCTATACAGTTTAAGCAGAAAATAAATACCTTAAGCCATCCTGTAACTTTTGAGTTATTTTCAAGCATCAATTCCAGTTCCCCAAAGAAATCTGCCCACTCATCCCTGTATTTGCAGAGGCACCTCTCTTGGCCTAGAAGTCCATCTTGCCCCCGGTTTGTCCAGTCTAGCTAATTCATGTTTGCTCTCCCAGACAGAGCAGGTACACACTCTTCTTTCAGAAAGCCAGTATGACCCTAGCAGTGGGGATGAAATGCCCCTTCTTACTCACGTCGCCCTTGCGCTCGCTTCTGTCACCCTACTAAGTTGAGCTTTTGGAAAAGTTGGGAATGTCACACATTTTTCAACGCCCAGGAACCTAACACTGTTTATTGAATGATTTAGTGACCTTTACATTGAGAACTTGCTATCCTCAGAAGGCTTCAGAAATGATCTTCCCTGAAGTCTTAACTCTGTCACAGAAAACAGTTTCTTCTGAAAACACACCATTCCTTCCTGTAGCTGGACTATTCTTTCAGTTTACCACTTAGGGGCTTTGATTATGATCTCTTTCTCCGCAGAGCTGTTTCTCCAGCCTTGTCTGCTGCTGTGTGGGCTGATAGCTGTAGTTATGGAACTGCATCTAGCAGAGCACCATATGCAATTAAGGGTCTAATAAATGTTTAATATGATAGGTACAAATGCTGAAAATGATCATGTATTATTTCTCTTTGTAGCAGGTAAGATAGTGTGCTACATGAAGCCAAGGAGTATTAACTAAGTTAAAGACTTAACTCCCTGTCTGGTCATTGGTTAGTAATAGAACCAAAAATAAAACAAATATTTACTTTCTGTCCTGTAATCTCCATAATGATTTTCTTACACCGTTGTAATTTGTAGCACAACATTTGATGCTTGAAATGAAGTACTTGAGGCTTTTACTTCTTCTGTACTTTCATATCTTTCAGATGGCTCTAAAATAATTCCCAAAATCACAGAAATAATACCTAAATATGGCAGCATAAATGGAGCAACAAGGCTGACTATCAAAGGAGAAGGTATGGTTGCCTTTTATTTTTCACCAAGGTTGAGGTATTTTAAAGACATTCACATTTAGAGATTGATGGGTTTTGTTTTGTTTTTTTTGTTTGTTTTCTTTTAAATCTACTAGAGTTGCTTCTCTATTTGGCCAGAGTAGGAAAACTCTATCTTCTTTCACACCTAATGAAACGCCTGAGAGTCTCTATCAACCTGACCATCTGAATTTGTATTATAATTACTTGCTTAACTCCAGGATCTGGACTATAATGACTGAATTGAAAGGAACATCTTTAACCCACTCTGCAGTTACTTACTTTGTTCTTCATGGGTCTAATCACATTTATTTTTATATTAAATAAAACATTTGTGGAGTTCAAGGGAGTAGGATGTTAGTAAGGGAGTGTGATGCAGAAGTAGAATGGTTATGAAGGGAGAAAGACAATTGAAAGCAAAACTTTGGATCTCTTCTTCTGCCACCCATTCCTTATCATATACTTCATCAGAGCATGGGTTATGTATGACTTTCTCCTTGCCTGGTCTTGGGATGGAAACAAAGTAGGCAATTACAGAATATATTTAATGAGCAAATGTTTCTTGAGTTAAGTAGAAATACATGGTTCGTTTAGCTATCCAGCCTTTACAATCTAAGTGATGGTAGTATTCAGATGGTTTTGAGTTTTTGAAAGATGGGAAAGAAAACGTTTTTAAAGAATATTAATAAAAAAACTTTTATTTAGTCTTTAAAATAAGAAGTGCAATGAGAATTTTTTGGAGTCAGAAAATTAACAAGGCAAGATATTTAACAATTCTGTCTTATGTATTGAAGTGTCTTTCAATATTTCTAAGTAAAATTTCTGTAGAATTTTAATCTCTCAATTATGTACTTGAAATGGTTTGTGCCTCTAAATTGTGAACAGTATATTTTGGATTAAAGTGTGTTTTTGGTTGTTTTTTATTTTTTTTAAGAGTTAGACACCTGCAGACAATGTGTTTGTTAAAGACTTTTAAAAATGTCTTTATCCATAGTTCCCTTGTAGTGTTTATTGCTGTTAATATTTGCTTAGATAGTGCTGGATTTTTAACAGAGAGTTAAATGCCATGAGAGAAACTCCCCAAACAAAACAAAACAATAAAACCGCTCAGCTATTTCCTTCTGCCTCAAAAGTGGGAAGCTGCAATATTAACACAGGGAGCCCAGCCTGGTGCTCTTGACTACCTAGAGGGGTGGGATGGGGTGGGTGGGAGACTCAAGAGGGAGGGATATATGTGTGTGTGTGTGTGTATATATATATATATATAATTTTGACTGATTTGTGGTGTTGCACAGCAGCAACCAACACATTATAAAGCAATTAGCTCCAATAAAAATAAATAAATAAATGCCTACACTTTTTCTGGGGGCTTCCCAGGTGGTGCTAGTGGTAAAGAACCTGCCTGCCAATGCAGGAGATGTAAGAGATGGTGTTTTAATCCCCCTGGGTTGGGAAAATCCCCCTGGAGGAGGGCATGGCCACCCACTCCAGTATTCTTGCCTGGAGAGTCCCATGGACAGAGGAGCCTGCTAGGCTATGGAGAGAATCCCATGGACAGAGGAGCCTGCTGGGCTATGGAGAGAATCCCGTGGACAGAGGAGCCTGCTGGGCTATGGAGAGAATCCCATGGACAGAGGAGCCTGCTACGACCTGGTCCACAAGGTCGCAAAGAGTTGGATGCCACTGAAGCGGCTTAGTACACATACTTTTTCTGATCCAGGAACCATGGCTTGAGTTTAGGTACATAGACTCAGATCATCCCTAGTTAGAAATAGGGAAAAACAAAACAAACTGTTCCATTCTTAAGGCGTTTTGGAGGAACATCTTTATTCATCTACCTATAACCTTTTCTCTTTGGTGAACTTTCTGAGGTTCAGGAGTAGTCCTCTTACTTATGAAGCACAAAACCAGAAATTTCTGGTTTCTCTAGTTTTCCCATCAGTCTGTATTTCTGGATGCTTCTGGCCAAGAATTATAGAATAGTTAAATCCTATTTGAATTGCAGGTGCCTCTGCCCACTCTGGTACGTCTTCCCTGTCCTTGCTTTAACCATATTCAGTAGGTGACTAAAGCTGTGACAGCTTATGTCTTTCTCAAAAGCGAGTCTAAATACTGTTTGGGGCCCATGATATATACAGAATGTGTCTAAGGTAGTGATAATGAATTAACAAAACACACCAGATTTCCAAGTCTACGAGAATGTGGTACTTGAACAAAATTTATTTGGAGGAACTACTTTAACCTGTCAGTGTGGTGTCTGACCCAGACTCCATGTTTAGAATTGAATAGAGAGATAATTTATTAATCATAGAAGAACTGTGATTTTAATGGGATTTTAAATACTCTATCACCTAAATGTTGGTAATAGGTTTTTAAATACTTGATCACCTAAATGTTGGTACCATATAACTTTAAAAATTTTTGTAGCAGTCACAATATGAAAAAGTAAAATATAGAAATATTTAACTTGAGTTCTCTGAAATTCTACTTTCCAAAAAGATCTATTGTTAGTATTTTTTTTTGTATTCAAATGGTTTTTGTCTATTTCCACACATAATGAACTTTACAAGTAAAAATTTGCAAAAAAAAAAATTTGCTAGTGCTTTACTTTCTTCTAAAGTCTATCTTCAGGAGTCAAAGTTATATAGTTTTACAATTATGCTGCCCAAGTAAAAGTGTTTTGAGCAGTGGCATGATTGTAGAAATCATTGTATCTCCTTCTAAGATGACGGATTTAATGAGGAGTGTTATCATTTTGTTAAGTTCTGGAGTGTTTCTAACTTTATTGTGTTTATTTCTTGATATTCATCCCTGTATTTCTCAGTTGTCTTCCTTGATATAACTCTTTGTTAAAAAAATCAACTGGAAGGTATAACATTTTACTTTTGTTGTTTTCTAGATATTTCCCTATTACAATATCTAGCAGGTATATTTTTGTTTAACTGAAGTGGTGAATTATATAAGTTTTATAATATTATGGAAAGCACACAGGCTTTAGTCAGGTCCAACTGGCTTTCAGCACCAACTTTGCCACTTCCCACTAGGGGACTGGGGCAAGTTTCTTCTCTAAGCTTTGGCTTCCTCATCAATGAAATGGGCTATTAATTCCTACCTGTTAGGGCTATTGTGAATATTGAAAAGGATGATGTATCTAAGGCACTGGTATATAATATCTGCCCCATAAATTAGAGCCATTTTATTTTTATTATTCTTTTGCATTTATCTTATAGGGACGGTTTCCTTCTTTAGAAGTTCTCCTCCATCACACTGCATCATTTTTTCCATTGTTTTGAATGTCACAGATTTTAAGTGGGTTTGTACTTTCTCAACCCTGCTTTTTCTTATTTTTTAAACTAGAGGAATCAAAACAGCCTGCATTGTTCATAACAACTGTTGGCTGTGACAGCACACACATTTTTCATGGTAATAGCACAGGCTGCTATCAGGAGACCCAGGACTTCGTGCCTGGCTAGTCTTGTCTCCAGTTCTTCTGAAAAAAGGAAAAAAATACATCAACATGTCAGGAATTTCCATCTGAAGCCTCCACCTTTTCTGTTTCCAGGGTACACCCAACCCTTCATGTAATCTTTGTGCTTTGGAGTACTTCCAGAGGTATCTTCCTTATACCCAATGACTTATTTAGAATTATACTTTTAAGTTAGAATTCTTTTTTAAAGCTGATTCTTTTCTATTGCCTTAACTCTTTGAAAGTAGCTAATAAGTTAGAAATATTTCTATAGTTTTTTCACCAAAATTTATAATGAGAATATTTACAAATCTTACTGAATTGGTTCATATTTTCATATATATATATCAAGAATATATATGTATTTATCATAGGGCTTCCCAGTTGCTCAGTGGTAAAGAATCTACCTGTCAGTGTAGGAGATGCAGGAGCGTGGATTCAATCCCTGGGTCGGGAAGATCCCCTGGAGTAGGAAATGGCAACTGATTCCAGTACTCTTGTTTGGGAAATTCCATGGTCAGAGGAGCCTGGCAGGCTACAGTTCATGGGGTCGCAAAGAGTCAGACACAACTGAGCACATGTATATGTCACATATATGTGAGACATATTATATAAAACACATCGAAACAATTCCTAAGCTAAAAACAATATCATCTTTTGTTGGTGCTATTTTTTAGACTTGTATTTGTCATAGAAATGCTGAAGAACATATCTGATATTACCATATCATTGATGTGACATGTGCCTAACAGGAAAGAAAATACACATATCTCATCCTGAGCCACACCACAAGTAAAACTCTGTTCTTTAGTTAGTGGCCAGCAGCCCGTCTGTGTGTTCCAAACTCAATGTGAAGTACAGAGATAAGCAGAAATTGGCAAAAGGAAAAAGTGGCTTTGCAAGTAGTTTGCTTTTCTGTGTTTTCATGTATCTTCTCAAAATTCCATTTGAGCAGCAACTGCCTTCCTACGTTGCAAACTCACTGCAGGTATCTTTCACATGTCAAATTGATATGTTTGTACTTTAGCCTATATTGGATGAGTCCTTTTTGGTTAAGTTTTAAGTTTAGAAGAAGAGAAGAAGTTTATTAAAATCCTTACCCTTTGTTTAGTTTCTGCTTTCTTTTTCTACCTATAAAGAAGAGGTGCTAAGAACATAGGTTCTAGAGGAAGTTACATTGGATAACTAGGAATAGCCTTGTAATGTGCTTTTTTAAATATTATTTTTCTCTGAATATCACAAGGGTGCCAGGTTGGCATCACAGTCGTGGTTCAGATCCTGGCCTCTCACTTATATGTTTTGTTATTATTTTAAAAGTATATTAAAGTGAAGTGAAGTCGCTCAGTCGTGTCCGACTCTTTGCAACCCCATGGACTGTAGCCCACCAGGCTCCTCCATCCATGGAATTTTCTAGGCAAGAGTACTGGAGTGGGTTGCCATTTCCTTCTCCAGGGGATCTTTCCAACCCAGGGATCGAACCCGGGTCTCCCACGTTGCAGGCAGACGCTTTACCGTCTGAGCCACCAGGGAATCTCACTAATAATAACTATCAATCTTTTGTGACTTAAAATATGCATGTATGCAGGCTAAGTTGCTTTAGTTGTATTTGACTCTTTGCGACCCTATGGACCATAGCCTGCCAGGCTCCTCTGTCCATGGAATTTTACAGGCAAGAATACTAGAGTGGGTTGCCATTTCCTCCTCTAGGGGATCTTCCCAACCCAGGGATCAAACCCGCATCTCATGCCTGCTGCGTTGACAGGTGGATTCTTTACTACGAAGGCCACCTGGGAAGCCTGACTTAAAATATAGTATATATCAACTGAGTATTTACCAACTGTGCTCTTAACCTAGGAGCCAGGCACCATGTCAAGTACCATATATGAGGCCTCATCTAGTCTTCCTGGTAATTCCTGCTAAGTAGATTATTATGGTCATTTTTCTGATGAAAAATGACTAAGAGAGTTTATGTCTAAAGCTAATGCTCAGGTTCAGACAGCAAGGAATTGCTGAAGCTGAGATTCCAGCCCAAGACGTCAGGGTCCGGACACCCTTTCCTGTAAACGGCACTGTGCCCTAGCATGCAGTGTTCCCACGGCTATAGTTTATGGCTCTGGCATTGGATGAACCTCTGACACAGTGACCCAGGGATCGAACCCAGGTCTCCCACACTGCAGGCAGATTCTTCACCCTCTGAGCCACCAAGGAAGGCTGCAGACCTATAGGTCTCAAGTCACGAGACAGAGCTAGCAGAACACCTGGGTTGACTGGATGACTCGTTCGGAAGCTTCTCTCCCTGGCTACTTGTCCAATGAGCCTATGAACAGAGGGCCATGGGGGAAGGCTATGCACGGGCCAACACTCGGGATCTGTTTTCACCAGCACTAAAACCACCTACTGCTGCTGCTGACTACCCGCCCTGTCAGTAGCAGAGACCAGCGCATAGGATAGTCTCAGCAGCGACCGTCCTCAAGAATCCCACCCAGTCACTCAGTCATGTCAGCTGCATCACTTTCCTTCCCTCGTGGACGAGCAGAGATTCATGACTGCTCGTACTGACACCCGCTCCACAGGAGGCTTTTGCCTTCTCTTTCTATAGTCCCTTTGCTGGCCTCATCTTCTGAGAGTATAATTCCACAAAATACCATGAAATTCCATAAAGAGCCATAAGATTTCACAAAATAGGGCCTCAGAACAAGGAACATATTTTATAGTGAAAAAGTTGTGATAATGGGCACATGACCATGACCCTTGCATCATCCTGAAACATGTGGCCCAACAGAATGATGGAACAGCCTACAGCTGGCAAGACTAAGAGCCCAGCTTGGGAACAACATCCTGTGAGGTGGGACGCTGTCCGTCATCAGAGCCAAAGGCGCTGAGCCAGGGGCAGGTCTGTACTGTTGTTTCCCAACAGATGGGTACATGGAGCTGGGAATGAAGGGTTACTCCCTGTCTTTACCACTTCCAGTAATCAAAAGATTGAATCTGTGCCTTTTGTCCCTGCAATTTTAGGTTCTCCTGGGTTCTGGGTCTGAGTTTCCAGATAGAGGATGCTTCTGGCAGGGATCCCGGTCTGGGTTCCATGGAACTGAAACTACCGCTACTGTCCTATCAGTTTGAATTCAGCAAACGTAAGCGGTGGACTGCTAGAGACAGTCAGTTCTGATGATCCTGAAGAGGCAGGGTTGCTTTTCCTTAATACAGAGAAGGAGGAGTGTGTCTGGAATTTGTGGTATTCTTGGGGCATCTCTTGGCTTCCATGTGCAGTGATCATTGTCAATAATCATAGGCGGCAGCCACAACCACAAATGGGGAAGGAAAAAAAAAGGGCTCAGATCCTCAGGATGAAGGTTAGCATCACTCCATCAGCTGAAGTTCTGGCTTATGGGTAGGGAAAATACAATGGCAGAGAGAGGTCAAACAAATATTAATTGTAGCCTCAGGGCCAACTGGTGAGACCTGTTGTTTGTCCCATTAACCCTGTTGTGTTAAAGCTTTTAGAAAACATTTTATTTATTTATTTGGCTGCATTAGGTCTTAGTTACCCCAAGGCAGATGTGATCTTAGTTTCCTGACCAGGGATTGAACCCATGTAGCCTGCACTGGATGGTGAATTCTTAACCACTGGATCACCAGGAAAGTCCCTCTATTACATCTTTAGCAGAGCTCTTAGCTGACCACTGTCTTGTAGACTTGATAATGCATTCTACTTCAAATGTAGGGTCTGAGCATATCTGTCGACTTCCCAGGTGGCACTAGTTATAAACAACCCACCTGCCCATGCGGGAGATGTAAGAGACACGGGTTCGATCCCTGGGTCGGGAAGGTCTACTGGAGAAGGGTGTAGCAGGGCATTCCAGTATTCTAGCCTGGAGAATCCCATGGACAGAGGAGCCTGGCAGGCTACAATCCATAGGGTTGCTGAGTCAGACATGACTGAAGTGACTTAGCATTCATGAGCATACCTGTATGGCACAAGGAGTCAGTTCTATCAGATGCCTTTTTTACTCAGCCGCACATCCTGGTTCCCATCTCTTATTCTAGGCACAGCTGTGGCAAAACGTTCCCTGTGTACCCTGACTCAATCCATGCTTCCAGCTCTCGCCTCCAGGTCCCATAGTGTGTCTTTGTCCCAGGGCTTCATGGATGCAGTGGCGTTGGAACCTAGATGGCATATACCTATGTGCAGCAAAAATCATTTCCCCCATGGGGAACCCTCGGTGAATGGGAGAGAGTTTGATGAATATATGCTTCTTCTCATTGATTCTTTGCTTCTGAGAGGCTGTCTGTATTTTCCTTAAAAGTCTTTCAGCCCCAGCTGCCTTCAGTGGAATCCAGATTTTCTTCTGCAGGTTTTCTTATCTCATGTCCCTAAGGGATCAACTCTCAAACTCTCTACCTGCAAGTCCTTACCTCAGATTTTACTTTATTGGTACTCAAGGTAAAGACACCCCTCACCCCCGCATGCCTTATAAAATCCTGTTCACTTTGTCTGCTCTTTCTGTGCCCCTTTGCCTACTGTTTTCATAGTAGTTATCCCCACCAGATACAACATCTGGTGGTATATATTTGTATATTGTCTATTTCTTCACCCAGCTCTCCCATTAGTGGGATATAAGCCATTTGATTCCAATGCCTTTAACAACACCTGACAGATAATAGATTTGAAAGCATTACTTTCATGAATTAATTAATTATAGGCTAATTTTTATGTTTTCAAAGTGGATTGCAATCACAGAGGTAAATGTGAAGTAGATTAACTGCTTACATCAATACTCTTCCTTATTCATTTGGTGATTCAGTGCAAAATGATAATTGTTAGATCCTTGAAAACAGAGTTCCATTAGTAATAATTGAGTGTTTTTACTCTTCCAGGTTTTGCTCAAGCAAACCAGTTTGACTATGGAGTTGACAATGCTGAATTGGGAAACAGAGTACAATTAATTTCTTCTTTCCGATCAATTTCTTGTGATGTAGAAAAAGATTCAAGTCATTCAACCCATATTACATGTTATACTAGGTATGTTGTAAAGTGTCTTTAATAACATCATTTTCATCATATCAGAACCACAGTTATACATATTATTTTTGTAATAGTTTTATCACTGGCAATTACAATAATATTCTTCTGATTATCAGTTATTATTTTTGACTTCATGATGTTTAGACTATTTTATATCTTTAATAGATTCACTTACAGTACTCTTTCCACATACTGGCATGATCAAAATGTATCCTATATCCTTTCCTAGGTTATTAGAACTATTATCTAATCATTATTGACCTCTTTTAGAAGATAAATGGCCACTATTAAATTGCAATGATGCTCCTCAAAATATCAAAATTATACCTTCCTGTCTGGTTTGATTAATTTTGTTCAGAATCTTGACATGCTCATTAAGATTAAAGATGATCATTTTGTAGATTGACATTTCAAGTTCTTTACTATCAACTCAAATTGATGTTTGTTATTAGCAACTTAGTAGAAAAATTAATCATTTTAAATGGCCACTTTGAATACTGAGACAGGTAGCCTGTATTCCAGAGGATTCTATCCGTATTAGGCTTGTTGACTGATTTGCAGCTTACTTAGGGAGAAACATGATTAAAACTTTTTAAAAAGTAAAGCATAAAATAATTGTACCAACATGATATGTTACAATTTTAAATGATTGTTATTATTTTCTTCTCAATGACTGGTGCATTGGTTAGAATAAGTATTTGCCTGAGATCCATGATGTGAGAATTTGCAGAGTTCAGGATGGAGAGCATCTTTCCATAATATAGAATTGAATTGCACAGAAGCACAATTAATTTTGAATTTAATTATACAACAGCACAGTTGTACAACAGTGACTTAGCATGCATGCACACACATACAACAGTTAGACTTTCAGACACTTTTTTTTTTACCAAAATGACATGTAGTCTGGGGTGGTATTTTTCATGAATGCTATACATTAAATAATGGAGTTTTCCATTCCATGTGTATTTTCCATTTGCCTTCCAGAGCAATGCCAGAAGATTCCTACACTGTTAGAGTCAGTGTGGATGGGCTTCCTGTTACAGAAAATAATACCTGCAAAGGTCACGTCAGCAGCCAGGCCTGCATCTTCAGTGTAGGTGGCATTTTCTCTCTAACTTAACGTATAATTGATCTTGTACTTGGTTTCTTTCAGAACTGGATTTTTATTTTTTAATTTACAAATTGTTATCTGTTTCCACATTAAAAAATTTACTAGCATGTAGCTAAGGATAATTTCACCCAGTTTAAATTATCTTCTATAGTAATGAAATCTTACCATTTCCTGTTTTGCTTTTCAAATTAATTTTATTAATGAATTCAGCTTTTTTACTTTCAAATTGTTTTTTTGTTCATACTGCTTTTTCACTTTATTTCTGCTCTTACTTTGATTTCCCTTCTTCTGTTTTCATCAGACTCAGCTTCATTTTATTTTTTTTAAATATTTATTTATTTGACTATAGTAGGTCTTAGTTGCAGCATGTGTTTTTTTTTTTTTTTTTAAGTTGTGGCATGCAGAATCTTTAGTTGTGGCATGAGAACTCTTAGTTGTGGCATGTGGGATCTAGTTCAGGGTTCAAACCCAAGCCCCCTGAGTTGGGAGCATCGAGTCTTAGTCACTGGACCACCAGGCAAGTCTCTCATCTTCATTTTAAATAGAAACATAATTATTTTCTCTTTCTTTGTATTTTCTGATGTAGTGAGCGCAAATGCAACTGCATGTAGACTAAAATCATTCAAAATTTAGTTACCCTAAATATAGGTGTTCATAATATTTTCTTCTACAGACCATCTCATGTAATTTAAAAATTGTATTTATGTTTTAAGTTGTCGATTACTGAGTGCTGTAACATTCCAATATAAGACAAAATGCTCAGGAAATTAGTAATGACTTCTGTCCTCAAGAAGAGCCTGTGATTCTCAAACATATGATTCCCAAATATCTCTGGCTCACTTTTCTCTTCCTAAATTGGGAGCCATCTTTTGTTTGCCAGAATAAAACACCTAAATGGCTCCAAAGCAACCTCAATTCAACTAATCTCAAATTGGACATCTAGTATTCCTCCTTAAACTTCAGTTCAGTTGCTCACTTGTGTCCAACTCTTTGCAACCTCGTGAACTGCAGCAAGCCAGGCTTCCCTGTCCATCACCAACTCCTGGAGTTTGCCCAAACTCATGTCCCTCGAGTTAGTGATGCCAGCCAACCATCTCATCCTCTGTTGTCCCCTTCTCCTCCTGCCTTCAATCTTTCCCAGCATCAGGGTCTTTTCCAATGAGTCAGCTCTTCACATCAGGTGGCCAGAGTATTGGAGTTTCAGCTTCAGCCTCTGTCTTTCCAAAGAATATTCTGGACTGATTTCCTTTAGGATGGACTGGTTGGATCTCCTTGCAGTCCAAGGGACTCTCAAGAGGCTTCTCCAACACCACAGTTCAAAAGCATCAATTCTTTGGCATTCAGCTTTCTTTGTGGTCCAACTCTCACATCCATACATGACTACTGGAAAATTTCTGATATTTATCATACGTCTCAAGCTAGAAGCCTGTTACATCCTTAGTGTCTTCCTTGCCTTCATCTTCATCTCCAGAGCTATTCAGAAACCAAACCATGATGATCTTACCCTCCAACTTAGCTCTGAAGTTCATCGTCCCCTTATCTTCTTTCCTGCCATACCCTTGGTTTCAATTCTGGTCTTGTCATTTCTCACCCACTATCACTGTGGCCCATTAGCCTCTCCATCCTTTTTGATATCACCATTCAGATGCTGCATTCAAAACCATGCATATTATTATGTCTTTCCCCCACTCAGTATCTCTCCTTTACCCATTATCTATAGGTTTCCTCTGTTATTTCATAGTCTGGAACCAATTGTTTCCAGCAGTCTCCTAACATTCTCCCTGACCAAGGACCCATACATCTTACTCACTTCTGCTTAGCGAGTCCTGCTCTTTGCTCAGGCCTCTGAAAATTCCCCCGTGCAGAGCTAAGTGATTTCCCTGTGTTCCTCAACTGTATAGTGGCTCAGTGCTAATCAGGGTTCATATACAGGCTTCATTATCTATTCTGATTGGTCATAGTGAAACTCTGCCTTGGTTTCTTCATTTTCTATAAAATGGAGATATGTAAAGTGGAGATTATATCATCGCATCCTGTACAATAGAGGATTAAATGATATTAATAAGGTGATCAGAAAGAACCAGCACATAGTTATTACTATATAGTGTTTTATCTATATATTCCATTTATTGCTATTTTAGCACATAATCCACTGTGCAGTAATTATATTTTAATGTGTTTTTCTCGGTTAGAGGATTTTATTCAATGTTTTGTCCCTAGAACAAGTATAACATTCAGCACTTAGCAGGAGCGCGGGTTATATTTGCTTTCTTTATACCTGTACTTTTTCTCCAATTAAGACAAAAATAAGAGATTTAATGCCATGCAATTGAATCATCTTAAATTATTTTTGTCTTTTAACAATTTCTAATTTTAGTGTTGTGTGGCCTAAAAATATAGAAAATCAAAATTTTTTTATTTAACAAAGTTATAGTTCTACATAATGAAAAACCGAACTGGTTCTACAAGGTTAATTAAAACAAATAGGACCTCCTTGACTAATCACTCCACCTCATGCTCATTCTCCACATCCCCCCACTTTCAATAAATTTAGCTTTTTATTGTTGTATTTCTAAACAAGAAGAATTTTTTATGGTTTTTAAAAAATTGAAAAGACATTTATTTTGGTTGCACTGGGTCTTTGTTGCTGTGCTGGCCTTCTGTAGCAGACGGAGGCTCCTCTTCACTGCAGTGCATTGGCTTCAGTGATTGTGGCACATGGACTTGGTTGCCTTGAAGCCTGTGGGATTTTCCTAGATCAGGGATCAAACCTGTGTTCCCTGCATTGGCAAGCAGATTCTTAACCATTGGACCACCAGGGAAGTCCAAAGAGTATTACTTTTAATGTATGTAGAAGTATTTCATATTATCTGTTGTGATATTTCTAAATAATAGGCTTATTAAAAAATATGTTTATTGCTGTTTCTGAGTCTTTAAAGTTTATTATCTGCTTTATTCTTACAATGTAGTATGAGATTTTAACACCTGTTTTCCTACATCTATTCACTAGTATTGCATAACACAAGTCCCAAGCTTAGTAGCTTCAAGCAGCAACTGTTCATATTGTTTATGTATTCATGGGTCAGCTGTGTGGTTCTTCTGGACAGAGCTAGACTGGTCTCTGCTGAACTTACTCTTGTGTCTGTGGTCAGCTGTGGGTTAGGCAGGACTGGGTACTTTGGAGGGCTTCAGCTGGAGCAATCCAGCTAATTAGGCTTTGTTCTGTGTAGTGTCTCTGCCCTCCACAAAGTAGCCCAACTGATCAGATACTAGAAGCAGGGATTCCTCAGAAGAGCAGAAGCGTGCAGGGAGCCTTTAGGCCTAGTCTCAAAAATGTCATGCTGCTTGTACCACATTCTAGTGGCCAAAGCAAGTTCCAAGCCAGTCTTTATTCACGGCTCCCACTAAGAAGAGCTGCCAAGACACATTGAAGGTGAGGATATGGGGAGAGGAAGATGATAGCCATGTTTGAAATAAATCTGCTACCCCTTCCCACCTCCAACACATATATCCTCCCACTCCTCCTTCTCAGTTAGATGTGCCCAGTTTTTTGTTGCTTCCCAGGTGGTGCAGTGGTAAAGAATCTGCCTGCCAGTGCAGGAGACACAGGATGCGGGGGTTTGATCCTTGGGGCAGTTTGGGAAGGTCCCCTGGAGTAGTAAATGGCAACTAACTCCAGTGTTCTTGCCTGGAGAATCCCATGGACAGAGGAGCTTGGCCGGCCACAGTCCATGGTGTTGCAGAGTTGGACACACACGCCATCTTTTAGATCAATATTCATAACATGGCTTGGTATCATGCAAAATACAATAAAAGCGTAACAGCAATGTCCAGTTGCTTTAAAGTCTCTAAGTGCTCACTCTTACTTTTTGTTTTTACTGAGGACCAATAACTTTTACACACTTTTATTGAATTGTTAAAACCATTACAAAATTACACATTTGTAGCATCTAATTCTCATACTATTTTCTAATTTTATCATTTTCATGATATTTCATTTATCATGATAAATCATTATCCTTGACTGCTGTTGTATTTCAGGTTAATTATTCTTAATTTTCAGAATCTTCTATCTTCTCTTTCTGTTTTCTATAAAATAATTTTCTCTGCCATCTTCACTGATTCTTTGCTGATGGTGTATTAAATTGAAAATCTGTTTGTGATCTGTCTCCTCAAATTATAATAGTAACTAATCTGTTGTTTAATATGCACTCTTCAATTATTTTTTGCTCAGATATAATTTATATGAGTACACTTTGACTTAGATTGATTTGCACACAATTTGACAGTTCTTCTAGCTTCTCTTCCTCTACCTTCGCTATTATTCTACCTCTAAAAGTGGTGTTTTGCCCAAAATAAAAAGGAATTTAAAAAGTGGTATTTTGACTGGGTGTTTTACTTCTTACTACTTTTACATAGATTCTCCATTAAGCATTTCTAAAATGTGAAAGAATGAGTCTAAAGTCATACTTAGCCTCAAAGTTCAAAATTTATCTCTTATTGGCAGTCTGTAAAAAAAAAAAAAAAGTCCTTTTACTTCAAGTACCTGAGCATCTTTCTTTTAGGATGTTCCTGAATGAGAAGGGGTAGGGAGGGAGATAGCTGCCATTCACTGAGAGTCTACTTCATGCTAGGTTATTTTGCTTGTATAATTTTTGTATCCATGCAGAGGTCATCCTATTCTCTACCAGCAATATTGCTCCTCCAAAAACTTCAGTTATTCCTTTAAAATCCTGCCCATGTTCCTGTCCTCTTCCATTTTTTGAAGCACCCTTTTCTTTGCACAGATGGACTCTTCTTGATCTATTTCTTGCTTGCTTTCTCTTGTATTATTTGTTTCTGGGTGTGGATTTTGATCTGCATGTACCCCAGTCATTGAGGAATCTTTATCTGTCCATCAGTTCTGCTTTTTACCTGTTCAGAATTAATTTTTTTTCAATTATAGTACATTTCCCTTTTGTGGTAATTATTTCTCATTTTTTATTTTCAAACAAAGTTGGCATATGTTTACTTGATTGAATAATAATAGGCAATGATTAATAAAATGTTGATTTTACTAATGTGTCTGGTGGTGGTCTAAGTATTTTTTGTGTAACTCTGGAGAGTTATCATGAGCTTAGTTACTAAAACTTATTTTGATGAACTCTTCCCAAGTTTTGCTTCTATGTTTTTGAAAAATGCTTTACTATTTTTTCTTTATGAATGTAACCCATAAAGGGTGAAAACCCATGTAGGCTTTCTTCAATTTCATTTCACCAGATTCTTAAAAGTCTTTACTTGACAGCTTTATTACTGTGGTTTGACTTACACTGATGACGAAAGGCTGACTGAATTTGAAACCTTCAAAAAGAAACACTTTGAAATGAAAGATGATTTTTAGGGACAGGGAAAAAAATTTTGAATAATCAGAGAAATATTTTAAATTCTATTTCTTATATATAAAAAAGAATATTTTCATACTCATGTTATGGCTGTTGTTCAAATATAAAATAATGAAAGAAGCAGAGATATTTCATAAAACTAGGAATAAGATAGAGATAAGATTGCTTATCAACAGTATTATTTTGCAGGCAAAAAGTTTCAGAACCCCAACAATAAGAAGCATCACGCCTTTATCTGGAACTCCAGGTCTGTTATGTAATAACTGAAATATCTTTTTTGGTTTATAGTAATTAATTTTTAGTATGTAAAATATATAATACCTAAAAATTTATAAATAGCATTTTCTGATTATAAAAGAAAGATTGTTTAATGCTTTTTAATACCTGCATCTGAATCTATTATATTAAACTTTCCCTCTATTGAATGTTAGTTGGCTTCCAGTGTTTTTTATAATAACTATAGTTGCATCAGTTTGTAATTCCAACAGGAATATGTGAGAATGTCCTTCTTTTTAAACCTTGACAATTCTATGTACTCTGGTTTTTCAAGAATTTATGTGAAAAATCTACTCCTACACCAGTCCCTAGGGGGCTGACCCTGGCTTCACCGCCTCCAGACTCAGTGGACCTTGGGTACTGGGAGGCAGAAGGGCTTTTCTCCTTTTCCTTTTTTCATAAAAAGAATTTATGTGAAAAGTATTGTAGGGTTTTTTTCTGAATTTTTCCACTTCTTTGATTTATGTAATTAATTTTGTATTTGTTAAAGATTTTTGTTCTTCTTTCATAAGTTACCAATTCATCCCTTTGGTAATTTAAGGCTAGTCATTTATTTCCATATTAAGTTCCAAGAATTATTTGTATTTTAAGTCTGTATGTCATATGTATGTCATATTGATGGAAAATATTTTTTAATTTATTATTTGCTTTTTAAATCTATTAATGATGTTTCTGCATCTCTTAATTTTTATTATTAAATCTATAGATCTTAACCTTTGTTATTTCTCCCTTCATTTTATGCTCCCTTCATTTTATAGTCAGGATCCCACTATCCTGACTATATAAACACTACAGAAATTTACTACATAAATTTTTGCTTAGTTTTCAAGAGTTTTTGTGGTTTTATTATTTATATTTAATTTTTATTTCACCTAGAATTTACTTCATTTTTTGGTATAAAGTAGGGATCTTATTTACATTTTCTCAAATAAATCACCCATGACCCAAGCAATATTTATTGAATAATTCATCCTATCTTCCACGAAACACCTCTTAAGCTATAAATACTTATAGATACCCCTTTAATACTATACATATTTATTTATGGTTTATTTTTTACTAGAACTTTCAGAGCAGTTCTAAATGATATAGTGAACACAAGATGTAAGTGTCTGAATGCTGGTTTTATTGGGAAAATCTGTAAAGTTTTAATATTAAATGTATGGATATATGGATAGATGATCTTACACTGAGTTTTTTCCCTGTTTGCTTTTAGGTACACTAATAACAATCCGAGGCAGAATCTTCACTGATGTCTATGGAAGTAATACGGCACTAAGCTCAAATGGGAAAAATGTGAGGATTTTGAGGTAAGTTTTTGATGTGGAAACAAAAATATTCTTACAACTCATAGATGAGCTGTGAAATCCCGTGAATAATGGGTTCAATGATATTAAAAACCACTACAATGTGATGAGATTCCCAGTATTTTCCAGCCATATTATGCAAGGAAAAATAGACTGTTGCATAGTTCATTGACATAGAAACAATGGCCATCATTGTTAATCAGCTATATTCCAATACAAAATAAAAAGTTAAAAAAAGGAGAAACCATGGCCAATATACTTTTCTCTTTTGGCCTAACAGAACTACTTATTTTTCTATGATGGACTTTATTAATAGGAGGTACATGGAAGAAGTCTAATAGTAATTGAGCTGAAATCACAGAACTTCATTACTGGAGAACTTTATTACTTAATCTAGCTGCCTCATTTTGCACATATTAAAGAAAAAAAAAAAAAAAAACCTCTGAAGCCTGGAGGTCCATGGCTTAGTAAAGGTCAGGAGGAGAACCCGAGTTTCCCAACAGGCATTTTGGCACTTTTTCTACTGCACATGTGTATGGGAGAGAGCTGAAACAAAAAAGTCAATAATGTGTTAACAGGCTAGGATTTGAATCCTGATTCCTCCAGGTTCTAACTTTGTACCAGATGGTAACATTGCTGGTTACCAAAAGTATTGTCCACATTTTGGGTAGGAAATAGCAATGTCACTAGAGTTAATATAACTTCCTGCAGCGTTGGTAGGGTTATCTCGGTCCTGCCTTAAAAGACTGGAAGTCCTGCTCATCTCCTCTGTAGTTGAGATTTATTTCTCTTTAACACAAAGGAATCGATAGATATTATTTCTTGAAATCACAGAATCACAGTCAGATAAGACTTCAGAGATTAGGCTACCCAGCCTCTATATTCTGGTAACCAATTCACACAGAATCAAATCATAGTTTCCAAGATACTTCATGCTTACTGAAAACATGTATAAAATGGGTAAATGGATAAATTAATATTCAGCACACATATATGTACATATGTATATATAATTTTATAAAACATGCAATTTGAAAGGTTTTGCTAAATGAAATAAAGATGATTTGTCTAGCATTCTGTGGGGCAGAGCTCTCAATTAAATCACATTTGCATGAATCTATAATATTCTAGAAATATTTTTATTGATTCCTTATATAAAATAAAAGGACTACTAAAATAAACAAATATTTAACATTTTGTATGGACCATTTAGTATAAGTATTTTGTCTATTTCTATATAGTTGAGTATTGTGAATGTTTTATTTTTCATTTCTTAAAGCAGATTTTTCTGTCATCCTTTCCCTTTTCTGTCATCCTTTTCCTAATGATGCCAGGAAATAGAAAGTTTAACTTTCAAGTGATTCCTTTTTTCTTCCTCTGTAGTTGAGATTTACTTCTCTTTAATACAAAGGAATGGATAGAAATTATTTCATGAAATCACAGAATCACAGTCAGAAGAGACCTTAGAGCAGGCTGCCTAGCCCTTATACTCTGGTAACACTGAGATACTATTAATACATATAAATGTAGGGGGAAAAAAAATCACACATTGATCTATAGGCAAAGGTTTTAGAACTGCTTTTATCTCATTTCTATCACATTCATTGAGACACTGGAGCCCTCAAGGCACTCTGTTTTGCCTGAATTGTGTAGGTGGGAGCAGTGAATGGGCTGAGTCTTGACAGGAAGTCAGGAGACCAAGCACCCAAGCTGCTTCTGCTTCTCACAAGCTTTGTCAGTTTGGCCAAATCTCCACATTCAGACCAGGTACAAATGATAGAGGACTTGCAAATGACTCAAGGACCTAGTGCCTACTAAAGGAGCTTTTGGTCTAAAAGAGTGAGAAAAAAAATTAAATATATGTATTTAAGGGCAAATAGGGTAATATTACCATAGAGAGGCAAACCCACAGCACTGTAGGCATTACAGGGTGTGGTTAAGAATGTAACTGGAGCAGAGCTTTCTAGGTTTGAATTCCTGCTCTGCCCCTTCCTGGCTGCAGGCTTTGGCAGGCCACTTATCCTTCCTGGCTCAGCCTCTTCATCTGTAAAATGGAAGGATACTAGTTACTAATTTGTAAGTACTAACGCATAAGTTGCCAGGACTAAATGTAGTAATGCTGTAAATGCTGGCAGCTAAGTTTGTTATTTATTTGCAGTGAAGCAAAAGGTTATATCAGGCGAATGTATGCTCCTCGGTTCTGTCTCATCACAACAAAGATTTGAAGTGACGGACATTAAAGCCCCCCCTCGGCGTGTCACAGCTCTTGGGTCTTGACAGACCATGTTATAGCTCTCAGGTCTCGAATGGACCGTGTTATAGCTCTTAGACAAATCAGTGTTACAGCTCAGTATTACAGCTCTATTTTATTTAGATAATAGCAGGAAAATCCATCTTCGAGGCGTGAGGGCATGTTGACCCAAAGACGTGAAGAGAAGAGCGCCTCAGCGTGCGGGTGGGGGTCGGGGGGCGGAGAGAGAGAGCGAGCTTTGGCTCTTCCTTTTATAAGTTTCTCTCTCCCAGGGCCTGTCCTATGTAAATTGGGCCAGCCAGGAGTGCTGTTTGTTTTACCTGAGGTTCTCACTCCGGTCCTTGGACCTTCCTTTGTTCTATTTTCGCCGGCTTTTCCCTTCCAGGTCTTTTAGCCACCGCCATTCTGGACTCCTTTTCCCTATTCTAACTACCTAACAGTTAGAAAGAGAATATGAACTCATACATTTCTGTAATAGCATAGTAATTCAGTTTACTTTCTTTATAACCTAATGTAATGATCAAATGAAAGAATTTGTATGAAAAGTATATTAAAAAGTTCAAAGTTCTCTGCTAGCAGACATGCTATTTTTTATAATTCAGGCTTGTATCTGGCCTTATTTTGTATCTGGATTTGCTGTCCCAGAAGCTGGGGATTTAGTCTGGTATTGCAAAGAATGTGATAGTGTCAGTTAGCTACAAGCCTCCAGTATCACTGGGTTCTATCAGCCTTAAAGTAATAGGTCAGTCTAGTCACCTGGAGAAAGAAATGTGAAAGCAGATTTTCCTCTCGGCTTCTAATCCTCCTCAGCTTCTTGTTCCCATTTCACTGGCACTGATCCTATTAGACATTCTTTTCATCCCAATTACTTTGTGAGACGTGAGCCTTATTTAATTCATATGAAACTTAACTACAAAATTATATTTTGTATTGGAATTAATTGAACTTCAGATGGAAGAGTCCCCATTATCTACATTTGCTATCCCTATAGTATTAATCACTTTATAACACACCAAATATGTTATGATTATCATGTTTATTGTCATTCTTCCCCAGTTAGATTGTTAGTCCTATAATGGCAGCGATCTTGGCTCACTGATGTGCTCCAGCATCTAGAGCAAAATCTGTAACATAATAAGTGGTCAGTAGATGTTTGTTGAGTGAATGAATGATGGATACTACTAAGTGATTGGGAGAAAAAAAAATAAGGTGGCAGTAAGCTTGGTGGGAAGAGAGCATTTTGAAACAATATATTAAACACAACTTCATCTTTTCCAATAAAATATTTATACAGAGTTTATATTGGAGGAATGCCCTGTGAACTTCTCATATCACAATCTGATAATTTGTAAGTAATTCAAATAATTTTCTTTAGAAAAATAAACAGTAGATATAAACATACTACATTTAAATAGTAATTTCTAGCAATATTGCATAACCAAATGCTTTATAACACAGTATAAATTATAATATTTGATATAGTAATTTATCAGTCTTGATATAGTTAGATATAACCTGATATCCACTATCTCCAGTGTATTATGATATGAACTGTTGTTTAAATTATTTTGAGGAATACCTTTATCAAATAATTGTTTCACTTGGTAGTGTTTTAAATTCTTTAAAAGGAATATCAATGGGGATGACCAAATTAATGACAAAATATTTAATTTTTAAATAACTTCAACAAATACTGGGAAATATTTATTCAAATAGCTTCAGCTAAGACTGGGAAATATTTATTCAAATAACTTCAGCTAAGATTGGAAAATATTTTACAAAAATATTTGTTGTAGCAACAGTTTCTGTGCTGATACATATTCTGAAATTCATAAGATTTTCTGAGGGAAACACAATATTTTAAAACTTTAATGTCAATGTAAACTTTGAAATTAAAATGCGTATTTTATTAGGTATGGTCTAAAACTAGATCACCCAAATGGAGACATGGGTTCTATGGTTTGTAAGACGAGTGGAACTTACATTGGTAAGTGTTGACCATCATTTATCATAGTTCTCAGAAATGCCTGACTGTATTTCCTTGTTTGGTATTTTCTTAGACCTCTCCTATAGCCTCATCCCTTTTTTAAACATTAGCACTTCCTGTTTACCGTGGCTTTTTTTCAGCATCACGTAAGCATGTATGAATTACCTTTTTCTAAGGTTTACACTGAAGTGTCTTCAAGTGTCTCTTTTTTCATTTCTTCTGTCATTTAAATGATTCCATTACTAATTTGGCTGTTTACCTGTAGCTTTAATTTTACTCTGATTTTTACTCCTTGCTCCATGTACTTCAGAATCATAAACATTTTAATTAGTTAATGAGCTTTATTCCTTCTGCCTCAGGCTTCACTGGTGGCTCAGAAGGTAAAGAATCCACCTGAAATTCAGAAGATCCAGGTTCAATCCCTGGGTTGGGAAGATCCCCTGGAGAAGGGAATGGCAACCCACTCCAGTATTCTTGCCTGGAGAATTCTATGGACAGAGGAGCCTAGTGGGCTACAGTCTATGTGGACACGACTGAGTGACTAACACGCGCGCGCATGCACACACACGAACACACACACACGTACACATTCCTTCTGCCTCACAGCCTTTACAAGTTTCCGGTCCTGAAAGTTTTAGATAAAGTGTCATGTCTTCAAAAAAGCCTGATCCCCAGCTTTAAATTCTCAATGTTCGTTCTCCTTTTCCTTGATAGCTTTATCACAGTTTTTAGTTCTCTGTGTCCTTGCTTTTGACTGACTATATCCTCCGTTTGACAGCGTGCTCTTTGAGAAGAGCAAACCGTGTGCTCACCTTGCACCTCTCAACCCATCACTGACCCAATTAAATAGCTGTTAAATGAATGAAAGAAAATTGAGGGCAATATGATTACATATTTGTTCTTTTATTCTTCATTCATTATTATACTTTGTGAGGTTTTCCTGGTTACAACCTTGAGACATCTTATTTGTATATCTTAAAGTAGTAGGTGTTTCTTTAAGATATTTCATTTTCATTTCTTTGAGGATTAGTAGATGGTTGCATAATTACGGTGTTAATTTTCTTTGCTTTTAAATCAGCTTTATAATATATAGTTATTATTCTCCTGTGATTGAGAATTTAATTGATTGTGTATTTTAATTAATTCCAGGTCATCACAATGTCAGCTTCATCTTGGATAGTGATTATGGAAGGTAGATCATGTTGTAAATAATAATTTTCATAATTGATTCAACTGGGAAAATAAAATAAAAGTGTATATTTACTTTGTGCTATATATCCCTAGATTAAAAACTTAATTACTTTCAAAAAAATTAATCACTTTACCCAAATTAACATTTGAGGAGTCTGTAACTCCTGTTCACTAGTAATTTGTGTCTCAGACACGGCCTTTCAGTTGTTGGGAAATCTAGCATTACTTAAAACAATAAAAAAAATCTTTAATTGTGATGTGAAAAAGTGTCATTTTATGTTTTGTAGCCCTTCTTGTTTATAAAATTGTTTTGATAACCAATTAAATTTTTTCTGAATGTAAGAATATATAAAGCTTCATGGTTAATATTACCTTATACTGATGTTCTCTTAAAGTATCAGTACAAATGGAATTGTGAAAGATGGTAGTTACAGCTTTTAATCTTTCATTCTCATACCAATATTAATAACATATTTATGATTTCTAGTAAAACCAGAACTTATTTCCAGATACCCTAATTTCAGCCAGAAAGACCATCACACACTTATAGAAATACGAGAATATGCAAATCTCAACACATGTTGCAAGTCTGATAGATATAATAAAGAACCTTTAGTGGCAGGCATGGCCTTAAGCACTTTACATATATTATCTAGCTTGATACTCCCAGAGAACCTATAAATTGGATGTTTTCACCTAACCCATATTGCACACTGGGAAAACGAGATTTAGGAACATTAGGTGATTTGCCTAGGGATATTCAGCTGGCAGGAAACAGAGGTGGAATGTGAACCCAGGCAGTCTGACTCCAGGACCTGAGCCTTTCATCCAGTGCTTTGCCATGACCGATAGAGGGTTCCAGTCCCAGAACCACATCTCATCACTGTTTAACACCCTGACCCAGGATTCTCTACTTTGGGGGGATCACCCCATTCCTGGAGCATTTGCAAGGGTGTGTGGGGGGCATTTGTTGGCCCTCCCAGTCACTGGAGCATGCTGCTGGCCTTTTATGGGCAACACCATGATGTGCCAAACCTAAATTGTTCTTCCCAAAATGTCATAGCATCTCCTGTTGGGAAAGTGAACTGGTTGATTGAAATCCAAATAAGTTGCATCATTTAGCCATCCAATACTAATATAGTTGTAGTAGACTGATGATGAAAAATTGTTGATTTTTTTTTTGTCTCTGAAGAGAGACTCAGTGATTAGAAGTTTGGAAAGAGTGGCAATATTATAATCAAAGTAGATGTTATTCCTCTTCATTGTTTACAGGCTGCAAGAGAAGGGTGAGATTTGGTCTCTGCATGTATGGAAATGCAGTTGAGTTGGTGAAACTAAATCCGTTACCACTGTATTTACAGATGAGCTAGTTCTAGACACCTAAAGTCAGTAGGTTTACTTCCAACTTATAAACCTGGGCTGGACATTTTTTTTTTAAATTAGTTATTTTAAAAATTATTTCTAATAATAGTAACCATAATACTTAAATTTGAGACTTACTGTGTACCTGCCCTATTTTAAGCCATTAATGAGTATCAAAACCACCTTAGGGAATGTGCACTCTTTGTACCATTTTTCAGGTGAAGAAATTGAGGCACACTTTTTAAAAAATTGTGGGTTCTCAAAGCCCAGGGACTGTATTTTTTTTTAAGGTTTTATTATTATTACTTTTTGACCATGACTCATGGCTTGTGGAATCTTAGTTCCCCAACCAGGGATTGAACCCAGGCTCCAGCAGTGAAAGTGCCAAGTCCTAACCACTGAATCGCCATCAGAGAATTACTTTAAGTGCCAAGTCCTAACCACTGGACACTTTATTATAGAATAATATATACTGCACTAAAATCTTGAAGAATTTTATAATTCAAGATAAAGCCAGAGTGGGTGATATGTAAACAGTGCCAAGATTTACCTTTATGATTTACATGGGACAGTGACTTAGTCCCATGACTTAACTGTGATTTTCTGTAAGGACATGGCCTACTTAAATATAACTTGATAAGATCGGACAATAGGATTTTATTGAAATATTAGTAAAACATGTTAGAAGCAATGATATCAAGATTTAAATGATTTTGTGAACTATATATGGTTCCTTTGTGCTCTCAATGTCATTCTTCCTAAGGTGAGAAAAGTGAATTCTTAGTTCCAAGTCTGAATGAGAGGTGCTAATTGCCAAATCCATCATATGTCTCTCAGAGAAATAATTATCCAAAAATAGAAGGTTTGAGTGATTGAGCTTGATTGTGATTGATAGGTATACGTAAGTCAAGATGCAGCATTAACATACCCCCAAAATTAGAAAATTTGTACATATATAGGCAAAAATATTGCATAAAATTGTTAATTCTGTGATCTTGACTTATAATCACTGTTACCTGTTTTAAGCCAATGGATTTCCTTTTGTATTAGTGTCTCAGAGTTTAAGAAATTGTATTTCTATATAAAACATTCTTAATTTAAGGTGATTGTTTAAAACACGATATTTACTACTTAAAAATGTAGTTTTAAGATTACATGGCATTTTTAAAATGTTGTCATTTTATAATTAATAAAATCCATATTTTACAAATTTCTGGAGCATTCCTGAATATCAGATGAACCAACTGGAGACCGTGTAACATCTATTTTGTATTATTTTTAAAAAGAAAATTTGTTGAAGTATAGTTGATTCACAATGTTGTATGCATTCTGTATTTCTTTTAATGGGCAGCCTTCCCTCTTCTATTACCCCAAGTTTAAACAACAGCTGTTCCAAACTGATAAGGTTTAGATGAGACTCTCTTAATTGAGAAATGCCTAGTTATTATCAATGAATTAGTGAAAATCACCTCAGTGTCATACCAAATAAATTACATTCAAATTTTATTTCAGGAGGCAATTTCCCCACCAGCTTAAAAAGCAGAGTTAATTTTTCAGAGACAGGATCTGACCACAGACATTGTTGGAACTGGCTTCATTTTAGGTTTTTAAGAAATCAACTGAAAGGCTTATAATATAAACATTTAAAATCCAGTGTGAACTTCTTAAATAACTAATTTAGCATAGCATATTTTCAGGTACTCTTTAGCTTTGCAAATGCACATTATAATGCCTGTGTTAGATTCATAGGGAGTTGACTGTTGGCCTCCACTACAAGATTTCCATTATCCTTATAGATTCTATTTCATTGTGCTATAATTATGATGAATGAGTTTGGAGTCTTTAGATAACATTAGAATATCTTAACTTTTCTAATTATGAATTTAATTGAGGTAATTAAGAGAAAGCATTCAATTTTAGGATCACATTCTTTCCATTCCTAGCCCTTTAGGCTATGGAAGTCCGAGTATGTGTCTATTAAAAACATGAATAGGTTCTGTGTTTATTAAGGGTGACTTAACTATGGTGGACTGTTGTGTATCTCATGTAAGTTAGTGGCTAGAGAAGAGAACTATGTAGTACCCAGGGCTCTGAACTCAAACTACCTGGTTCAGATTCCATTTCTGCTACTGTCTTTGTGATCTTGACTAAGAAAACAGTCAATTAATTTTTTTTTTTTTAATTTTTTGGCCATGCTGCACGGCATATGGGATTTTGGTTCCCTGGCCAGTGATCGAACCCATGCCCCCTGCATTGGAAGGGCAAAGTCTTAACCACTGGATTGTCAGAGAAATCACTGATCTTGACTAAGAAGAAATTTCTCTGAGTATTACCTACCTCATGGGATTGATACAAGAATTAAATAGCATAGTAATTAGAAGCTTAAAAAATTAAAAATTTTAGCATACCTGGTAAGAGTTCAATGATGTTAGTTACTCTATCACTAAATGGGTCATAAGAGCACAGAGAGCCCCAGATGGTCATCCATAGAGCCCAACTTTTATGAAGCGCAGTCTTCCTGTGTGTTTATTTTTTATGTTAATACAAATTCTTACTTTATTGAACTATAATTTGCATATAATAGAAGGTGCATATTTTAAATGTGCAGTTCAGTGAGTGCTGGCAAATGTGTTTGGTGTATTTGTGGATTTAATAAACCAGGCTATAGAACATCTTTATTTTCCTCAAAAGTTCTTTCTTGGTCCTTTGTAAATTTTGATATGATTTCTATCACTGAAGTAAAAGAAAATTTCCTAAAATAAAGGTCATTTTTTAAAACAAGAATTTTTACTTTTTTTTTAAACAGGAGTTTACCAGAAAAAATGGCATATTTTGTTTCTTCTCTCAATAAAATTTCAATGTTTCAAACATATGCAGGTATGTGACCTTTCTGTGTGAGGGGAAGAGAAGTGCATATACTTTATTTCATCAAATCAAGTACAACAATGATTGTAAAGTATACTATATTATTTTATGTTGTTCTAAGAACAAAAAAACACCCAAGATAAGGAGTGCAGTAGGAAGCCCTGACATTAAGCCAGGATCTACAAAAAGCCAAGATCTGTAGCCAAAAACTACATTTCTGGTGTCAGGTTGATTGAGAAATAAACTTATCTCACTAAGAGAGACAGCAGGGAAACTTAAGCATCTCAACTTGGGATGTTGATCAAGGAAGGAAAAAAAAATCTCTGCTGTCAATTTAAACCCACAAACCAGCACTCTTGGAGATTTATGCTCTCAGTGTGGTCCAAAAGATTCCTCAAGGAAATCATAATTTATTTCAATTTAAAGAGATCTCAGTGCCAGGCCTGGGGTGATTCAGACGTGAAAGACGTTCAAAAATGAAAAAAATGTGTGTCTTGGAATCAATCAAATATGATCTATCCTGGCTTTTTCTGGAAACTTACTGTGAAACTTAGTGTGAAAGTGTTGGTTGTGTCCGACTCTTTGTAACCCCATGGACTGTAGCCTGCCAGTCTCCTCTGTCTATGGGATTCTCCAGGCAAGAATACCAGAGTGGGTTGCTATTCCCTTCTCCAAAGGGTCTTACCGACCCAGGGATGGAACCCAGGTCTCCTGCATTGCAGGCATATTCTTTACTGTCTAGGCTACAGAAGTCTATTTTATTTAATGTGAAACTCCTATGGAAAAAAAAAACAGTTCATTTGATAGAGTGAACTAATAAGAGTAAATGTTTAAAAGAATGTACCATGTATCATTACTGGTCTATTTTACTGGTATACATAAGACTCATATACAAAGCTGCAAGCATTCCAATCATAGTTAATGTATTAGTATGTGAGAAAAATTTAAGATGTTGGTCTGTAAATATAAGAAAGATTTCATTTTTAAAGAGCATAGAGAAAAGGTTGTTCTCTTGCCTTCCTGTTTTCTTTTGGAAACAAACATCTATGCTCAGCCCAGGTTTCCCTTGTTCTCTGGATCCTTCCATTACCAGTGTCTGTTTGGTACCAGTTACCACTAACCCTTGGTCCCCAGGAGATGCAGGTCTGTGTGAAGCCATGTTTATTGTCTTATTTGCAAGATTGCATCAGAGACAAAAGAATGAAACACCTGCTTCATTCCTTCGGTAATCCAGTACCTTTGCTATGTTATTTGCTATGGCTAGGTAATTTGGAAAATTTATAAAAGACCAATCTTTACATTTATGTGGAATATTCATAACATTTTATTTCTTGTCCTTCCCCTCCCCATGCCAGAGATCACTAGGATTTCACCTTCACAAGGGAGCACTCAAGGCGGCACCTTGCTAACGATCAGTGGACGGTTCTTTGATCAGACAGATTTCCCAGTCCGAGTTTTAGTTGGAGGTATTTTTCATGATCTTTTAATAAAAGAATGAATACTTCCTTTAATTATTTCTGTGAAAAATAGTAGTTGTGCTCAATTAATGTCTTAATTTATGAACTGGTATTTCCAGATGGGCATTTGGTCCTGGAGCTTGATGCTTTTCCCACTGCAATTTTCCAGTGAGGACTGCTCCTTGCAGCCTCATGTGACCAGGGTTTGGGCTCTGAGGTCAGCACCGAAGGGCATTGCACAGCAGCATCATGGCTGCCATCAACAAATTGCTCGCCACGCCAAAGACACACATAACCTCTATTTAATAGACTTTCAGATTACCTCTCTGAACTGTTACTATTTCTTAATGGGTTAGATAATTACAGGGAAATTTAAAGTGGCATTTCGGGAGACTCCTCATCCCTTTGTCATATACTCTGCCTTGTCTGGACATCAGTAATTACAGATTGTATTGGCCTTAGAAAGAGCATTAATTGATTTACAAATGTACATTGGGCTTGATTCTCTGGTTGTGCATCACTTTCATATGTCTGGTCCAGATCTGCTCAAAGGTAGGGAGCTAGGCAGCTCAATGGGAAGTTGGGAATGAATGTATAATGGGGATCTTCTCACTGAGTTAAAATGACCTTACCTACCTTGATGGACAAAGGACAGGATGTCTGTCCAAATACCTGGCACGTAATTTTTCTGATCGAGCCTTCTGCTCAGGTGATTTCTACTTTTAAGGAATCTGCTGATGAGCTATCCAAAATGTGATTTCAAGAAAAGGAATTCACAGAAAGCAACCTTGTGTAGCATTCATAGGACATCTTTCCTATCCCATGAATTCTTCCTGGCCACCTGCATAGGCCAAAAGATTTTAACATTTCATTTAATATGTTATTCTGTTTTACTACCTTTTAAATATTAAAAACAGGAACATAGACAAGTTTGAATTTGTATGTTTTACATCTGACATTATGATACAGCTGATATACAAAGATTACATGTTAAGTTTTTTTATAGTATTTCTTTGCCATTAAAGTGCAGCCAGATTTGAGATTTTGAATCCTCAATAATTTCTTGAAAATGATTGGTTTTTGTATCTTTCCTTTGCTCCAACAAAAATGAGTTAAGTTGGTTTAAAATATTGTTAAAATATACTGTTTTACAGTTCAGTGATCTTGCATCCACAAAGCATTCAAATAGTGAAAGGTTGTATTGAAGTGTACATTTTCCAGGCCACCAAACAAAACTTGGCAAAGATACTTTCCTCCATTTCCCTTACTTCTGTATTCATGGATTATTTCCATGTCAGTAAATAGTTAATGAGGGTTGACCTTTCATGAAGCACTGTGAGGAGCACTTGGGAGTCTAAAACGTAAACTCTTACTCAAGTCTAATTGTGCTTATGTATTACGATAATCATTCTTATTTAAAACCTTGTTTGTTTTGGTTTCCATCTGTCTGTGAAATAAATTATTATAAATTTATTTAAAAATTATTATCCTTTTTGTTTTTATTTAAAAAACTTGAACAAAACCACTGTTATCCTAAGACTGGAATCATCTATTTTTGTAAATTTTAAACATCACTGATTTATTCAGAAACTTTTATCCAGGGAACAAAACATATAAGGCTTCACTTTGGACCCAGATAAAACAGTTTACAGTGACATCATTTTAATAAACTTTTGTTTCTCAGAAATTATGAAATATTCTAACTCAGATTTGTGAGATTTTGCCAGCAAAATGTTGCCTTGTGGAAGTACAACTAATGTGCAACTAAAGCACAATTAAGGAGTGATAAGCTTTGACGGAGAACATGTAAAGGAAATGGAGACCCTTCAGCTTTGCCTCTTGCTTGTGCATCCTGGTTCTAATTGAAAAAGCACTCCAAATTAGGCTGGTGTGGTTTGCATTCTGAAGCTCTGTAGTAATGGCTCTGCCCTTGCTTCTCTGTAGGTGAAGCCTGTCATATTTTGAATGTCACAGAAAATAGCATATGTTGCAAGACACCCCCTAAACCTGATATTCTCAGAACAATATATCCAGGTAAGTCACCATTGGAGAGAAAGACCATTTCTATATTTGCATAAGAGGAATATTACCGACAGATATCTGTAGTGTCTTAGTCTGTTCAGGCTGCTGTAACAAAACATCATAGACTGAGTAGCTTATAAACACCATTGATTTCTCAAGATTCTGGAGGCTAGGAGGCTAGGAATCCAAGATCATGGCACTGTCAGATTAGGTATCTGATGAGAATCTGTTCCTCATAGATTAGGCGTTCGCAGGGCTAGGGGGAGCTCTGTGGGGTCTCTCATAAGGGCACGAATCCCATTTGTGAGGGCTCTACTCCCGTGGTCTGAACACTCCCCACAGGCCACACCTCCTAATACCATCAGAGTGGGCATTAGGTTTGAGTAGGTTTCAACATTTTAGTTTTGAGGGGACCCAAACATTCAGCCCATAACATGGTAAGAAAAAATACTATCTGAGCTTTTTACAATTTGTAGTGAGAATGATAAATTTCTTCCTAGTTTTTCTTTTATTTCTGGATTAGGAAATATTTCTATTAAATTAGTTGAATCAAGGCTATAGGAGTGGAGGTAAACCTGGCCTAAATTTCTCAGACACTATGTGAAAGCTCTATTGATAGAGTATGAAGGTATTTTTATTTCAAATCAAATGATTATTGTTAAATGTTGGTACAGGCTAATGGAAACATTTTTAATGCTTTTTTCCTAGTTAAAAAATAAATCAGTTCAGTTCAGTTGCTCAGTCGTGTCTGACTCTTTGCGACCTTACGGACCGCAGCACGCCAGGCTTCCCTGTCCGTCACCAACTCCCGGAGCTTGCTCAAACTCATGTCCTTCAAGTCGGTGATGTCATCCAACCATCTCAACCTCTGTCGTCCCCTTCTCCAACCTTCAATATTTCCCAGCATCAGGGTCTTTTCAAATGAGTCAGTTCTTTGCATCAGGTGACCAAACTATTGGAGTTTCAGCTTCAGCATCAGTCCTTCCAATGAATATTCAGGACTGATTTCTTTTAGGATGGACTGGTTGCATTTCCTTGCAGTCCAAGGGCCTCTCAAGAGTCTTCTCCAATACCACAGTTCAAAAACATCAATTCTTCTGCGCTCAGCTTTCTTTACAGTCCAACTCTCACATCTATACATGACTACTGGAAAAACCATAGCTTTGACTAGATGGACCTTTGTGGGCAAAGTAATGTCTCTGCTTTTTAATATGCTGTCTAGGTTGGTCATAGCTTATTGTCCAAGGAGTAAGTGTCATTTAATTTCATGGCAGCAGTCACCATCTGCAGTGATTTTGGAGCACAAGATAATAAAGTCTCTCACTGGTTCCACTGTTGCCCCATCTATTTGCCATGAAGTGGTGGGACCAGATGGCATGATCTTAATTTTCTGAATGTTGAGTTTTAAGTCAACTTTTTCACTCTCCTCTTTCACTTTCATCAGAGGCTCTTTATTTCTCCTCAAATGGCAGAGGTTAAATCCTTATCTAGAAGGATTTAGGTGTGATCACAGGGAATGGGAGAAATGGAACTCAAAAGTCTTTTCAGATTTTTCACCTGTGGCCATTGAAAGTGCAGCTGAGGGCTTTGAGGTCTGAAACTAGACCCCCGTGATGCTGTGCATGTGTGCGCGTGGATTTTGTGTCTCATCTTGTGCACCCAGTGAAATCGGTTTATAATTGTGTCATTGGTTGGTGTTTTAAGCCAAATAAATTCAGTTTATTAACCTTTTAAATGTCTTTGTTTTGAATGATATTTTAAAAGCTGATTTTTCATTTATTTATTTATGGCCATGTTGGATCTTCACTGCTGTACAGGCTTGTCTCTAGTTGTGGCGAGCAGGTGGTGGTGGTTTAGTCACTCAGTCATGTCCAATTCTTTGAGGCCCCATGAGCTGCAGCCCACCAGGCTCTTCTGTCCATGGGATTTTCCAGGCAAGAACACTGGAATGGGTTGCCACTTCCTTCCACACTGCAGCTCTCTAGTTGCAGTGCACAGGCTTCTCATTTCGGCGGCTCCTCTTGTTGCAGAGCACGGGATCTAGGGCGCGTAACCTCCAGGAGTTGTGGCACGTGCTCTCAGGAGTCATGACTCCCCGGCTGTAGCGCAAGGGCTCAATAGTTATGGATCCCGGGCTGTTGCTCTCAGCTTGTGGGATCATCCTGGATCAGGGATCGAACCCGTGTCTCCTGGGTTGGCAGGCAGATTCTTTACCACTGAGCCACAAGGAAAGCTCTTGAATATTTTTAAAATGATCAGTTTAAGAGGAGAATTTTGATATTTTTAATTGATTACGTTAAAAAATGTTATGTATACCAGAGCTTGCTGTTGCTTAAAAAGGTTGACGTGCTCAAGCTTTCTCTAACCAAACTCAGGAGATGAGTTGCAGTCGTTATTTTCCAGATTCAGCATTCCAGCCAAGCCTAAGCTGCTGGAGGAAGCCTGCACCTGATTGTTGTTGTATTTTAAGGAATAAAAATAAAAAATGAGATGGCTCCACTGTAATTAGGAAAAAATAACACTGGCAAGTGTTGTTCAGTCTCTAAGTCATGTCCGACTCTTTGTGACCCCATGAACTGCAGCAGGCCAGACAGGAAAGGAAGGACTTTCCTGTCCTTCACTATCTCCCTGAGTTTGCTCAAACTCATGTCCATTGAGTCAAGGATGCCATCCAACTAGCTCATCCTCTGTCGCCCGCTTCTCCTCTTGCCCTCAATCTGGCAAGTGTAAGTTTACTTTAAATGAGAATGTTCTCTCTCTGATTCTGTCCAAAAAGGAGATGAAATCCTACAGCACAGAGCAGTGTTAAAAAGAAGAAAAGTATTAGCAGAAACCTAAGGCAAACAGTGTGTGTTCATTGAGCCATTAATTGAGTAACTTTTATTAGAGATAATAATCAGGGTGAATGTTTTGTAATCAAATAGTCTGAATCTTGAAGTTTTGAGTGTTGACTACATAAAGCAACATCAGTCTTATCAAAAATAATAATGATATTAACACTATCTTATGTAAGGCATATGTACCAGGTACTTTACATATATGTGTGCATATATATATATATATATATATATATATATATATATATATAGGACTTCCCTGGTGGCTCAGATGGTAAAGCATCTGTGCCTACAATGTGGGAGACCCGGGATCGATCTCTTGGTCAGGAACATCCTCTGGAGAAGGAAATGGCAACCCACTCCAGTACTTTTGCCTGGAAAATTCCATGGACGGAGGAGCATGGTAGGCTACAGTCCATGGGGTCGCGGAGAGTCAGACACGACTGAGTGACTTCACCATCACCATATATATATATATATAAAATATATAATCCCCATAGCAGTCACGCAAGTCATAATATCATACTCATTTTATATAATGTAGAATCAGAGGTTTAGATATATGAAATAATAAATAAATTGTAGACTGTCTTAATAGCACTCTGTCCTCTGGGTACATCTAGAGATATATATAATTGTTTTGTTTATATATATACTCTAAAAATGTGAATAAAAATAGAATATCTATAAGCACTACACAAGTAAAAGTTATTGAGATACTGCATCAAAATTCTGATGAAAGCCTTCTTTTATTATGTTCAGGAGGGAGAGGTCTAAAGCTTGAGGTGTGGAATAATAGCCGGCCAGTACGTCTTGAAGAGATTCTCGAATACAGTGAAAAAACTCCAGGGTACATGGGTGCCAGCTGGGCAGATTCAGCTTCCTATGTTTGGCCCATGGAACAAGACACATTTGTTGCACGTTTCAGTGGGTTTTTGGTGGCTCCAGAATCTGACGTTTATAGATTCTACATCAAAGGTGATGACCGTTACGCTATTTATTTCAGCCAGACTGGACTTCCAGAAGATAAGGTAGGGAAGCCACAGCATACCACTTGATGTTATAGAAAAATATGATAACCTTTATATATGTCCCATTTATGCTACACTAAAACCAATGAATATACTAAGGAATTTATGTGGTGGTTACTTGGCTATTTTAACACATGTGATATGAGCCATAAAGTCATTATAGAAAAACTAATGCTTAAAAGAAAATGTTTTTCCATACCTAAATTTTTCCTAAGAAAAAGTATACATTTCCTTTAAAATTGAAGATTATTTTTATACTGAAAGAATTATAATCACCCATAGGAAATTTGGAGGAGTACAAATAGTGATCTTTTTCACTATTACTTGGTCATGAGATTAAAGTGTTTTATCTCCTTTTGTCTATATTTTATTTTTTACATAAATGGATCATGCATCCAATTTTATACTCATTTTTGTCATGTATTAGTCTTTTCACATATTATTAAATAGCTTTTATGATGCAATGTTGATGACTAAATAGTATGTTATTGCATGAGTTACTAAACTTAAGTAACTTTCCCCATACTGGTATGTTTTTAACTTCTGAGATTCTATGATCACAAATAATACTCTGTTGAACATTTGTGTTCATTACATTATTACATGTTTTATGTTATTTCTTTAGGACCATTTCACAAATGTGAAATTAATAGATCATATCAAAAGAATATCCACTCACTACATATATGGCAAGGTTGTCTCCCAGACTGGATGAACAAGTTTAAATTCCTGCCTGTAACACATGAATTCCAATTTTGCAGTAGTTTTTCAGCTTCCTTCTTTTAAAGACAGTATAGTCATTTCTGTTGGGAAGCCCAAAGTCTTCTCTTTGTAGAATGCAGACCCATTTAGTGATCTTTGGCATCTTTCAGATCTCTTTTTAATGATCTCATTTGGATTAAGTCCCTCAAAGTTCTCTGCAGAAAAAAAGAATATTTTATTTAACAATAAACAATCTTCCTCCCAGTATGGATCTTTAAATTTCCCATTTGCAGTTCTAATTGTGGAAAAGCTATGATCTGTGTGTGTTCATGGAATAGTGTGGTTGATGTTCATTAAGGTTGCAAGGAGTGAAGTGAGCTTTGATAATTTTTTAAGATCCTTTTCATAATGAATAATATATTAGAAGAAAAATATGAAGTATTTTCATGTTTTTCTGTTCATAAAAGGTCTAAGGCTGAGAGAAATAATAAATGATAAATAAATGCTGAAAAGGTTTATTAGTAAGTTCTTTTCTGTCTTTCTTCCCCCATCTCTTTCTCTGTCTTTTTGGAATAAGGTGAGGATTGCCTATCATTCTTCCAATGCCAACAATTATTTTTCCAGCCCAACACAGAGGTCAGATGATATTCATCTTCAAGAAGGAAAAGAGTAAGATTTTTTCTTTTCTTTAAACTATTGTGTGATATTTAAAAACCAAGAGTTTATATATAAAAATATTTTCAACTTGTTTTGTTGGTGGAAGTGATATTAATTTATTGGTTCAACTTGTAATTTGCCATTCTCCATAATTTTGTTACATTTGTTCCTATATTCTCAAGAATACTGACATTCAGCTAACTAGGGAAATTTGAAATCTAAATTATTCCTGTTATAGGAATTATAATTTTGTGAAATTTACTCAATCCTGCTTCAGTTTCTTACTAGGAGCTTTCAGTCAATCCAGCCATCAAGTTCTCTGCTCCTATTTTCTCTGTTGCTGGAGAAAAACCACAAAACCACATTGATTCGTGCCACAGTTAATATATATTTAATATTCTCATGATTTATTTCAGACCCTGGGCCAAGTACTGGAAATTTAGCTAAAGATATTAAAACATACTCCCTGCCCTTAAGTGGTACATTTTTTAGTGCTGAAAAGTCCAATTTCAGAGAGAAAATGATGATATTATTCAAATAGCTAATAATCCCATTCAAAAAGCCCTTCAGGATTCCTAGAAAATAGGGAGGTAAAAAATGTGATATATGCAAAATAGCTGTTACATGGAGAACATCAAGAGGTTCATGTAAATTACCTTCCATTTACCATTTGTATTTGTTAGGTTTTGCTGCATAAGAAACCATTCCCCCAGATTTAGTAGCTTGAAGCAACCCAATTTTGTGATTATCTAGGTAGTTCTTTTGATCCTGGCTATGTTAGTTGGTGATTAATGGTCCAGGATTGCCTTGTTCACATATCTGGAGTCTTGGCTGGCCTGGCAGGAACTGAGGTATCTAGGATATCTCAAGCCACAAGGTCTGTCATGACAGGCTGTTGCAGTGTCCCAGCAGTCAAGAGGGCAATTCCTAATGCACAGGGGCTTTTTAAACTCTGCTTATGTCACATTTGCTAATATCTCAGTGACTAAAGCAAAAGGCTAGACTTAGATTCAGTGGGTGAAGACAGACTTCACTCCTTTTTTTTTTTTTAATTTATTTTTGGCTGCACTGGGTCCTTATTGCTGCCCTCAGGCTTTCTCTAGTTGCAGCAGACAGGGGCTCTCTTCGTCAGGGTGCGCAGGTTTCTCGTTGTGGTGACTTCTCTTGTTGCAGAGCACGGGCTCGAGACACACAGGCTTCAGTAGTTGAAGCTCTCAGGCTCTACGGAGTGTGGCATTGGTAGTTGTGGCACATGGGCTTAGTTGCCCTGAGGCATGTGGGATGTTCCGGGACCAGGGATCGAACCTGTGTCCTCTGCTTTGGCAGGTGGATTCTAAACCACTGGACCACCAGGGACATCCTGGACTTTGCTTCCTGGTGGGAAGAGTTTTGTTTCTCATTCCAGCACATCACCCTTCCAAATATTGATTAGATTATGTTCTTAGGAAGCATCATGGAGTTGGTCAGAGAGGGTTGGGATCAACGTTACCTGAGAGAAACTACACTGAATGTTCTCACATGGAATAATAAGCATTCCATTCTTTTTCTCTTCCCCCTTCTACGATCACTGCTTTATATACTTAAGCCTTTTCTTCTTTAACCAAGATCGCCAGGCCAATTCAGAGTAAATGGAGTACCTTGTTAATTTCTATTGCTATTCAGTGTCAATACACCTTCAGGCTTTGCTTTGACCTTGGAAAATGAGTTCAATTCACCTGCTTGACAAGAGCACAGAGCTTTCATGAAGGTGGCTTGTAATACATCTGCCGCCTGGTTATCTGTGCTTCTGCAAACTAACTTGGAATTTACACATCAGCAGGAATAATGATGCCTGTGAGTCTTGAAATTGAGGCCACATGTCTGGTTTGTTGCACAGTGGTCCCTGGGACCTTTTCGAAGATAACTTGTCTTGCCCGTTCATTTTACTCAAATAATACAGCCTACCTCCACGTGCATATCTCTTGGGTCACCCTCCTTTCTATTTGAATCCTACCTCAGTTACTAACTTTTAAATAATTTTTCAGTCTTTAAAATTCTTAGTTTCTGTAATTCATGTGAACAAACAATAATCTATGTATTTATAGGATTTTGTGACAATTAAATAGAGTAATGTCTGTGAAGTGCTAGCATGTAGAAAGTGCCTTAAAATATATTTAAGCTGCCAATGATACAGAATTTAATGGTTCTTCTCCGAGTCCGGGCTTCCCTTGTGGCTCAACTGGTAAAGAATCCACCCACAATACAGGAGACCTGAATTCAATCCCTGGGTTGGGAAGATCCCCTGGAGAAGGAAAAGGCTACCTACTCCAGTATTCTGGCCTGGAGAATTCCATGGACTGCCATAGTCCACGGGGTCACAAAGAGTAGGACACGACTGTGTGACTTCCACTTCACTTCACTTCTCCAAGTCCTGCTCCCTAGTTAGTATTGCCCACCTTGATTTGGTAGAGATGGCAAACAGGTTCTCAGGGCAGCTAAAAGCCTGACATAATCCTCCAGTATCAGTCCTGTGGAGGAAATGACCCAGGGCCCCGTCTCCTTGCTAGATGGGAGATAAAAAATGCACTTCATTCACAGTCTTTCATGAACCGTGGACACTTTATCTCCATATACAAGAGTATCTGCTGAATAATGTGAGGCCATTTAAAGGAACTCCTAGCTGGCCTCTTCAAGGATGGGAGCAATGGTGACCCTGATAGAAACTTAGGTAGGAAAGATCCCCTGGAGGGAAAAATGGCAACCCACTCCAGTGTTCTTGCCTGGGAAATCTCATGGACAGAGGAGCCTGGTGGGCCATAGTCCACGGGGTCCCAAAGAGCCGGACACAACTGAGCGACTGAGCACACACACACAATAGTAGCTTTGCACTCACCTGTAACAACTGGTGGGTGAACAGCTAATTCTGCATAGGCAGTTGGATGATGGGCAGGGGACCTCAGGAATCAAGAATTCCAGATTTAAGGTGTGACTCTCATCTGGCTTGTTGGTGGGCTATCATCAGTCTAATCAGTAAACGTTTCCTGAGGCAGTGTTTTATTTCCCAAGTTACAAGTAGAGATGGTATTTAAGGAACTTAGGGTAAGAGTTTCATCCCTGACACATACAACCACTCAGATACAAAACAGATGGTATGTCTGAGCCTACCTGACATTTTCCTAAACACATTACAGTACTTTAACCTCTTGTGTCCCCTGTATTTTATGTCAGGAAGTTTGTTATAACCTACAATGTAATTGTTTTCAGCTCCTTGAGGATAGAGGGTAGTATCTCTTTCAGTAAATATTTATTGACAACACTAAGTGAATTAGTCATTTTCTTTATCTCTAATGCAGATATCTTACACAACTCATTTTCTTTTAGCAAACTGCTGTGAAGTATTTTGATAGTTAAAATGAGGAATGCATGTGTGCTAGTCGCTTCAGTCGTGTCTGACTCTTTGCGACCCTCTGGACTATAGCCCACCAGGCTCCTCTGTCCTTGGGATTCTCCAGGCAAGAACACTGGAGTGGGTTGTCATGCCCTCCTCCAGGGGATCTTCCTGACCCAGGGATCAAACCCACGTCTCTTACATCTCCTGCATAGGCAAGCCGGTTCTTTACCACTAGCACCACTTGGGGACAATATAAATCATTTAACGGACAGGTGTATTGTATCATGTAGAAATTTATATTCATTGAAAGCAAAATTCATGATAAGTGCTCTGGAGAAAAAGTTCCAATCTTTAGTTATTCTATTTTCCAGATATTACATTGAAATCTTGCTACAAGAGTACAGACTAAGTGCTTTTGTGGATGTTGGACTGTACCAGTATAAAAGTGTCTACACTGAAGAACAAACAGAAGATGCAGTGAGTGAAGAACAGGTCATCAAATCCCAATCAACAGTTGTCCAGGAAGTACAGGTTGGCCATGATTATAGATCCACCTTAAAGAAAGCAAATGTTCAAAGATAGAACTCTATTTGGTTATTAACTGTACTAGGTAAGATACTGTTTGAAAGGGAAGCAGTCATGGGAAATTATTAAATTGTACCTTGGAATATCTGTAATTATAAAGAGCCTGTTATTTGATGACTTGCACTTTAAAATAGTTTATTGTTTACAATAAACTATAGAGGCATTCAGTAGCTGATTTATGATGCTTTTAAAAAATGTATTTTTCCATATAGTAAATAGATGGTTTTTTTAAACTGGGGAATAGGTTATAACAGTGGAAAACTGGGAAACAACTCATGCAACTAATGAAGTGCAGAAGGTCATGGTAACCGGCCCATGTGTGGAAGCTAATTTATGTTCACTTTACCAGTATAGATTGATCTATAACATGGAAAAAACTGGTAAGTTGTTAAAAATGAGGTAGGCTTTATTTCTCTTTATATATAGACAAAATTTTGAAAAGGTATTTGCTTTAGTCAAATTCTACTATCTGGAAAATACAGTTTTAATAGTATGCTAGGTAAAGAAGCAAAGTCCTACTATGAAGCAAACTCCTCAGACTGGGATAGAAAATGGCATCAATAAAAACAACTTTCAGGTATATACTGTCATTTTCTTCTATAAGGATCTTGATAAATGCATATTTAAACACACAAAAACATATCTTCAACTCACAGATATAAGTTAATAGAAATTAAATTTATCATGACAGACAGGTAATCATTTCTTTCAATTTCTCAAATTAAGCGATAGACCTATGAGACATTAGTTTATCTGTTAATAAAGATATTGTATTTCTTATTTTATATTAAATTCCCAAAAATAATTTTTCCTACTTCTATCATTTCAATAAGTAAATATTGATAAATACTTACTGTTTGCCACATGGGATGCTTATTACCATGGGAGTATTAAAACAATAAAATATAAGCCCTGTCCTCAATAGATCACAATCCAATTAAGTAGTCAATAATATTGAATTTGAATCTTTCAGGACATAATTTCATTAAGTAATAACTTATGATACAGACTGTAGGTACTTTAAAAAATTCAAATATGAGACATCACTGCTGGCTGTGGTAGTACAGAGATTGCAACCCATTTTTTTCTGATTAAAGTTCCTAATCATTTGACTTTTTAATTTTGTTTTATTTCGTACAAAGTCTGGCTACCTGCTGATGCTTCTGAGTTCATACTGCAGTCAGCCTTAAATGATCTCTGGTCTATAAAACCGGACACAGTGCAAGTAATAAGAACACAAGACCCCCGAAGCTATGTTTACCTGATAACCTTTATATCAACTAGAGGTAAGCATGTATTTCATTTTGAAGTTCCATAATGTTTTTTCTAGGAAGCAAATTTGTATCCTGTGCACCTCCATTGAAAAAGGTAAAAACACCATAAAATGAGAGGAGAAAGGAAGTGGATTCATAGATCAACTTCAGGAGAAACAGAAATTAGATAGTTAAATTTTTATATTGTAACTTAAATTTTAGTTGTATTTCAAGGAGTATACAGCTCCAAATGCATGAGAAATACACTACACTATAGACTACAAATGCACTATTAGTAATAATCTACTTTATATTTAGTAAAAAATTAGTGAAAATATTTAATTCTGGAAATGAAATTTAAGTAAAGCAGTATTTCTCAGGAGACACTTAGTCTGGCCAGATCTTGCCCATTGAAAGGATTCTGTGGTCAAACCCACATAGGAAACACTGCATACCACACCTTCTCCTTGAAGATTTATAGAACCCATTAGAATATTAAAATCCCCAAGGAATGCTGCAGTGAGCAATAAAAACAACAAAGCAATAAAAACAAAAACAAAAAAAAGCAGTGCTGTATTTATCTATAGCTGTATTTAATATAGCATTTTCAAAATTATTTGATCTCTTTACCCTTTTCAAGTAATAGCTATTAGCTTCCAATTACATTTTCAAGTCTTGAAGCCAAATTTAGCAACCAGTTTGGCGTCTCAGACAGTAAAGAGCCTGCCTGCAATGGAGAAGACCCGGCTTGATCCCTGGGTCAGGAAGATCCCCTGGAGGAGGAAATGGCAACCCACTCTAGTATTCTTGCCTGGAAAACTCCATGGATAGAGGAGCCTGGAGGGCTACAGTCCATGGGGTTGCAAGGAGTTAGACAGGACTGAGCAACTAACACTTTCTTTCTTTCTTTGGGTATTTGGGATTTCTGGCTCATGTAATAGATCCCTGAAGAAGTTGCTTTTTTTTTTTGGAGTAATCACTATTTTCTAATTGATATAAGTAAAATGTTACTTCAATGTTTATGTTTTATTGTTAATTCAATGAAATTGTTAATTCAATGAAATTGTTAATTTCATTGCTGAGTAGAGAATTTTGTTTAACAGGAAGTTCTAAAAATTTCCCATAGGTTATCTTGTCAAAATGCTATATAAATAAAGATACTGTTATCTTTGTTCTCTCAGAAACATGTTTTTAGATCTAAGAGAAATTTTAAGGGTTCAGCAGAAACCTTAACAAATACGGTACTAAAATCATAACTGGGAAAATTCTTGGACTTTACTCAACAGAGAAAGTCATTAGGATTCCATTGTTAAAGCATCTTCCCAGTGAAGAGAAACATCTGAGGACAAAGCCTGATTTCTCTGAAAGTGAGATGGTATAAACAAGACCCACAGGCATGAGACTGTTTCCTGTGATTCACCTTTGTACTCTATTTGTATCTGAGGAAAAGAGCAGTCCCAGCCTAGCCCTTTACACAATGATGATGGTACTGGAACAAAAATAAAAGGATTTTATTGCCCATTGATTTTTACCTCTTGATTCCAACGCCAACTTCTGTTTATCTTTCAAACGTCCTTTTACACTACAAAAACAAAACCTTAATATATATAGCCCTTTATCTGCTATTTTCCTATTTCTACTATGGCTAAATCTCAGATTTGAGGCTCTGCATCTTCTCCGTTCATCCTTTTGTGTGTGTGTGTGATAATACAATACAATTCCAAATAATATAATTCCAAATTGTACAATTTGGAATATAATACAATTCCAAATAAAACCAGTTTTGTTAAATCTGAGTTTCTTTTATGGCTATATTGGTACTTAATTGACTGCCTCAAATTCTGTTTGGTACTTCATTGCAGGAGACTTTGATCTGCTCAGTTATGAAGTATTGGAAGGGAACAATGTCACACTGGCTATTACAGAACAAACCAAAGGAAAACCCAGTTTGAACACCTTCACACTCAACTGGGATGGGATCACTTCTAGGCCTCTGACGCCGCAGTCATCAGAAGCTGAAGTATGCTGTGTTCATTTTTCAAACAGAAAGCTACTTAAACATCAGCCTTCTACAAAAATACATTTTAAACAGTGGTAATACACCTCCTACTTGGCATGGTGGGTTAGAGCTAACTCATAGCGAGCAGAGAAGTGGGAGATACCACAGTGACAGAGGGAATGAACGGGGAGTTCTTAGGTCTGTGCCAACAGGGTCCGGGTATCTGTATATGGAGTGTCTGCTCATCAGGAACATTTGCTTGTGAGTTACTGCATTTTCACAACTGCCTGTACAATGAGTGTGAGTTAATATTTGTTTGATGACTAAAGATCATACACTATTTCAAGTCTTTAATTCTAAATATGTATGCTTTGCCAGAGAAATAATGGTGTGGAAATTATAGACCTCATGAATGTGTGCCAATTCCTGTATTATCCAGATTTTTTCTTAAATAATAAAGGATTGCAGAATCTGTATTTCTTCTTTTGAGAAACAGAATGCACTGGAGTATATATATATTTTCCAGTTAATTTTTCATTTGATTGGGAAAGTTATTTATTTGGAACTGTTTAATGAGGGGCTAATTCACTTAGTTTTACCTCATTGATGCTTTTAAAAAAACTGCTAAACAAATATGCCTACAGTATGTAATAACTAAATAAGCTCAGATCAGCCAGTTGGATGTAACTATTGACATTCTAAAATAAAAATATTTTTTTTTAATTAAATTGGGGGGCCATGCCAGGCATCTCATGGGATCTTAGTTCACTGACCAGAGATCAAACTCAGGCCCTTGACAGTAAAAGTGCCAAGTCCTAACTGCTGGACCATCAGGGAATTCCCTAAAATAAAAATCTTGAAACAGTCATTATACTGAAATTATCATATATAAACTTAAAAATTCTTTAGGAAATGACCTCATAATTATGGCTAACATGGGAATTATCTTATGAAATTATTCCTTTAAAACTAATTAGAATTAGTAGTAAAATTACTAATGTTCTAACCCTTCATAAAGAAATTACTAAAGCTTTAGTTATTATTTATTAATTATTGTTAATTTAGTTTCAGGCAGCAGTGGAAGAAATGGTTAGCAGTAAGTGTCCACCACAAATTGCAAATTTTGAAGAAGGATTTGTTGTGAAATACTTCAGAGATTATGAAACTGATTTTAACCTGGTATGGAATGTTTAATTAACCTCAGAATGGACAAGATAAGAATTCATATAGATGTTTGGAATTTTGTCATTTTTTGATTAGCATTAATTCCTTTATCATTTAAAGTCAACTAACAAATATAATTTTGTTATATGTTTATTGATAAGGTTCTAGCATCTTCTTTCATTATAAAATGATTCATTTGTAAAAGCAGTATTTCTACGACATATGAATTTTCTTAATCAAGAGAAAGTAGGCAAGATGGGTAAATGTGAGATCTGTAGGGTTTTTTGTTTGCTTTCTTAGATTCAGAGTATATTCTTTTTCCTCATGGCTTCAGAGAATATAGCTTGTAGTAGAGCATTATATAGTGAAGTTTTTCCATTGCTTTTTGAGATCACCCTCTGGTCAGTTAATATGAGGCCTAGTCAGTATTTACTTCTTTGTAAAATACAAAGATTTTTCTTTGATTTACAGTGATAAATTTAAAATATACTTATCTTCCTCTTATTTTGAAGACTCAAGGAAGCCAGATATTCACCATTTCCAAGTGAATACCTTAGGAATAAGAAATATTTAGGCAAGTTATTCAATTCAGATCAGTACTCCAGAAATAAATGAGTCCTTTAAAATATGTGTGTGTGTGTATATATATATATATATATACACACACACATATATATAACATATATCATGTCATGCTTTATGCAAACAGATATATTAGTGAAAAGGGAAAATCATTTAATGGGCTATGTTTTCAACTTGATTTAATAAATATACATGTATTCAGGTTCTTCTGTCCTGAATGTGATACTTGCAGATAAGGAAACTGAACAAGTAATTTACATTATACTCCTTTCCTCCTTCATGTACAGTCATCATCGTAACACACATTCTTGACTCACGTTACCTTGACTCTGAGTTTCCCAGCACCACTCTCTCACATCCCTGCTTCTCTGCATATATTTTAACCCTCTCTCTAATCCTGCTTAGCTCCCTTTTTCTTTTAGATAGCAATCCATTTGTCTCTTCTCCTGAGTCATCTTTTTTGATACTATTATGTGAATTAGACACCTCCCTTCAGGCCTAGATTTTTAATCCTCGGTTCCTTTGTCCCAGGTTGGTGGGCTCCTGTGTGTATGGATAGGGTGCTTCGCTCCTTGAACCCTGGAGATTAAACAAAAAAAAAGCAAATGAACACACAAGCCAACACCTGGCACAGAGTGAACACTAAAAATCATCTGTGAAAGGAGTGAATAAATGTCCCTAAGGATTTCATAATATAAAGGGAAATGTAGGGCTTAGGAAATAGTCAAATACAGGTACAGGGATTATACGATTATGGATCTAAGTGAATGATATAGAATGAGAGCCTTAGACTTTCAAAGAAGAGAGGAAACATTTCAAGTTAAAGCAGTTTGGGAAACAGTGGGATCTGAGTTGGAACTTGGATGACTTAGCTGAAGATGCTGGGGAATAAATCAGAAAAATAAACCATGTTTTCACTTGAAATATTATTATTTCTGTAGGAACATACTAATAGAGGGCAAAAGACAGCTGAAACGGATGCTTACTGTGGTCGTTATTCCCTGAAAAACCCAGCTGTTCTTTTTGACTCAGCAGATGTTAAACCAAACAGACTACCATATGGAGACATTTTATTATTTCCTTATAATCAGGTAAGCTCAACAAAATGATATGCTAATTGAATTTGTAAAATACCTTGGTAATAAAATTTCATGAAATTTTGAGACAAGGAAAACTGCTTGTCATGTGAAATCTCATCACATTGGCCTCGCACCATTCTTCCCATTCTGAGTGCTTGCAATTTCCTCTTCTGCTGATTCTCAAATAAAGAAATTTGGAGACACAGACATAAAGAACAGACTTGTGGACGCTGGGAGAAGGAGAGGGTGGGCTGCTTCCAGAGAATAGCATTGAAACATATACATTACCATATGTAAAATAGATAGCCGGTGGGAGTTTGATGTATGATGCAGGAACCCAAAGCTGGTGCTCTGTGACTACCTGGAGGGGATGGAGTGGGGAGGGAGGTGGCAGGAGGTTCAGGAGGGAGGGGTCACATGTATGCCTATGGCTGATTCATGTTGATGTATGGCACAGGCCACCACGATGTTGCAAAGTAATTATCCTCCAACTAAAATAAGTAAATACGTTTTAAAAAATAGGTAGTGCCACGCACATGTATTCTGCTTTATCTTATAATTTCAGGAAAAAATTATTTGCACATTAGTGTAAATAGTAAAACAATTAAAAATATATACTCTCTTCAATATTCCTTATTATTTAAGAAGAAACAAAAATGGATTGCCATTATAATGATTTTGGGTATCTACTCAGGAAAAAGTGAAAGAAAAGCACAGAGGAAATACCAGTTTTAGGATAGGTATTACACACACCTAAGCCAAGAGATCATAGATTTACCCTTTCTATTTTTAAGAAATTATCCGGTTGTTGTAACACATGTTCTAAACTTTTAAATTTTAGATATATCTGGCATTCTTAAGGAGTTATGGAGAATTAAAATTAGTATTTAATGAGTTTTGTATGATAACAGGGCTTTCCAGGTGGCGCTAGTGGTAAAGAATACGCCTGTCAAAAAAAAAAAAAAGAATATGCTTGTCAATGCAGGAGACACAGGAGACACAGATTTGATCCCAGGGTTAGGAATACTCCTGGAGGAGGGTCTGACAACCCACTCCAGTGTTCTTGCCTGGAGACTCCCATGGACGAAGGAGCCTGGCAAGCTATAGTCCATGGGGTCACAGAGTTGGACACGACTGAAGCTCCTTAGCACGCATGATGGTAACACGTCTACCTGTAAATGTTCAGCTGCATTCACATCCTAGTTAATCTACCTGAATGCTTCTGTCTTCTTTATGTGTGTAAAGGGCTTTTAAATTCACTGAAGTGTTCAGAGTTGACCTTCATCGTTACATAGCTCTATGACTAGAAGAGTGAATTATTTCCTTTTCTTAAGGAAATAATATCTAAGAAAACAATAAAAGAATCATTCATTGTGAGGTCACATCAACTCCACTTCCTCTTCTATAAAATCTTCCCAATTCTTCTGCATCTGATTGTCTAAAGTTAATCATTCCTTCCTCTATGTTCTGATATATTTTGTATTAAAAAAGCTCAGTAGACATTTATTGGATTGTATTAATTTGAATTTCTAAAAAAAAACTTAATAGTAAGATACTTTTACTAACTTTTTAATATTTTCTATGTAGTTATGTTTAGCATACAAAGGATTCCTGGCAAATTATATTGGTCTAAAATTTCAATACCAAGACACAAGCAAGATTACTAGAAGCACTGATAAACAATTTACATTCAAGTTTGCATATGGAAACAAGTAAGTTGCACTGTGAATTTGAAAACTTTATACTATAGTATGTAAACTATAAATATAAATTCATTTCTTGTTTGTTTGTTTTTGAGAAATCTTGTGCACCCTGGGTCTAACCACGATTTTTCTGTCTTCTACATAAGTTTCCTTACAGAAGTAGTTGTGCCAAAAATAATCTGTAGATTATGAAAATAAAAATTGTTTCTTTCATCATCCATGACCATTTAAAAGACAAAACAATGGTAAACTTTAGAATTCAAGTTATGTATTATTAAATCTAATAGTGTTTCTAGTTAGTGAAGGAAGGTAGAGACTGCTTTATCACAGTATTATCATTAGACTGATCACTGAAAAAAAAGTGAATGTGTGAATGGAGAAAATAATGTATTTTGATGGACATACCAAAGGGAGAAAAGAAAGCATTAGTTGCTCAGTCCTCAGTCGTGTCCAACTTTTTGCAACCCTGTAGACTGTAACATACAGTCTTAACCACTTGACCACCACAGAATTCCTAAAAAGGGTATCTTGACGGAGGACTTTACTGCTGGATGAAGAAACTGCTCCCCAGCCCTGCCATTTCAGGCTTCCTGCTTTCTTGATCATCCAAACACTGTTTTCAAAATGCAGGGATCAGCTTTTGATTTCATACCTTCAGAAATGCGTAAGCTCCAAAACACATAGAAATATATTGGACTATAAAGGGAATTTTATTTGTTAAAGATTTAAGAAAACTTTTTAGATGGATCTCCCATGAATGGGAGAAAAGGGGTGATGTAAGGAGAAAACCAGAGTTGCCTGTTGGTGCTCCCTGAATTCCATCAGGAGAAAACAAGATGTGCCCACTGGCCTGATGACAGGAGCAGTGACAGGATGGGACCAGACAGGTGAGTGGGAGCAGACAGAGCCAGTCAGAATTGTGGGCTTGGATGCAGTATCTAATGATATGCTGCACTTCTGTGCCCCATCCCGGCTTTTGTTGTTGTTGTTGTTATATCTTATATATTTAGTTAAAATCATGTTTAACATTCACATTATTATGCCAATGTAAATATCTGTGGTGAGCTCCTAAAATGTACCATTATTATGTTTCCATTTTCCTCCCTTTTTTCCTTCCTTCCTCCCTTCTTTCCTTCCTTTCTCCCTTGTATGTATTTTTTAATTAATTTATTTTTTTATTGAAGGATAATTGCTTTACAGATTAATTTGAAAGTTTTAAAGTTTTGCCAGTACTCGTAGCTTTGTCCTTGCAGAAGTGGGATGACCTTTTATTAAGAAAAGAAGGGAAGTTATAGTCTTTGGTTTTCAAAAAAAAAATGTTGTATTTCACGCATAGCCTTCTGGCATCATATCCTGAGCATATAGCCCTAATGACCTTCAGATCTTCTGCTCAGTTAGATGAAGTAGGGGCAACTGGGAACCAATTTTAGGTCCTGGTGTCAGAATCTCTAACCATGAGGTAGGAAGCCATAGTTGAAATGTAGGTACCCAAGAGATGTTTGTCAAAGAGGAAATATTTAAGAAGAACCCTTCAAAGAATGGTTCAGGACACATGAAAAGTCTACCACTGAATATTCCTTAAATTGTTGGACTAAGCATTAAAAGATACTTATTTTTGTTTTACACCAGGAATAAAATCTAGAATCTTGCTTTCATACGATGTAAAGAAAGAAAAATCTTTTATACACAAAGACAGAAAGTTCATCAGATACTGAAGTTTGGTAAACTTGAAGTGGACTTCAAAGGGCAGAGAGCTGAGGGAGCTCTGTGTATGAAGTGGACAGTGTTGGCACAGAACTAAAGGAAGCTGCTGTCTGAGAAAATTGCAGGACACTCTTGAGTCTTGTTTTCTAAGAAAAACTTAAAATGAGTCAAAACCAATTCCACCCCACCCTAACAAAAGAAAAGTAATCTTCCTGAATTAGTGCTTTAAAAAATGTCCTTTTACTGACAGTTCAGATTTCACTCTCCAATGATGTTGATTAAACAGAGTATGGCTCTTATGTTTGCACTTTTGACATGTTTAATTCGTTTGGTCCATCTTGTCTGGGGCTTCCCTGGTGTCTCAGATAATAAAGAGTCTGCCTGCACAGGAGACCTGGCTTCGATCCCTGCGTCAGGAAGATCCCTTGGAGAGTGGAATGGCAACCCACTCCAGTATTCTTGCCTGGAGAATTCCATGGACAGAGGAGCCTGATAGGCTACAGTCCGTGAGGTCACAAAGATTCAGACACAACTGGATGACTATCACTTTCACTTTTTCACTTCATCTTTGTTTTTCACAGAAGATGAAGAAGATAGGCAGAAAAAGAGAGAGGCAGAGACATAGAAAGAGACAGAGTATTGAAGAAGGTGTTGGTTTCCCTCCCATGCATAAATGTATCTTTGAGGCTTTTACAACAGTTTAATCCAATGTATAAAATGGGACCAGAGTTAGCTCCTGGAATGAATGAAGCCACTGAGAACAATCCTGCAATTCCCCAGGGTAATTGTTGAATCTGGAGAGGCCACAGCCACTGTCTGTTGGCCGTCACACAGGAGGGAAGCAACACCAAGGGTCAAGGTGTTGGTCCTTTAATGGACTGGAACCTGGTGGTCTGGAGTCCACGATGAGAGAGTGAAAGCAAAGAGGCTAATATTCCCCGGGTTACGCAGCCGGCTTCCGCGCTCCAGGGAATCAGCCAGAAATAGAGAGAGAGAGAAAGAAAGAAAGACACAGGGACCAAAGCTCTGATGGAGCAAAGGTGTTTTAATCAACATGGCATGGGCATATATACTGTAACGCGATCCCTATCAAAGACAGAGTTGCAAAACAATCACCTTTTACCGTATGGTTCTTAAGAAGGAAGAGGGTATTTACCACTGTAATGAGAAATGCCTGGATTCCTCAGCCCTGAGAAAGTCGTGCCTCTCCTCTTAATTCCTGAATATTCAGGAATTAATAAGGGCCAGAGGGTTCCTGACAGATCCAAAACAGCACACAGGAAGCCTCTTGTTAAATGCTTCCTGACATCAAGGCAGCCCTCTCCACATTAATAGGCAAGGAGCATGGAAAGCCTGTGCACAGAAGGAATATATTCCACTGCGTCATATTCGGTTTGATTCAAATCAGGGGTAATCTGTGATGAATCATTGTGAAGCAGAAGTCCTTCTTGAAGGGACATTCCTCATGCCCAAATTGAACTATGGAATCACAATTCTAATTTTGATCACCACCACCTATATGCATTTCATTCTTATTGCAACGGGATTTTGGAAGATTTTACAGGTCTCAGTTCTTCCATGTCAGTCAAACCATCACTGGGCACATCACTAAGTAGTCCTCCCTTTAGCCTGCAGTGTATCTGCTGTGTATTAATGTGAAGATACATTACATTTGGTGAAATTAATGGGCTTCCTTTACCCTAAATGCCACAAGATCTCTCAACAAAAATATCACGCTTTAAAAGAGGATTCTCTGGTTAAAAACTATTAATGTTACCAATGAAGACAAAGTAAATTCTCCTGCTCCTAGCAGGTGTTTCTAGACCTGCTTTTATGTTTGTAAGACAGTCCATTTATAGACTGTTAGCATTAGTTTATTTTCAGTACATTGTTAGTATCAAAAAGTGCCATTTTTTCTCAAATGTTGTTTGTTGTCTAACCCTCCAAAACCAGTGATGTTTGTAGCTGTAAATCAAGCCTCAAAATCCCAAAGGCAAAATCTGGTTTTCCTTTAGAAAATGAAATTATCTAGTCCCAAAACACAGAATGTGCTGTTTGCTTAAGTTTTGATATCGTCTGTAGCCTCCATTTCTCTTATGAAGGGTCTGGCTCAGTGGGTCATTTTTTCCTAAGTAGTTTTTAGAACTTCAGAATCATATAATTAGTCATGGAAGTCTACTTAGAATCCCAAAGTACTTTTTTAATTTAAAGAGCACTTTAACTTAATGTAGTTCTGCATATAATTTTCTAAAAGGATGCAGTCTCAGCTTTGATGCACTAGAAATGGATTCCCTGATGAATTTGCAAACCACAGAGTTTCAAAATGAGAGTAGAAGGTGCTCAAACTAACCAGTTAACCAGCTCATCGGTAGCTGATGCAAAGCTTATTGTTAAACTGTACTTAGTTATTTGAATGGCAGTATTTCTTTTCTTTCTTGAAAACTCCAGTTACTGAATTGCTTATGTAATTTATGAGATTTCAATGCAGTTAATATTTAATGGAACTCTGAATCTAAATTATACATTTAGAAGGTACTGTACAACCATTTGTATGGATTAGTAACTTTTGCAATGTTTGTCCCTTAGTTATAGTGGACAGTGGAACTCCACTGAGCTCTTTTGGAAGTATTATCAAATTACAGTCTTGCCTCTTACTATTGGGGCTGAATTCACTGTTCTATCCCTGATAAATATATTTTTTAACAAAATGATTTCTTCATTCTTGTGTCTTATTTCTATGCACTTTCCACCAAGGTGCATGCTCCTTAGTTGACTTACTTGTCACTGTAGAATGTTGCTTTACATTCCTATGTCTACTGTCAAGGCTACAAATAAAAGCTATTTTTGCAACATTAAATCTTTCCCTGCCAGTGTAAGTTTTTGCCTGCTGTCCCTTTTCTGTGCCATTAAACTGTGCCACACTTATGGTCTTCTTGTGGAAAAAGAAAGACTTTTCTTCTTTAAGATTTTAATGTGTTTCATAGTGTATTGGTTTACATTAAACATTGTAACTGAACTGTACATCTAATTAAATAACCATATTTCAGCTGGACCTACACGTGTATAGACCTTCTGGATCTCATACAGACCAAATACACTGGGACCAGTTTTTCTCTTCAGAGGATTAGCTTGCAGAAAGCATCAGAATCACAGTCTTTCTATGTGGATATTGTATACATTGGACAGACATCTACAATGACAACACTGGATGGTACATAGTATCATTTCACATCTAAAACTTAAACCTTGTAAACCTATTTTGTACTAAAATCTCATCATAGATGTTATTTATATTCTGTAGCTTGGATAGAAATGTTAATTTGTTTCTTCTCGATAGTATTGTGGTTTAAATCATGTTTTTAATGAATAGGGCTGGGTGATTATTCTAAAGATGAAAGCATCCTTATTGTAAACTTTGTCATTATAGCAGGAATTAGCTTTATAATTCTGGATTCTGTTTATAGATAAGTACGCTGTGGAAGGGTGGCTCAGTCGGTAAAGAATCTGCCTGCAATACAGGAAACCCCTGGGTTCAATCCCTGGGTTGGGAAGATCCCATAGAGGAGGGCATAGCAACCCACTCCAGCACTCTTGCCTGGAGAATCCCCATGGACAGAAAAGCCTGGTGGGCTACAGTCCATGGGGTCACAAAGAGTCAGACATGACTGAGCAACTAACCACCACCACGCTGTGGAAAACATTCTAATTTTGCCTAGTTTGATTTTTGAGAAATGAATCACCAACCTAGAGATCTGCTCCTAAAAGGCAACTATTGCTGTTGACATCTGTCTAGTAAGAATGAGCTGAAACTTTCCATTGGCTTTATTGTGATAATTAGTAAAGCTGTAAATGAAAATGTTATTTCTGATAGTATTTCTTTCTAGTTATGTTAATAGACTCATATATGTGAAATGTGCTAGTAAGATAATAAAAATTAAACTGCAGTCTTCAGAAAAGTGAAAGTGAAGGTCACTCAGTCATGTCCGACTGTTTGCGACCCCATGGACTATACGGTTCATGGAATTCTCCAGGCCAGAATACTGGAGTGGGTGGCCTTTCCCTTCTCCAGGGGATCTTCTCTACCCAGGGATTGTACCCAGGTCTTCCACATTGCAGGCGGATTCTTTACCAGCTGAGCCACAAGGAAGCCCAGTCTTCAAAAAAAAAAAAAAAAAAACACCAGCCTAATTCCAAACAGTCACCTTAATAAGTGACTTTTACCATATTTCAGAAGAGTTTTGGAATCCTTTTCTTTGGAACTATTTTAAAACTAAATGTTACTATTCTTTAATGTAAAGAATAGTAACATTTAGTTTTAAATGTAACATTGCTTACAGTAATGTTGCTATTACTGTAAGAATCACTCCTTTTGAATCCACTATCCCTGGACCTACTTTGTGATTGGTGGAGCACAGAAGACAGCTGATTTGTGCTGGGTTAAAGGGTTAAAGGTCCTAGTGAGCACCACATTCAGGGACCTACGACAGAGCAAAACTAAGTGGCTGGCAGAGGGCTGCATGGAGCCCAGAGCTTGGTGGCTTTTCAGTATTTTATTTAATTACCCAAAGAGACTCATATATCAAAAGACTTCAAAGCTTTATGTTCTAGAAGTGAAAGTTCGCCAAGCCTCACAAACTACTTGCCTTAAAGTCTTCTTTCTAAATATTTATTTTAAACAGTTTAGTCCATGACACATGGATATTATTTGATGCTTTTCTTTTTAGCAGCAGAAGCTATGCAATTTTATCTCCCATTATTTTGTTTATTTGTATTCTTTAGTAATGTCAAAGAGAAGACTTCCAGCATTAGCAGATAAAGGAATATTTTTAAAGGACTTTCAGGTGAATCAAACCAAAAGTAATGGATCAAGAATAGCTAACCAGTATTCTGTCACCATGACATCATATAATTGCAGTTATAATATACCCATGATGGCTGTGAGCTTTGGGCAGGTAAGCTTAGAATTTTACAAGTAACTATTTTCAACTTATGAAACATTAGCTTTGACCTAGTAAATGTGAAACATTATTATGAATAGATGATGCAGATTAGATATCTTTTAATAAGACAAGACAGTTATTCTAAGGATTAAATGAAGATTTAGAGGCTTGAAATTGAGCATGAATTTTCACATTGACCATAGAAATTCACTTTAAACATTAAAATTTTTTAAAGAAATGTATCTATGGGGAAAAAAGAGGAAATAACCTTAAGAATCAGCTAGCCAGATTTAAGTTTTAAATCAGCTAGCTAGAGATTTCTCTATTGATGTAAAAGAAAAAGCTGTGGGCTCTCCCAATAAAGACCTTTGAACACAGATTATTGAAAGAAAATATCTACATTAGGTTGTTATATTGTTTCTGTTATAAACACTGTTTATTCTTTGTATCAAAATTGATAGAAGGGGAAGAGATGGTTTTTCATAATTCCAAAAGGATCTAAACAGTTACTGTTTGAGTATGAGATCTGTGTTAAATGTTACAATTATGAGAAGTATTTTTCCATTTAATTTTTACAAAATATGCAATTAGTTATATAACTTTCCACAACAAACAAAAGCCAAGTATAATGCATTCAAAATTCAAGGTTAAATAATAATTAAATATTATCATTTGAGTCTCATAAAGAACTTCCTATTAACAGTTTTATGATTTAAAAGACTAAAAAACTATGTGTTCCACAAAAATTACTTTTACCCCATCCAGATCCAATGTTTTAGTCTTAGTAGCTCTAAGATAAACATCTTATGTTTTTCAGTCTGAGCTGTCTAACAAAATGTATCATATGTGTATGTGCATATACTTAAATGTCCACATGAATGAATTGTTTTAAAAACTAACTTTGAGATCATTGTAGACTCATGTGCAGTTGTAAGAATTAATACAGGAATATTCCCATACCTTTCATCCATTATCCCCCAATGGTAGCATCTATAAGCATAACATAATAGCACAACAGGAAAATTGACTTTGACACAGTTTACCAACCTTATTTGGATGTTATCAGTTCTACATGCTTTCATTTGTGTGTGGTGTGTATGTGTACGATCCTTACACACAGTCTTTTATTGCATGTATAGATTCAGCTGACCACCACAGAACAGTTTCATCCAGAGAATCCCAATGGATACACTTTCATATAGTCACACCACCTACCTCCCTTTGCCACTGTCTTATATCTGGCAACCACTAATTGTCTCTGTAATTGTGGCATTTACAGTGTTATATAAATGGAATTAGACTTTATATAATCATGCTAGCATTAAGTCTTTTGATATTGACTTTTTTCACTCTGAGTAATTCTCTCAAGATCTCTCCAAATTTTTGTATATATTAATAGTTTGTTCATTTTGATTGCTGAATAGTGTTTAATAGTATGGATGCACCGTAAGTCTATTTAACCACTTAAATCTTGAAGGACATTTGAGTTGTTTCCAAGTTTTGGCTGCTTGAATAAAGTTACTATGAACATTCATCTGTGGGTTTCCATGTGACATAAGTTTTCATTTTCTGAGTTAATTGCCTAACAGTGTAATTATGGGGTCATGTGATAAACACATGTACAGCTTTATAAGAAACTACCATACTCTTTTCCAAAGTGGTTGCACCATTTTACATTCCTATCAGTAATGTATGAGTGATCCATTGTCTGTACAAATATGCCGGCATCTAGCATTATCACTATTTTTTACTCTAGCCATTCTGATATGGTATATACTATTAGCTCATTTTGGTCTTAATTTGCATTCCCTGATGGCTAATAATGTCAAACACCATATATGTCCTTCTGTGATACCTGTTCATGCCTTTTGCCCATTTTCTAATTGGACTGTCTTCCTATTGCTGAGTCATCAAGACAGTATGGTACTGGCACAAAGACAGAAATATAGAGCAATGGAACAGAGTAGAAAGCCCAGAGATAAATCCACAAACCTATGGACACCTTATCTTTGACAAAGGAGGGAAGGATATACAATGGAAAAAAGACAACCTCTTTAACAAGTGGTGCTGGGAAAACTGGTCAACCACTTGTAAAAGAATGAAACTAAAACACTTTCTAACACCATACACAGAAATAAACTCAAAATGGATTAAAGATCTAAATGTAAGACCAGAAACTATAGAACTCCTAGAGGAGAACATGGGCAAAACACTCTCTGACATAAATCACAGCAGGATCCTCTATGACCCAACTCCCAGAATAATGGAAATAAAAGCAAAAAAAATAAACAAATGGGACCTAGTGAAACTTAAAAGCTTTTGCACAACAAAGGAAACTATAAGCAAGGTGGAAAGACAGCCCTCAGAATGGGAGAAAATAATAGCAAATGAAGCAACAGACAAAGGATTAATCTCAAAAACATTGCTGAGTTTTTAAGGTCTTTCTGTATGCTAGATGGAAGTCCTTTGTCAGCTGTGTGGTTTGCAAATATTTTCTCCCAGTCTGTACCTTGCCTTTTCATGATCTTCATGAGGTCTTTCATAGAGCAACAATCTTAATTTGATGAGTCTCAGTTTATCAAGTATTTTCTTCTATGAATGGTGCTTTTGGTTTCAAGTCTAAGAACTCTGCTCTTAGCCCTAAGTCCTAAATATTCTTCTTCGCTTCCCCTGGAAGTTATATAGTTGTGCATTTTACATTTAAGGCCATGATCCATTCTGAGTTAACTTTTGTATAAGATATGAAGTTCTAGGTCCAGGTTCACTTATTTGCTTTTCCCTCTGGTTGCTCTAGCATCATTTATTGAGAAAGCTATCCTTTCTCCATTTGAATTACTTTTGTATCTTTATAAAAACATCAGTTGGGCATATTTGTGTGGATATATTTCTGGATTCCACTTCAGTATTCTGGCCTGGAGAATTCCATGGACTGTATAGTCTGTGGGATCACAAAGAGTCGGACCCAGCTGAGCAACTTTCACTTTCACTTTTCTCTCCTCTGCCCCAATGTTCTGTGTATCATTCCTTCCACCAATGAATACCACACCCTCTTGATCACTGTAGCTGTGTAGTGAGCCCTAACGCTGGGTAGAGTGATTCTTCTCTCTTCACCCTTACTGTGAAAAATTGTTTTAGCTATTCTAGGTCCTGTGTCTTTCCATACAAATTTTGAAATAAGCTTGTTAATACATACAAAAATCTTGCTGGTATTTTGATAAGAATTGCATTAAACCAATATATTCTTTTGGAGGGAAATTGACACCTTCACCATATTGAGTCTTCTAATCTATAAACGCAATTTGTCTCTCCATATATTTGGTCTTTGCTTTTTTTCCCAAAATATTTAACTTTTTGGTTACATTTACCAGCATTTTGTAATTTCAGGTCAGATTCAGTACACATTTTGTTACATTTATATATAAGTGTTTCATTTTCTTTGAGGTCGTTGTCATGGATCTTATATTAAGTTCAGTTTCTCCATGCTTGTTATTTTCACATAAAAATATGATTGGTTTTTGTGTGTTGCTCTTGTATCCTATAACCTCGCCAAAGTCCATGACTTATTACAAAGTAAAGGCACTCATGTAATCACTTCAAGATAAAGAAAATCACTAGACCCCTGAGAACCTTCTTTGTGCCTCTTCCTTGTGATTGGATTATTTGCCTACCGCCCTAGATAACTACTATTTTAACTTTACCAACATTAGTTAGTTTTGCTTTTTTTCACTCATCATATCAATAATAATACACTATGTATTCTTTTGTTTGATATTATGAGATTCATGTTGTTGCACGCAGCTAGCTGAAGTTTGTTCTTTTTCACTGTACAGTATTCCATGGTGTTAACATACAAGAATTTATCTATTCTGTTGATGGGCTTTTGCACTATTTCAAGTTTGGGATTATTATAAATAAAGCTGCTCTGAACATTCTTGAACATGTCTTTTGGGACTTACATTTGCTCATTTGTGTGGGCAGTAGGACTTATAACTTTAAGTTCCACAAGATTAACAGGGATCAGCAGCCGGAGAGTATCATCTTCACTATTAGAGTTACAATCTATGAATGTTTATCTCACACATTGCTTCTGTCACTTGGCACGTAACATTGGCACTTAACATTAGACAGGTATTTCCTGAGTCTGGACTAGGCACTGTATTGACCATATATTTCTTTATATCATTAGTTAAGTTTTCAAGTTTCTGTATGTTATTTCTCCAAAAAGGTTTTAAATTTTTTGATAGCCAAGACCATGTTTCCTATTTCTTTGCCTCACCACCCAATGTGATTAGCATTTTACCTTGAACAAAATGCCTGCTCAATAAATATTTGTTCCTTGAGTGATGGCGGGCACTCTCTGAATTAATGAGGTATTACTGTGGTTCCAGCTGATTGCTGCGCAGATGACCGCGTTGACTTGAGCCTCATTAGAGCAGCCATGTCGGTTCGGCCTGTGTTGATTTATGTGACTCTCCTTAATGTTCTGAGGAGTCCTGAATACCTGAGGCTCATTTTTGTCATGTCACAGCATTGTACCCTGGTGAAATAGAAATCGTGTTCGCCATTGTTATATTTAATCATTTTATCAATATTTATTTTGGAAATTAGAGAATCACAAATGAGACAGAGAATGAGTCTGTTTATAGAGGAAATAATTGGCCCGGGGAGTCAAAGATTCGTATTCAAAGAAATCAAGCGGCGTCTCCACCTCTCAGTGGCAGCTTTGACATTCACGCTTCTGGACATGTTCTCACAGGTACATGAAAAAGTCCATAACTTTGGTCTGTGTATCAGTTGAACTATACTGATCTAAATAACCATCATAAACATTTCAGTGTATTTCTTTTTAATGTTATTTCTTTATGTAATTTATAGAGTTGAAATCTTCATTAATGTAAAGCTAAATTATTGAGAAAAAATGAAATTTTCATGTTTTTTTCATCACCTCACCAGATACCCTAGGTTAAATTCCCAAAAGTTTGTTTCTCTTTTCTGTCCATAGCTTATTGGTTACCTATGAAATTGCTTTTTTTTTTAAGTATTTGAGCCAAGGATCAATGTCTGAGGTACATTACTCATGTAATTTTTGTTTCTAAGAAATATATAAATTTGTTGCATAAGCAATATGGAAATTTCATTTTTTTCCATATTAGAGGAGAACAATTGGATACATCTCATGTATGTTAAAGGTGAGCATGGGTCTTCCCCAACGGCTCAGCAGTAAAGAGTCTGCCTGCAATGCAGGAGTCATAAGAGATGTGAGTTCGATCCCTGGGTGGGGAAGATCCCCTGCAGGAGGGCATGGCAACCCACTCCAGTATTCTTGCCTGGAGAATCACATGGACAGAGGGGCCTGGCGGGCTACAGTTCATAGGGTCACAGAGAGTCAGGCACGACTGAAGCAGCTTAGCATGCACAAGAGTGACCATGGTTTTGTGAATTTTTGATTCCCACTGTTTGCTGTCCTTCTGCGAGCGCAGGTATCCCCACTGCCGTGTCGGCCGCAGATTTGCAGTTTGCTCTCCAGAGTCTAGAAGTGGGACAAGTCTCAGTGACCCGAGAGGGAGGCTGTGCTGGATACTCATGGCGCGTCAAGTGGAGAAGCACGTGTGGCAAGCAGCCTCTCCTGCAGGTTCCCTCACGTCACCTGGGTCTTGTTTTCTTCTATGTTTTCTTTGCTGATTTGCACCCTGCCTGGTGCCAAAGAGACCTGGAGACTGTGTGTATTTTAAAAATGCAAATGATAGACTAAACATTCAAGGAATTCCTTTCCATAGAAGGAAATTGAGGGAAAGAAGATTGTTCAAAATTAAGTAGACCAGGCATTCTCTTTTGTGGAGAACAGCTATTGGTGCTTTATGCCTGACATTCTATGGGGGAAGTTCAGGAATATATGGATTAGAAGACCCTTGACAGGGGCAGGAAGAGCACAGACAGGGCCAGTCTCAGAACTAAATCTGCGTAAACTGTGAGGGAAGGCATTGTGTAAGGGGGAGGGTGTACTGGGGATATACTCTATGGGGGCCAAGCATAATCTGTCGTGCTGTCTATAATTCTATCTTTTCACTAGAGCTGTATTCTGGGTCCTTGGATAGTTTTCTGATTCCAAAGATGACCTTTTCAAGTTCATAACAGAACCACACTTTTAAGTGTTCATCTAATGACTTTTGCTTAGAGTGTGCTTGGGAGTACGGGAGTAAAGTCACATTTAGAATATGTGAAGGTGAAGGGTCTGGAAGAGACTTTGGGCTCAGATAGTAAACATCAAAAGTATGCTTTCTAGTGATGATGAGAGTGTGAGAGGCCCTCTTATCCTCACCTACTATTGGTGAGACAGTAAAATCAATCAGGTCATTTGGGAGGATAATTTAGTTGTGTATACCTTATGATTCAGCCATTTCAGATGTATAACTCCATTCTACTGAAATAATAATACAAATAGGAAAAGAGATAGGCACAAAGTTAGTCAATGCAGCATTATTTGTAACAGTAAAAAAAAAAAAAAAAAACCCTAGAAATCTAAATCCCCATCAATAGAAAAATAGTTGTTAAAATGACACAAACTTGGCATGAATACCTTGCAGCCATGTATAGACCCACATATATTCACCTGGAAAGATGTCCTTGACAAAAGGTGGGAAAAAATACAAAACTGCTTTCGGAAAATGACAGAGGAGACTGAAAAATGTATATAAACATAGAATATAATATGCCATACATAGACTGTATGGATGTCATACAGATGTGGGCCTTATTTTAAGAAAGCACATGTCCTGAAACTAGAATTAGAGAAGTCTGTAACTGAGACATCTCTAATGACTGATGTCCCCTTGGTACCTCTGCTGGTGACTGCACACTCTTCCTTTCATTCTTCCCTGACCTTATTCATTATTTCTGCTCCTGGTCACTTTGGCACCCACAGACCCACCACGAAGACTCCTATCTCTTTTCTAACCTCTGTGTGCATGGGAAGACTGCCATGTTAGCAGTGCAGCTTTGGAATGACCAAAGTATGCATATTGATCTGATTTGGTTTCATTTTTACCATTGGCAGAAAATATAATTTCATCAGAAGATGAAAAACCAGGGGTAGTCAGAGGCCAAAACTGCGAAAGGGGAAACACTGACTCTTGGGTGGAAAGAAGACCACATTTTTTCAATTATTTAAGAATCATTTATCAAACTGGTCATTTTTCAGAAAGAACATAGAACATTTTGCCAAAATCAAATTAATAAATTTGTGTTTCTCAGACATATTTTATTCTAAATATTTGAGTTAATTTTAGTCATTTAATTCAAGTTGTGATTGCTGCAATATATGATAATGCAATGATGTTACCAGTTTTTTCTTTGATAGATTATGATCATTTTTGAAGAGGCTTCTTTTTTCAAAAATGTGACCAAATGGTTTTGAAATTTTTTCATTTTCTGGCATTTCACTTTTAACCATGCTTAAATTTAAAAAGAAAAACTAGCATATTTATCATAACATTTCTAGTGAAATAATCTTATCTAAAAATAGATCAATGATTCCAACGTTTTTGGAGAAAATGCTAACATGACAGTTACAAGGATAAAGGAAGGTGGCTTATTCAGACAGCGTGTACTGGGAGACCTACTTCGTACACCCAGCAAACAGCCACAGGTATTTTGAAAGTTTATTCATTTTCTGTTTTGCATATAGGGTTATCGTTACCATCTTTCTAAATTCCATATATATGCATTAGTATACTGTATTGGTCTTTATCTTTCTGGCTTACTTCACTCTGTATAATGGGCTCCAGTTTCATCCATCTCATTAGAACTGATTCAAATGAATTCCTTGTAATGGCTGAGTAATATTCCATGGTGTATATGTACCACAGCTTCCTTATCCATTCGTCTGCTGATGGGCATCTAGGTTGCTTCCATGTCCTGGCTATTATAAATAGTACTGCAATGAACATTGGGGTACACGAATCGGGTGGAGAGGGAGGTGGGAGAGGGGATTGGGATGGGGAATACATGTAAATCCATGGCTGATTCATGTCAATATATGACAAAAACCGCTACAATATTGTAATTAGCTTCCAACTAATAAAAATGAATGAAAAAATAAATAAATAAAGTAAAATGTTTTAAACACACACACACACAAAAAGAAAGCTTATTCATAATTTTAAACATATAACTATTTTGTAATAAATTAAAGACCCAGTAAAACTGAACAGATGACATCTTTATATTCATGTGACTATTTGTTAACAGAGGATCAATTCCATAATATTTCATGACTTTTGGGAAAATTATTAACATCTTCTTTATGATAAAAATGGATTTTAAGCCTTGCTGTTAGTATTTGAAAATATATCCTTTTATTTAATCTTTGTCATGTTTCTGTAAAGCGATTATTAGCCTACTACTTACTGAGAGGGAGTTAAAGAGTAAGGAGTTTAGGTGATTTTCTCAAGAGCAACCTTTGTTTTTATCCATAGCACTAATTACCCCCAGGGCATAATGTGCATTTACTTTTTTTGGTAAGTTTTTAGCCTTATGCAACTCTGTGTCCTACCTCTGCTAGAATGTAAGTTGGGTGACAACAGGAATGTCATCTGTTTTGTTAAATGTACTTATCCATTTACAGCTGTGCCTGATATAATGGACATATTTGCAGCATGAGTCAATGAAGGGTCAAAACAGAAAAAGTATGAGTAGAATAAATTTTGGAAACCAGCAAACTAGCAAAATTCCATTCCTTTTCTAAATCCTACATATATTTGTTTAACCGTGCTACCTCTCTTATCCCTGTGTTTGTTTATTTGTAGGTTGAAGTCTCTGTCAATGAAATTCCAGCTAAATGTTCAGGCAACTGTGGGTTTACATGGGAACCCACAGCTACTCCTCAAATCCGGGCCATAAACCCTTCCCAAGGTAATCTCTTGCTTTCGAATTTGGAGTGTAGGGTGGAAGACAATTAGCAAAAATGTAAACTCTGATAGTGGTTAAGCAGACAGCTCTACATAGAAAAAAATGTATCAAAGCAGAAAGCTATGGAAAGATCATTCATTTCCTTCGGGAAAAGTATCACTGTTGACATTGGACTCACTAGTATTCTACTTTTCCTGGTTCACCAAGTTAAAATCAATATCTAAGATTTCTGATATTGAGGCAGTTTTGTTAAACTCTACTAGCTAGGGTTTTTTCTGGAATCTTTCATCATATGAGACCACTTCTTCTAGGAGACATAGTACTAAAACGTCAGTAACAGAACAGCTGCTGTTTAATAAAAGAAAATAATTAGGCCCTAGATTTGAGAATAAGAGAGAGAAAAATTATTGCCAAGAACTCAGTCTAGAGGGAACCATCATGAAACATCTTCATGGTATGTGATTACTTTTAAAAATATGATTACACTTTATGTCTGAACTCCCAAGGGTTGAAATAAACAGAATGACTAAGGATTGTAAGGGATGGCTTTTTTTCAGACAGAAAGATAAGCTCAGATACTGTAATCACTTATTTAGTATTGATGGCTAGTAGGAAAACTCACCTGCTAATTATGTCAGCAAGCAAAAAAACCCATTGAAATCTTTAAAATATCACATTATTATGTTGAAAGAATATATTCTTCAGACTTTTATCAGTGTTATAATTGTTATAATACTTTTAAATGTAATTATTATACTAATATCTTTTAATAGTATTATATATAAATTCATGTTATCCCAAAGTTAGTATCACTACTGTAAAACCTTCAGAACTCTCAAGAATAAAGATTTCATGAACTTTAATTTGGTTTTAGTCCTTTGATATTCTTATTTTTGAATCCATCGTTGTATTTTGTAATGGATTTCCACTTTTGAATTACACTTTGGTATTCTTGTTCTTGAATACATCTTTGTATTTTGTAATGGACTTCCACTTTTAATTTTTGGAAATAATACTTCCTACTCAGTTAACAGGAAGCACCTTTTGCCACATTTTAAATGTAAAACTAATAAAAAAAAGTTAAGTATAAATACTGTGATTAAAAACACCCATTTTCTCCTCCATGAATATTTAACAGCTGTTAACACTTGTCATAGTTACTTCAAGTCATCAGAAAAAAAATATAGGAACAGCTATAGTTGTCTCTAAGCACTATGCTCAGAGCTAGTGCCCTATCACCTTCCCCAGCGGCAAGCACAATAATTAATTTTGTCTATATTCTTCCATGCCATTTTAATTACCCTTTGTGTATAAAACAGACATGGTGATTTTTCCACTTTTTAAGTTTATCCATGAGCTATTTCATTGTAAATATCATTTCCACCTTACTTTTGTCATTTAGCATTTGTTTTGAGAAATATATGGTTTTATGCATATGTAATTAATCAGTTTAAAATACTTCGTAGATAAACCAATTTATTTGTTCCTCTATTGATGGACATTTAGACTGTTTACAAGTTTTTTTGTTTTAGCCCATGACTGTATTGAACTTTCTTATGCAAATCTACTATAACATATATGCTAGAACTTCTTTAGGATTTGCATCCTCCATGTAGATTACTAGGTATATGTGTATTCACTTCATTAGATGACCAAATTGCTCCCCTAACTGACTGTACCTCCAGTGGGTATGAGAACATCATATTATCCACACCCTTGCCAACAGTTAATAATATGAGTTTTCTAATTTTGGTCAATCTGATGAGTATAAAAAGTTATCTCATCATTGTTTTTACGTTGTCTATTCTTTGGTTAGTAATGCACAGGAACATCTATGTTTCTTGGACATTTAGATTACTTCTTCTTCTGCAAATTGCTTGTTAACAGTTTATATCCATTTACCAGATTGTCTTTTTTCTATCAACTTGCACTGGGTATTATGGTTATCGATTCATTGCACGTATCTTTTCCTAGTGTATCACTTATGATTTGTTTTAGTATCTTGTTCATGGAAACATTTAATTTATATATGCTTTCCTTTATGGTTAACTGTGGCTTTTTGTATCTTACCAAATCCATCTCTACATGAAAGTCTTAAAGATATTTGACTATGTTTTTTTCTAAAATTTTGAAGTTTTGATTTTTCATTCTTAGCCATTTAAATCCATGTGAAATCTATGTTGTGTGTGATGTTACATAAGTAGGGTGACCATTTCATGTATCGATCAAACCTGGATAACTTAAGAGTCAATGGAGAACATTCAGTATAAGATGCTGGGCCAGAGAGGATAAGCCTGGAATACCCCAGGCACTTTAGGATTGGTGTCACTCCAGCTAAAGTAATCATATCCTACTTCAAATGGAAAATGTCCACTACACTACTTGTATAGTTTATTCTTTTTTCTTGGGTTTGTGATGGCAGTTCTGTCATAGTCTGAGTGACCACATGGGGATGTCTGTTTAATTTCTTTGTCATAAGAATAATTTTCCTTTGCTTACATCATTCCATACTTTGAGTCAGATAATTCTTTCCACTAATCTCTATCAACACACAGATTCCAAACATGAAGCAATGTGCAGTAATAAGATGGGAAAAAAATACCATTGCTAAATAAATGTCTTTTTTCCCTGCTTGCTTAAAGGCTTATTATTTATATCTTTTAGAAGGTAGGGTCATTTGCCTCTGAGAAATATCTGATTTAAAAGCAACAGATTCTATGTTTTGTCATTTTAATATTGTCATTTATATTTATCATTTTCAGGGTCCTATGAAGAAAGCACAATTCTAACCATCTCGGGTTCAGGATTTTCTCCTAGTTCACCTGTCTCAGTCTCAGTTGGGCCAGCAGGTTGCTCTCTTCTTTCTGTGAGTGGTAGGTTCTTTTAAAATGATTATTTTTGAGTCTAATTGCTTTTCTGTAAGAGATAATAGAATCAAAGATCAGTGTTACAATAATAATTTTCCTATAGAGTACCTTTGGGGTCATGAAATTGGCAAACTGCTCTAGATAGATACCCTATCTTTTTAATCTTTGGTTATAACCACAGACTAATTCTTGCACTGTTGTACAGTACCTCTATCCATAACAGTTGTTTTTTTGTTCTTTTTCTCCTCATAAAGAGATTACACAAAGTCTTTCCTTCTTTGGTATGTCTCTGGAACACAAAAATTCATAGATTGCTGCTCTGATATTCCATGATCCTCTCTGCTCATGCTTTGAAAATGTCACATTAGTCTTAGCAAGAGGACATAGCCATCTTCCTGCACTTCTAGTCCAAAAGAACCTCTGTGCATTAATACAGAATTTAAATATCAGTGTACTTTCTATTCATGGAAATGAGGAACATAACTACTTATTTACGTAAAAATTCTTGTTCATAATCGTAGTTATTTTTCTTAATTTTAATAAGTTTAGATTGTATAAGCAAATTCACCCTCTATATCATTTCAGTCTTTTTCTTTTGCACCATATGGCATGGGGATCTTCATTCCCTGATCAGGGACTGAGCCTGTGCCTCCTGCCTTAGAAGCACAGAGTTTTAACTACTAGACCACCAGGGAAGTTCCTCATTTAAGTTGTTTTTAATTTACATCCTCTATGGATTCTTGGGATCAAATAGTCAATATTACTATATTGTATATCATAATAACAATGATGGTGATGAAGTGCACTGTACTATAAGCACACATATACTGTTCTAAATGAAAAATAGGTTTTTCACTTGGCTTTTGATCACTTTTCTTGTTGAAACCTAGTCTTTTTACTCAGTTTGTGACATAAACAATGTATTGGACCAAAATCTTTAAATTATTGATATAAATTACCTTATATATTAGGATTTTAAATTGTTATTATAGTAACTTTTTAGCCACAGTAGTACTCAGGAGCAAGTTGTTTACTCTGCCCTCATTATTATTTTACCTTACTCTTTTTCTGGGAGGGTCTGATTCATAGCATTAGGTAGATTATAAAGGTTTTCCTCCCATTAATATATGAGTAGTTTTCCTCAGATATGTTTCTTTGGAATATAAAAATGAAGGCCACTTTTATATTTGCAAACATAAAATTTCAGTAATTCTATCCAACAAAAGCATTTCTTGACCATTTTTTTCTTCTTTTATCACAAGAAAATGAGATCAAGTGCCAGATTCTGAACGGAAGTGCTGGACATTTCCCAGTTGCTGTGTCCGTCGCTGATGTTGGCCTAGCACGGAATGCAGAGGAGAAGGGATTCCACTTCATTTATCAGAGTCAGATCTCACACATCTTGCCTGCTTCTGGAAGCCTCGCAGGTAACAGTTAATTGTTCCAAACAAAGGAAAATTGCCTATATTTCCATCATTCATTTCATGGAACGATTTCTAGAACAGGGTGAAGGGAGAGGACTCCAAACCTTCCTCGTACAGAACAAAGGAGACAGCTCATTCGGAAGGCACAGTGATTCCCTGGATGACTAATTCTTTTGTTTCTTATGAAGCACAAGTCAGGGTGACTGCTTCTACTACATCTTAGGTTATTGAATTAATATCATCAATTATTACATGTTTCTATAATCAAGCTCATTAATTATGTCAAGATAAGATTTATTAGTTATTATTCTGCTTACCAACTGCTCCATTTGTAATCACAGTCTCAGTGGAGCTACTTGACCCAGAAAAAGTTCCAGGAATAAATCGGGGAAAGGGAGGCTGATGCAGAAGATGAAAGAAAATAACACATTTTTCCAGTCTTGCTGTATTTTTTGTGTGTTTTGTTTGCTTGTTTGTTTGATCATGCTTCGTTTTGGATTTTGTGCTTTGGCCTTGATCTTTGGGGTACATTCTGTGTTTATATTTTAAGTTATTTTTATTTTGTTGGGATTTTTAATTTACTTAAAAGTAATTCACTCTCATTTCCCACTAGTTGAATAAATACAAATAGCATAATTTCTCTTTAGGGTGAAGAAGACACTATGGAAAATAGCAGTTGCTGCTAGTAATGTCCAGAAGCAAATGTTAGTTGCAAATCTGTGTTATTTCATTCAATCACTTAGCCCAGCCCCTTTACAATTCCAGACTCTGGAGCTCAGGCTATGTGGTCCTTGATCTACTTGCCAACCCATCTCTTGGATGATTAGACAATTCTTGAATGATGAGTTAGATTACTGCCAAAGTGTCTTTTTGTTATTGTTAACCTATTGTGTTTCTGTTGTTACTTTATTTTGTGTTTTTACTAATGAAGGTGGTACTCTTCTGACTGTATCTGGATTTGGCTTTCATGAATATTCAAAGGTATTAGTCGGAAATGAAACCTGCAATGTAATTGAAGGGGATTTGAATAAAATAACCTGCAGAACACCAAAAGTAAGACATCCAGCTTTGGTCATTTTTTTCTAACTCTGAAATTGTGCGAATTAAAGAGCATCTCAGTAGAGGGTGAAACAAATGCCTTATTTACCTAATGAGTGCAGAGGTTCATAATGCTCTTTAACAATTAGTTCTTCAGAATCTTTCTGCTGAGATCCAAATACAAAATATTATCTCCACAATCTAGATACTTAACATCATTGAGGAAGAGAGACAATAAACTAATGTTATATAGTGTGTTTCATTTGAAATAATAAAAGTAAACATACAAGTGAAGATAAAATACAGTGGGGAGAGGATGTCAGGAAAAGTTTCATGAGCAAGTTCATGTCTTGTCAGAGGTGGAAGGATGATGAATGGGAGTTGACAAGGAAAATCCAAGGATGAAAAAACATACCAGTAATAAATAGTATAAAATTCAGGGAGGCAACTCTAGACATTTTGGGTTTCTTAAAGGAATATATAAATACTTTAAATGTGTTAAAGTTTCAGTTTGTTGACAAAACACAAAATGTGAGTTTTCCCATGGAATTTTATATTTTAAGACCAATCATTGTTCCTCTATTTTTAAAAATAGTGTTTAAATTTAAACCAAAACTGTTTTACTGTGTGCAGAAGGATGATGAATTTAGTCATTAATATCTAAGGCTATAGACAATTAAGTGTAGATATTATTATGTAGTTGATATGTGAAAGTGAAAGTTGCTCAGTAGTGTCCAGCTCTTTGTGACCCCGTGGACTGTAGCCTGCCAGGTTCCTTTGTCCATAGAGTTCTCCAGGTCAGAATATAGGAGTGGGTAGATAGCTCCAGGGTATCTTCCAAACTCCGGGATCGAACCCAGGTCTCCCACATTGCAAGCGGATTCTTTACCAGCTGAGCAACCAGGGAAGCCCAAGAATACTGGAGTGGATAGCCTATTCCTTCTCCAGGGGATCTTCCCAACCTAGGAATCAAACAGGGATTTCTTGCATTGCAGGTGGATTCTTAACCAGCTGAACTACCAGGGAAGCCCCGAATTTGAGCATGCATTGGACTGAATGATGGAAATAAGAATCTGGGGGATATCGCAAATTAAAACTTCATTTAAATTATGTCATTCAGTTAAACATTGAGTGGGCACTAAGTAATACTAGATGCTGGGAAAACTGTTTTTCCTAATTGGTAATTGTGTGCTGTGTCAGTGAAAGCATCACATATTTTTCTCAGGTTTTAGTCTTCGATTCTGGAACCATGTCAACAAAAGATACAATAATGTCCTTTATCCATGAAGAGGAATAAATGTTTCATTCAAGCCTATTTTAAGAGCAAAAGACTCAAAACATTTAGTATAATATGCTTTATTAATTAGAGAATCACTTGTCCAAAACATTGAGGAACCCTGGGGAGTCCAGTAATGTAGATGTATTTGAATTGATCATAAGCACCCACAAAACCACTATATCTTATACCTTTATCTAAGAATTTAAACATATAACCTACATTTGATACAATAACTTTCCTCCTTTGACATCACAACTTTCAAAGTATCTGATAATTAACTCTGATTCATGACTTTGGGGAAAAAAATCTTTAAAAGTTTATTTTGAGAGATTCTTTTTGCTTTTAGCCATTGAATTTCTGTATCTTAATATTTAGTGTTTGCTAATTGTTTTATTTTTCCCTCTTGTTTCAGAGAATTGAGGGTACAGTTGATATTTCAGTTATTACCAATGGAGTTCAAGCCACAGCAAAAAATGCTTATAGTTATAATTGTTTACAGACTCCAGTTATAACCGATTTTAGTCCAAAAGTACGGACAATACTGGGTAAGGAATTCTTCAATAAAATTAGTCATTTGATATATATGTGTAGGTCCAATGCATTGGACAATATATGTATTTGTCTGATGCAATGGACATGAACTTGGGCAAACTTCGGGGGATGGTGAGTGACAGGAGGTCACAGGTTTTCTTTTTTAACCATGAACTGGTCTGTTTACTATATAACTTTGAACATTTGCAAAAAGAAGAAAGATATAAATTTTTAAAAAATTCTTTGCCATCTTCTTTCCCCTGTTAAACAATTGAACATGAATTTTATCTCCCTCTGGCAGCTATTAGTTCTTTCATTGATTTCCTTTTACCTCTGAAAGTGGTTCGGTTCAGTTCAGTTCAGTCGCTCAGTTGTGTCCGACTCTTTGCGACCCCATGAATCGCAGCATGCCAGGCCTCCCTGTCCATCACCAACTCCAGGAGTTTACTCAGACTCATGCCCATCGAGTCGGTGATACCATCCAGCCATCTCATCCTCTGTCGCCCCCTTCTCCTCCTGCCCCCAATCCCTCCCAGCATCAGGGTCTTTTCCAATGAGTCAACTCTTCACATGAGGTGGCCAAAGTACTGGAGTTTCAGCTTCAGCATCAGTCCTTCCAATGAACACCCAGGACTGATCTCCTTTAGGATGGACTGGTTGGTTCTCCTTGCAGTCCAAGGGACTCTCAAGAGTCTTCTCCAACACCACAGTTCAAAAGCATCAATTTTTCGGCGCTCAGCTTTCTTCACAGTCCAACTCTCACATCCATACATGACCACTGGAAAAACCATAGCCTTGACCAGATGGACCTTTGTTGGCAAAGTAATATCTCTGCTTTTTAATATGCTGTGTAGGTTGGTCATAACTTTCCTTCCAATGAGTAAGCGTCTTTTAATTTCATGGCTGCAGTCACCATCTGCAGTGATTTTGGAGCCCCCCAAAATGAAGTCTGACACTGTTTCCACTGTCTCCCCATCTATTTCCCATGAGGTGATGGGACCAGATGCCATGATCTTAGTTTTCTGAATGTTAAGCTTTAAGCCAACTTTTTCACTCTCCTCTTTCACTTTCATCAAGAGGCTTTTTAGTTCCTCTTCACTCTCTGCCATAAGGGTGAAAGTGGTAGGATGTCCTAAATCCAATGAAAGATAAGATGAGTTGGTTTACTTCATATTCAAATTTTGTACTATATAATACATGGACTCTTTTTGTAAGATTTTCTTTTCTTTCAAAATAATAGGAGAAGATAATTTAAGGATTAAGGGTTATAACTTTGGAAATGAACTGACACAAAACTTGGAGGTCTACGTTGGTGGTAAATCCTGCCAGGTCCTTCACCGGAACTTCACAGATATTAGATGCCTTTTGCCCAAGTTGTCTCCTGGAAAACGTGATATCTGTGTCGAAGTCAGAAACTGGGGTTTTGCATCAACGAGGTATGGTATTGACGTAAACTTGATAGAGTCATGGAGCACATGGTGCTAAGGTATTGGGATAGGAAGAGAAGCAGTAATTAACCCTGATAATATTTCAATTGATTTCTTCACCTTTCTAGAATTCCCTTTGCAAAAGATTCTGAAAATATCTCATAAAATGCAATATGATGCTTTGGTTTGAGAACACCACCACTCAGATTAGGCTGTAAGATTCTCTGCAGAACTAGGTTTATATATATGTCACATGATTTTAGTTCATTCTGGAAATACTGTCAGGCAGTTTCTAGGGGCAGACACTTTCTTAGCCCTGGACTTTATAGTGGAGAATAAGAGGCATGTGTCCCCCACCTTAGAGCTTCTCAGGTGGTGCAGTGGTAAAGAATCCACCTGCTAATGCAGGAGACGGAGGTTTGATTCCTGGGTCAGGAAGATCCCCTGGAGAAGGAAATGGCAACCCCCGCTCCAGTGTTCTTGTCTGGAGAATTCCATGGACAGAAGAGCCTGGCCAGGCTACAATCCATGGGGTCGCAGAGAGTCATGACTTAGTCATGACATGACTGAGCATGATGCATGCATGTTCCCCACCTCAATGATGCCCACAGTTTTGTTGGGAAGGCAGATTTCAAACAGATTATATCAATAACTTGATTATAAATGTGAAAAATGCCATGGATAAGCGGTCCCAAGAGCAATAGAGAGAGCCGACTTTTTCTGAGGGACTGAGAAGAGTTCTCTGAAAAACTGACAATTAAACCAAGAAATGGGTAGGAGCTGGCAGATGAGGGAGAGGATGGAAGGAATCTGCCTCCAACTGGTTTTCCTTCAGGTGCTTCCTGCTAAATCACTTCAGTCATGTCTGACTCTTTGCAATCCTGTGGCCCATAGCCCATCAGGCTTCTCTGTCCATGGGATTTTCCAGGCAAGAACTCACTAAAGTGAGTTGCCATTTCCTTCTCCAGGGAATCTTCCCAACCCAGGGATCGAACCCTCAACTCTTATGTCTCCTGCATTGGCAAATGGGTTATTTACCACTAGCACCACCTGGGAAGTCCTTCAAGTAGGTGTTTGGTATTTTCCGTGTTTAGTAGTATTTTCCTACCTGAAGTTGCTTGTCAACTGGTAAAATTTTAGTTCTATCATAAGGAGGTTACTGGTTTAGAATACTTAGAAAAAGAGGAAACTGTAATTTAGGGATTAAAAAAAGACAAGTAAAACTGATGTCAGAATAGAAGGAGAAATCATTGCAGGAGGATTTTGTGGGAGGTGAAAAGAGATGAGTGACAGTAAACATAGCCTCAGGACTGTTTCCATCTCTTAGATTTTCAGGGCAGAGCTCCCATGGTTCTAGAAGAGCTGTTGGCTTGTGCTTTAGCTTGATGATATAATAGGCAGAATTCACAGCATGCAAAACTGGGTATTTGAGCGGTGGTTCAAAAATTACCTATTCAGTTATGAAGAAGAAGTTTGATAAAAAGTTAACACAAAGACTCAAATGAGTTATGGTGGGAGCTGGGATGTGGAAGTTATTCTGTGTTATACATTTTGATGTATTATACATTTTGATGGCCTCCTAATGGATATATTGAAAAAAAATGAAATAAACCTTGAAATAGTGGGAAGGGAGATCATGACAAATTTACAACAAATATAGCATGATACAGTCAAATTGATTGCAGAAAATAGTAATTACTTATTTTGTGTGCTGGGTGCTAAGTCATTTCGGTTGTGTCCAACTCTTTGCGACCCTATGGACATTAAATGTATGGAATTTTGTTACTATTCTTTTATAGATTATGCTGCCTTTATGTTCTGTTCTAGTGAGGAAAGTATTTTAAAGGATTTCTTGTATTTCTTGTGACCTCAATCCTCATAACCATATTTTCCCATAATATTTTAGTATTTTCCATCTCAAGTTCTTCTGCCATGGGATTTTCAGAAGCCTAATTTTCACATTTAGGGAAACAGCTATTATATATGTATATGATAAAACCAAATTGAAGTCATGATAGTTATAAGATTACCTAGTTTGAAAAACTAATGTCTAATTAGATATTCAGTTATTTTCTCTTAAATGAATTATGTCCTAAGTAGAGTTAAGCAACATGACCGTATGGAAGACTCCTTGAAATAGCTATTAATTTTTCTTTTGCAGAGACAAGTTAAGTGCTTCTATACAGTATATTTTGGAAGTGACCAACATGTTTCCACTGAAAGGCTCCTTATATGGTGGAACTGAAATCACTGTAATGGGTTTGGGATTCAGCACGATCCCAACTGAGAACACTGTGCTTTTAGGTAATAGTTTCATCCTCACAGGAGGGCTGTTATCGTATTTCTCATCTTAAAGGATGCGCTGTGGGTGCTGAGTTATTATACAAATACTCTGTCGTGGATGCTTCATATTTTCTATTAATGTATAAAAGGTTAAGTGTATTTGGTTAGCTCAGTTGTGTCCAACTCTTTGCAACCCCATGGATTGCAGCATTCCAGGCTTCACTGTCCTTCATCATCTCCAATAAATAGTCTGAATATTTAATGTGTTTCAGACGCTTTAAATGAGAGGTCTCTGTTCTAAAACTAATCAGTACTCAAACATAATTACTATCAGAAAAAAGTACCAAAGATCCTACTGTGTAATTGGAGCTTTTGTAGGGCTTTGACTATCCACTATTTATACTTCATCTCTGTATTTCTCAAAAACTATTTAAGAAAATGTTTTTTTCCACCATCTTTATTCTTTCCAGGGTCCTTTCCTTGCAATGTGACATCATCATCAGAAACTGTCATAAAATGTGTTCTACATTCAACAGGGAATGTATTCAGGATTACCAACAATGGGGAAGATTCAGGTATAAGATGGCCTTTATATATTGTAAATAATGGAAGCATGTTACCTTGGAATTTATATTTTTACTTATAATATTTCAGAGTATTCAGAGCATAAGTATTGTTATTTCTTTATATAATTTGTTTATAGTTTGTCTAGAATTTATCCATTTGACATAGGGGGCCACATATAGTATGAATCAGTGGTAGACTTGAGTCTAAGAAGACTAGATTTAAAATTTCCAAGTTTAACGTATATTATCTAGGGTGAAACAGATCACCAGCCCAGGTTGGGTGCATGAGACAAGTGCTCGGGCCTGGTGCACTGGGAAGACCCAGAGGGATCGGGTGGAGAGGGAGGTGGGAGGGGGGACCGGGATGGGGAATACATGTAAATCCATGGCTAATTCATTTCAATGTATGACAAAAACCAAAAAAAAAAAAAAAGATCACTAAAAAAAATAAAATAAAATAAAATTTCCAAGTTTAGGAATTGCCATTTGGTTTTATTGCCATACAGAACCTTCTGAATTACTATAGTTTGTTTCCCATTGTGGGTTTCTAAATAAATATCCAAATTGAAATTATGTAGAATTTTGCATGCCTCAATGCCTGAGAAAATTTTTGATTTTAAAGAATTGATCATAGCTTTTAAAAATACCCCATGTGATATTTCTGAACAATTTTATTTATTGACTCTGATTTTTTACAAATTGTCTCTTCCTTATCAGTTTTGAAGTTGTGTGATTTATCTTTTCCTTAGCTTCACATTATCTCACTTTCCATTATTTCTGTTTATTTTTATTATGTGTTTGAGTTAGACACATAAAAATTTTATAATGTTAATTGAAATTTTTTTCACTAGTGGCTATATAAAAGGGCAATATTTTCAAAGATAGTTACTAAGAATTTTTCCTACTTCTCCTTTTTTCTTTAAAAAAATATGACTTAATTGCTCCCAGTACATGGATTAGGTTATGCCTGGTCACCATCAGTCTTAAATGTGTCTGTGGGAGACACAGTGACATGGCGTTGGCAAGCACATCCGTATCTCAGGGGAATAGGATACAGCGTTTTCTCTGTCTCCAGTCCTGGAAGTGTAATTTATGATGGCAAAGGTTTTACCAACGGAAGAGAAAAATCTGCATCAGGTATGTTTCCACTCTGCTGCATTTTGCATCATGTTTCTTTTTCCCAAATATAATAAAAAGAAATTTCTTTAGATTTAAAATACTTTTGCATAAATAATATATACAAATACAGGATGTGGTTTAATTGACATTTTATTGTTATCACAAAATACTTCAAATTTATAAAATATTCTTAATAAATGCCTGCAAGTTATTTTGTACGTCAGAGTTGAGTTTTGATATCAGATATATCTCTTTTCATTCTGAAATAATCAACCAGAAAAATATATTGAAACAAGCAAAATACAAAGAAATATATGTTTTAATGATACCAGTCTAGTAGCAAGTAATGAATTTCTGTTGATTAAAATCAGCTTTAAAATCAGTCTTCCAGGACAACTTAGTGTACAATATGCCTTTTAGACTGCCTATTTTGTTCTTCATGTGTAGCAGTTTGAACTTCTTATTCATGAACATGAACTATTTTTCATTGCCTGTTGAGTTTTTCTGTAGGAGTCAGTAAGTTATGCCAGATATCACATGTTTTTTCTAGAAAAATTAATGCTGGATCTTGCCTTCATGGAATAGAATTTCATTATACAGGACAGCTCTTTCATAGCCATTTTATGGTCTTTTGATAGTCATTACCTTACACTTCTGTTGAAATATCATATGCTTGAAAACCTGTCATCTGTATGTGCATTTGAAGGATCATTTCAAATTTATTTTCAAAGATGCATTAATTGCTTGTATTTGTTATGTACAATCTCATTTTATGGCAGGTTCATTTTCTTACCAGTTTACTTCACCTGGAATCCATTATTATAGCAGCGGGTATGTTGATGAGGCTCGCTCCATTTTTCTCCAAGGAGTCATTAACGTTTTACCAGCTGAAACCAGTCACATTCCCCTGCACGTGTTTGTGGGGGGCACTGAAGCCGCATATGCTCAGGGTAAGAAGGTTAAAGATGGAAACCCTGTCACTTCAATTAAAGATGGAAACCCAGGGGGTATGCAGTCTTTCTGAAGTAGGAGGCAGATGACTGGGTCTGACTGTCTCTTACTAGCCACATGACCTTGAATGGGTCAGTACTGCTCTGAGGCTAGCACTTATTCTATAAAATGAGGATCATGTTAATATTGTCCTTCCAGTCTGCAGATTCCTCATGTGCCTCAAAGGAGATGTAATGTGAAAAAGTTCTGATACTCTGTGAGTGTCTGAAAATATATTAAAATGTGAACTAATGTTATTATTTTATTTTCCCCATAGGATCTGGCCTTAGAGAAATTGAAAAATTAATCTTATATTCACTCTTAACCATATCATGTTTGTCCAGGTCTTTTAACTTTGCAGTGCCTGGGGCTCCTCTTGTCATTTGAAAAAAAAAAGGATTTACCAGAATATAAACCACCATCATCAAAATAATGTAGCCTGAAAACAGTTCTTGTTTTAGAATTTTATCCATGACTTACAAGCAGCTCTTTTGTTTAAAGGCAGACCCGTGAGTTTGCACTTGGGAAGCTCTGTGTCAGGCTGCCAAGCAAGAGAACCCTTGTGTGGCCTGAACAGTACCAGGGTTGAAAATTCAGAGAGATTGCTCTTTGAGCTTTCAAGTTGTCTTTCACCATCTATAAGCCACATTAGTCCATCCATCGGAACACTAAATGAATTGATAACAATTACTGGACGTGGCTTCAGTAATCTCACATGTGCTAATAAGGTAAGACCATAAAGATCTTCTTTTTACTTCTGTATATGCATACAAGGAAGATGTTTCATCCATAACCTCATAGTTTAATTTATAGCAGCTCAATTGCGATATAATTCATATACCCTACAATGCATCTATTTAATGTGCAAAATTCAGAAGCTTTTAGTATCGTCACAGAGTTGTGCATCCATTACTGTGGTCAATTTTAGAATGTTTTCATTACTCCAAAAAGTAACCCCATGACCCTTAGGTATTATCCGCATCCCCTCCATACTTCTAGCCCTGCCTAGAGAACCATGAATCTTTCTGTCTCTGTGGATTTGCCTATTGTGAATATTTTTATAAATAGAATCATAGAATATGTGGTCATTTGTGACTAGCTGTATTCACTAAGCATAGCATTTTCAAGGTTCATCCATGATGTACCATGTAGCAGTACTTCATTTCTTTTTTGGCTGAATGATATTCCATTGCATAAGGTATACAGTTTATTTATCCACCCATTTGTTCATGGATATTTGGGTTCTTTTCACCTTTTTGGTTATTATCAATAATGTAGCTATGAATATTTGTGTATGATCATAGTTTAGGGGTTTTTAAAAAATATTTATTTATTTATTTGGCTGCTCTGAGTCTTAGTTGTGGCATGTGGGATCTAGTTTCTCAACCAGGGATCAAACCCAGGCCCCCTGCACTGGGGGCCTGGAGTTCCAGCCACTGGACCACCAGGGAAGTCCTCATAGTTTAGTTTTAAGGTTAATCCAAAATATACTTTAATCAGTCTCCCAAATTAATTTTATGAATAAAAAGTTTTCACATGATCAATTTTTCAAATTTAGTCATTGCTTATACAAAATTTAAGTTCATGCTAGAGTAATGTATTGACTTCTTCGTCTGTTCATTTTACTTTCAGGTTAAAATTGGTAGCTATCCCTGTGTTGTAGAAGAAAGTAGTAACAATTCCATTGTGTGTCGTATTGACCCTCAAAACTCAATGGATGTTGGCATCAGGGAAATTGTCACGGTAACTGTCTACAACCTGGGCACTGCCATCAACACACTGTCCAGTGAATTTGATAGGCGGTTTGTACTTTTGCCAAACATCGACATGATATTACCAAATGCAGGGTCAACTACAGGAATGACCAAAGTGACCATAAAAGGCTCTGGATTTGCAGTTTCTTCTGCTGGTGCACAAGTCCTGATGGGTCATTTTCCATGTAAAGTTCTGTCAGTGAATTATACAGTCATTGAATGTGAAACATCTCCTGCACCCCAACAGCTTGTGAAAGTAAATCTCCGAATCCACGGAGTGCCTGCTCAGTGTCAGGGGAACTGCAGCTTTTCCTACCTAGAAAGCATCACTGCATTTGTAACAAGAATCTTCCCAAACTCTATCCAAGGATCTGAAAAAGTTCTTATTGAAGGGGAAGGTTTTGGCACTGTCTTGGAAGACATTTCTGTTTTCACTGGAAACCAGCAGTTCAGAGCAATCGATGTTAATGAAAATAACATCACCGTTCTCGTGACTCCCCTTCCGGCTGGACTTCATTCTCTTAGTGTGGTGGTGGGAACAAAAGGCTTGGCTCTGGGAAACTTGACTGTCAGCAGCCCTGCAGTAGCATCTGTCACCCCGACTTCTGGAAGCATTGGGGGTGGAACTACTCTGATGGTCACAGGAAATGGCTTCTCTCCAGGCAACACCACAGTCACTGTTGGGGATGAACCTTGTCAAATTCTTTCTGTCAATTCCAGTGACATCCACTGCCGTACTCCGGCAGGGACAGCTGGAAGGGTCAGTGTGAAGATCTCTGTGAATGCAGTCGCGTACCCACCTCTGTCATTTACGTATGCCTTGGAAGATACTCCACTTCTCAAAGGAATTGTCCCAAGTACAGGTACTCTAAGACCTGCCTTTTGGGTGTCTTGATATAATACGATCAGTAATATTTATTAGCATAGAATTGAAATAATGTTTACAAATGATTATTAGGATTGTTTTTAGACAATACTCTTAATCAATATGTAGGATTTGAGTCCTGTATAGTCTCTGTTTTATGATTATTTTTTGTATATTCTTGGGTTTCCCTGGTGACTCAGACAGTAAAGAATCTGCCTGCAATGAGGGAGACCTGGGTTTGATCCCTGGGTCTGGAAGATGCCCTGGAGGAAGGCATGGCAACCTGCTCCAGTATTCTTGCCTGGAGCATCCCCATAGATAGAGGAGTCCATCGGGTCACAAAGAATCGTACACAACTGAGCGACTAAGCACAGCGCATAGTGTCTATCTTGTGATTATTTTTGTACATTCTTGAGATCATAATTGTAGTGAAACTCCCACTGCTATTTTAAAACAAAATCCTCATGAACTTGAACTAATTTTGAAATGAGGAAGAAGTAGTTGGATATCTATGGATAAAATTTGGTCATCAGTTTGTGTCATTAGTGTTGATACAGCACAGGAAATACCTGTTAAAAGTCATAAGTAGTTGTTCTTTTGTTTCCATGAAACTTCAGTTGATTATTAACACAAAAAAATTCTTCTTAAGAGGGTAATGGGTCCATTCAGATGGAAAACGTATTATAAAATAATAGTTACTTAATTATTTAGCGTGAGTTGTTTTTCTAAGCTAAGAATAGAAGGAATGCCTTCTTGATCCTTTGTTACTGTGCTGTGCTGTTTCTTATTGTCTTCAAGCTGTTGGAATGCTTATGATCATGTAATGAATTCTGGAGAGGCAGCTATAGTCTCATGGCTGAGAACATGGCCTAGATACCTAGGTTCACATCTTCACTCTTCTACTTTTCAGTGGTGAAACTTTGGTGAAGTTTCTTAAAATATCAGTTTCCTTATACATACAGATACCTTTCTCATAAGGTTATAGAAGTTCATTCGTATAATGCAACTTAAAAGTTCCTTTAATAAAGAACTTATTAAATGTTGGCCTTTAAAAAAAAGTCTTTGTTAGTTTACAGTGTCATGGGTAAGATGTATTCTCTGCTTTCAAGAAGCTTGCTATTGAAATTTTCTGTTAGACATCAAGTTTCTTCATTTAGAATTTTAAAAAGTAAATATTAGCAATAACAATGGCATACTTCCCCCATATATTTGTAATCACTGCAAATGAAGAACTAGATATTGACATATGCTCCTTATTTCCATGAACCATTTCTGTCTCATCTCACTTTGAATGTATCTTTGAAAGCAGTGTATCTGAAGATAGAAGAGACTTGTAGACAAGTGAGAACTGAGCTATTTTATTTACTGAAGAGACACAAGGTATAGATCATTCTTAGAACAATCCTTCCTTTTGAAAAGTGCAAATACCAGACAAGATTAAAACTTTAAAACCTTAAAACATTTTAAAATCTTATATCCTAAAATTATTCTTAACATGAAAGATCTCATTAATATCTATGATCTTTAAAATGACAACTTACATTTCAGTGATGCTTACTATGGTCAGTTATATGGTTATTTTTACTATCACTAGTTGAATTAAAAACAAACTACTACTTGGTGATTCTGCATTTGTAACAAGTTATGTTGATTAATATCTATTCACTTATTGTTTAGGTATATAAGTATGTGTTTGGATGACCTGTGAAAAATTCCGTGTGTGTAATGCCCTCAATGCTTTTTGTCAAAAGAAGGAAGAAAGGGAACAGAAGGATTGAAATATTTTATTCCAGTTTCATTTATTCAAGGCATTAACATCAACATTCATCTATGAGTCTTTAATTCCTTATTTCTGTGTTGATTATCTTACACCTAATTATTTATATATCATGATTTGTTTATCAAGTCATATATATTGAAAATATCTGAGTGAAGAAAAAATAGTTCATTCCTCAGAAGGGTTGCAAATATCAAGAAAGTACCAAAAATTTTTTAAAGTATATACTCTAACCCACCACCCGCTACTCAGGCATTCATTTCATCTTTCAGGCATTTGTCCTTTCTTCCTGACTCTAGATCTTCTCTATTTTATTCTCTCTTTCCCATAAACCTGAATTATGAGTAACTTATAACTTCCATCTGTAGAATGGACAGATGCACTGGAAAATAATAAACATTGATATAAATATCTTACAGTTAAGATACCAAAGACTGCAATGAAATTATAGCCAAAATGTGTATGACATGTATTGTTCATATTATTGTTCATATGTATTGTTCATATTAATATTAGTTTTAAAATACTAGACATAATTTTGTTTATGTAGGTGAATAGGTATGTCTTTAAATGCATAACTAAGTATTAGAGTTTAGGTATGTATATGTATAGGATAGATAATGGTCTGCCTTTCTTTTTAAGGTCCTCCTGAGACTGAAATTCAGATCACTGGATCTAATTTTGGTATTGACATCTTGGAAATTTCGGTGATGATAAGTAACATGCAGTGTAATGTGACCATGGTCAATGATACTGTATTGCGATGCGTTGTTGGAGATCACACTGGTGGCACTTTTCCTGTTACGATGCATCATAAAACAAAAGGTTTTGCCATGTCCACAGTTGTATTTAAGTACCCACTTACTATTGACAATATTCATCCAAGCCAAGGTAGGCATGAATGTGCCAGAGCCTGGAAATATTTAACATTGTTTCAGTAAACACTTATTTAGAAAGAAACATAGTCTTCCAACCCTGCTAAAATGTATAGTTCTTGTAGCACATTAAAATATTTTTGTTTATGCATCAAGTAAATAAGCATGCAAAGGTACCCATCATTTCAAAATATTTGTTTAATGCCTATATTTCTCTTCATGCTATAGAATATATTTAAATTTTAATACTATTGAAAATGTCCAGATTATATGTGGAAGTATTTTTTTTTAACTTCAAATATCACTGACATATAATTATGTCTACATAAAGAAATATCTTTTTCTGTTTGAAAATTATTTTAGTGGTTAAAAACCTTAAGAAATTATAACCAATGTACTTTTAACTAAAATAGTAATTTTACATTTGTGTTTTGACTACTAAAATTCTTTGTGACATTTCTATTAAATAAAATTTAAATTCCTAGAGGTAGTTTAAATAAATGACTAAATGTGACATTTACTCAGTGAGGGTTTTAAAACACTACAATCAAAAGAGATTCTGTTGCAATAATATAAAAATTTCCAGTTCTAAGAATCTTTTCATTTAATGAAATTAGCTTCCATTTCAGATGTTAAATATATGTACAGATGAGGTTTTCTTTTCATTAACTTTGTCTTTCCTTCTTATGTGTCTTCACTAGGGAGCTTCGGTGGTGGTCAAACCTTGACTGTAACAGGCACTGGGTTTAATCCACAAAATTCAGTTGTGTTAGTGTGTGGCTCAAAATGTGCAGTCGACAGACTGAAATCTAATCGCACAACATTATTATGTGAAATTCCTCCAAATAATGGTAAGTAGTCCCCTGGAGGAGAGCATGGCAACCCCCTCCAGTATTCTTGCCTGGAGAATCCCATGGACAGAGGAGCCTGGCATGCTTCAGTCCATAGCGTCGCACAGAGTCAGACATGACTGAAGCAACTTAGCATGCACGAACAGTCAGAAAAAGAATGGCAGTCTTTGAGAACTGTTTAATTTTATAGAGATCAGTCTGAGTTTATTTTTTTTCAAGGTTTTGTGTTTATTAGAGCAATTGAATCAACTTTATGGATTTCCTGATTTTCAGCATTTTCTTCAGAATTTTGTTTTCTACCCTTGTGTATTCTCCAAGATTCATGATATTTGAGTTAGAATGAATTGTTTGTAACAAATAGCAGTTTTTTGGTTTATTACATAAGGAGAATACCAAATGGAAACCAAGCTTTTAGTACCTATTGGAGTATTAGCTTTTCCTTAAAGTTAGGGTAGTGTATATGGTACGGTATACTGTATATATAATATACATATATATAGTATAATGGTTATGAAGGCAGTGAATTCTGGTAACTCATTGCCAAGATTCAAACCCATGCTGTGTTTGAGCAAGTTATTCAACCTTCCTGTGCCTTGGTTGCTTCCTCTGTAAAAGGAAAATAATCACATTAGCCTACTTATTGTGAGGCTTGATAAGCCAATATATGTAAAGCGGATAGAATGATATCCGAAACATGATATGTGATTTTCTATTATTATTGCTCTTGTTTATTTTTTAAAATTTTTTAATTATTTATTTACTTTTGGCTGCACTGGGTCTTCATTGATTTTTGCACAGGCCTTTGCCATTTGGGGCCAGCAGGGGCTGCTCTTCCTTGCGGTGCGCAGGCTTCTCATTTCGGGGGCTTCTCTGGCTGTGGAGCGCAGGCCGTAGGGGCACACGGGCTCCGTAGTTGGGGTTCACAGGCTTAGTTTTCCTGCAGCACGTGGAATCTTCCCAGACCAGGGCCGGAACCCACGTCTCTTGCATTGACAAGTGGATTATTAACCAGTGGACCACCAGGGAAGTCCACTGTTACTTATTTTTCTTTAATGGTTAAAAGCCTGCCCTCTAAGGAGCCCCTGAATTTGTTCTACCACTGTCATCTCAGCTAAGTGACTCAACTCCTTTCTGCTTCAATTTGTCCAGCTATTGAAAGGAGATAATATTAACCCTAATATGATGGGTTATTGTGAAGTTTAAATATCGGGTATCTTAAGTACACAGCAAACCTTAATTTTCTAGCAAAATTTAAGAAGAACCAAAGAGAATAATACAGATGAATAAAGGATATGGTTTATATATAAACATTTTTAAAAAGCATTAACAAAATTTGATGAAGCTTTTCTAAACATTTTTGCTTCTTCTGATTTCTTAAAGAATATTTAAGAAAATGTAACATTTTGTGACTGGGCTTGTTTATCATTTTAACATCAGAGTTGGTATTCTGATTTTTTAAAAAAAATGCAGCAATGCTATCAAGATCTGTCAAGATTTGTTTGCCTTAACACGAGCTCTGCTTTTTTCCCAACATTTTTGAATTCCTTTTCTGTAGTTTTTCTGTCTCTTACCTTGCTTTTAACTGCCACCCCTTGCCACTGTCAGCACACCTGCTGTGAGTGTTTCTTTGTTCCTTCCTCTCTAATTTGCAGTGTTGAATCCTCTAGGACCGGAAAACTAAACAGGCAGATCTGTAGACTCATCTATAGTAAGAGGCTCTGAGGAAGTACCTAAGGGTGATAATGTGCATTTATTTTGTGAGGTTTTTTACTATTGCTAGACATTCTTATTAACTCACATATAGCCAGTGAAAGTGACTTTGGGGAAGGAAGGTCTTATGGAAAATATTTGGGGGTTTTGGACATGAGTACGGGCCTGATGGCAGAACTGAACTCAGTTTGATGTCCTCCTATCACAGGGAGGGGACCCGAGCAAGCCTGTGAAGTGAGTGTGGTCAACGGGAAGGATTCCTCTCAGTCCACGGCTCCTTTTAGATACAACATGTCAATGACACCGTTCATCACCAAAATAGCTCCCGAGAGAGGCAGTACGGCAGGGGGCACCAGACTCACAGTCTTGGGATCAGGCTTCAGGTACTGTCTTCACATTACACGTACATGAATGCATCTTTCCAGACTCAAGCCATTACACCTGCTTTCTCATGTGCCAGGACAGTGTTTAAATATAGTCAAATAATGTGTACCCGGAGAAGGAAATGGCAACCCACTGCAGTATTCTTGCCTGGGTAAATCCCGTGGACAGAGGGGCCTAGAGGCCACAGTCCATGGAGTTGCAAAATAGTCAGACATGATTTAGTGACTAAACAACAAACAACAATGTGTACCTGGGCTTCCCACTTGGCACAGTGGTAAGGAATCTGCCTGCCAGTGCAGGAGCTGCAAGAGATATGGGTTTGATCCCTGGGTTGGAATGAGGAGGAAATGGAAACTCGAGCCCAGCGGGCTACTGTCCATGGGGTTGCAAAGAGTTGGACATGACTGAGTGACTGAGCACCTTACAACGTGTACCCATCTGCTGAAAAGCCACACTACTATTTACTGGCTACATACTCTGTGTCAGAAACCGTCCTACTCCATAGAATCTTCCTGGCTTACTTTCTTAGATATTTTAAAATCCCATTTTATGGTTAGAAAACTAAAATTAAAGAAGATACTGATTTTCCCCAGATCCTAGTAACATCACAAGTACAAATCACTTTCCTGTTATGCTTTCCCCCAAATCTCATTTCCAACCATCATCTACTTCATTGGTTGAATGAAACATCTCTTCAAGCATCAGATCCATTTCATTGTCACTATTTAAATTCCTTCTTCCTAAACATGTTCATTATTTGGGCTCAAACTTATGTACTGCACTGCCATCATCCTTCAAGTAGTTAAGGCTGACTTCAAAACCCCAGATCATTTAAATCATAGCAGGCAAAACTAATTCCTCACATACTTATAGCTACATTGAACTTGCATTTTTACACAGGGGTTAAGTCCCAAAGTCTGTGAATATGGCAAGAATGCCAGCTAAACAAAATGATCACAGAAAGTCTCTTATTAAAGTGCCATTTTGGAGAAGAATGTAGAATCTCTCAATAATTTGAACCCAAGCATTTTTTCTCCAATGCTGCAGTACTTGCTATACAGTTTTATTTCCCAACCTCTTAATCTCTTTGTTTACTTTTTTCTCAACAAATATTTTAAAGTTTTACTACTGAAAAAAGTGTCAGTCTGTACTTGATAGCTCATGGGGTAAGACCATTATTTTTACAATAATACAAGTAATAATGTTTGTCAGTGTGACCCAGAAATTTGAGAAAAACATCAATGTTTTGTTTTCCTCCTTTTTACTTTACAGTGAAAATGTAGAGGATGTTCTTGTTACCGTAGCCGAAGCCATGTGTAATGTTGACTATTCCAACAAGACGTGTATCATCTGCATGACAAATGCCCACACTCCTTCAGGGTGGGCTCCAGTCCATGTCAGCCTCAGAAGCACCGGCCTGGCCAAACGGGTAACAGTGCTGTGGCATAGAGTAGTCTCAGCAGTAGAAAAACTAGCCTTACAGGAAGTGAAGTCACTAGTAATGGACTTTTTACTTTGTTCATTTCTCCAAAACATAACTGAGATGTGACTGCAACAAATTTAAAGTAGGTTTTTTTTTTTTTACTTATTACTAAAATGTTTATAATTTCAGATTTCTGATTTTTCTGGGTTGCAGGTAATTGGTAATAGATTTTTTTAAGTTTTTTATTATTGTGAAATGAATCAACTGGCAGTTCTAATGTATTTAAAGTAGATAATACTTTATTATTAATGAAGATGTTCGTTGTCTTAGATTTCTTCGTTTTGAGAAATTAAATGATGAAATCTCTGAATTAAATTTTTAAAGTCTCTTGTGTTCTGCTACAGGCTAATGCTGACTTCCTGTACGTGGACACTTGGTCCTCCAACTCCTCATGGGGAGGAAAATCTCCTCCAGAGGAAGGCTCCCTAGTTGTTATTACAAAAGGACAGATAATTTTGCTGGATCAAAATACCCCCATCCTGAAAATGTTGCTTATTCAAGGTAAATTTCTCAAAATCTGTTTCTAAGACTCTGCCTGTGAAATGGTTCTGTGAGGTTAATTTAATCAAGATTCATGATTATTTATTCAAGATTCCAGAGTTATATCATGTTTCAAACTCAGAGTGTAGTGCTGAATTTATTAAATTGAGTGTTATTATCCATTTGTGGTTATGAAATTATTTATTGTGTTGCCACCAGAATGTTTTTAATAAAATAGAATAGAAAACATCAGAGTGAACCACATTCATATGGGTAAGCATGTTTTAAAGTTAAATATCTCGTGAAACTTCTGTTTCGATAACTGTATGTGTTTGTGTGTGTATATGTGTAAGTGAATCCACATGGAGTGAATTAAACAGTAAAATATATATTTCCTATTTAGAAAAACTAGTATAGTGGGTCCTGGGGATTGTAAAAACCTTGGAAATTTGTTAAATTCTATACTAAATGACCTCTTGCTCCACTTGGATGTCAGATTGTGGTTTAACCTTTGCCTGTGAACCTGCTTTCAACTGTTACCCAAAGTTCTCTCTGCTTCTTAATATTCTATTTTTAATACAGAAAATTAAATAACCAGAACTGTTACAACTGTGTATAAAAGAAAGAATAATTGGCAAGAATAAAACACTTGGAGATTCAATATATAAGGCTTTGCCATAATGGTCTTAGCTAATCAAAGACCTTTGCATTTTGTTTTTGTTTCAAATCCTGGTATGATAGCAGTGTTTCACTTCTTTGAAGTTAATAACTATTGAACATTTGGACAAGTGAAGTTTTACTGTCCACAAATCTACATGAGTCTCTTAAAAAATGTATCCCAGCACATTCTTTAATTATGCTAATCATAGGCTGTAGCTATTGCTGGTGCAAATTAGTGGATAAAAGTTCAGTGCTAATGTTGATATTACAATACTTTCTATAAAAAGTATTTTTCTTTTCTTTCAATTTTTTGTTCTTAATTTAAATTTGAGGTCCTCTGTTTGTAGAACTAGAAACTAGCTGCAGTATTTAGTAGCATTTAAAATAACAAATGATCAAGGGAAAATGATCTGGTTTGGGGTTTGATTTTACTTCATATTGCCAAAGAACCGAAGTGAAGTAACATGGATAGTAAAAGCAGATCGGAATAAGAAATCAAAGTTTTAATGTATAATTTAATAAATAGATTTTAATATGAATTTTCCTTGTAATATATTTCAAAATTGTATGATTTTTAGGTGGAACTCTAATATTTCATGAAGCTGACATTGAACTCCAGGCAGAAAATATTCTAATTACAGATGGAGGCGTTCTGCAGGTATATGAGATAACTTGAACTGTGTTTATTGATAACCTCTCTCCATTTCTTTTTAAAATATCATGTGTGAAATGGACAGTTAATTATGCTAGACTCACCAATTTATCTTTTTGTAGATCTCAGTTCTTAGCATAAAGTCTTTTTTTCTGGATTGTAAAAGTTTTTCAGAATATTTTTGTGCTTTTAATGCAAAGATAAAGCATACTTTCGGAGAGCAGAAATTTAAATAGTGCAAAAAAAAAAAATTACCTCTGAGCTGTATGTGGCCAAAGTCAATCAGTATCCTTTCCAAAGGTCTGGCACAGTGTATTTGACTGACTAGAAAATGTAAGGTTTATCTTTTGGAGGAAAATGTAAGGTTTATCTTTCTCTTCATACTGAGAATGGAGTAATCCATTCTCAAAAGAGGGGAGAGAAGGAAGGAATTTGCTTTTGGGTGATGAGAATCATGGCTAATGAGTTTCAACTTCCTGAGTGATGCTCGTGAAATCCCTTGCAGATTGGGACAGAAGCAGCCCCATTTCAACACAGGGCGGTCATTACCTTGCACGGGCACCTGAGGTCTCCTGAACTCCCAGTATATGGCGCCAAAACGCTGGCTGTGAGAGAAGGAATCCTGGATCTGCATGGTATGGCTCAGGGAATTGGTCCAGGAGAGACCAGCCAAGAAGCCAGAGATAATCCTCCCGACAACTCTCTAAATGCAGCCTTGCCAAGCTTCTCCTGTCTTTATGTATTCTCTCCTTACCCCCCTTTATCTCTTCCTCCTTCACACAGGCCGGGTCAACCCCTACAGAGCACCAAGACAAGGTCACTCCTGCAAAGCCCTTCCATCACATCGTTTGCCTAATGTGGCACTTGAGACAGTCCATGTTGATTGTTTTCCTTATTCATCTTATCTGAATAGAAAAGCATTAAGTCTGGAAGCAAAAATTGTCATGCCTTCCATTTGTATTTTAAAATGGGCTCTTTCTAACATACAACTATAAATTTATAGTTGCACTTTTCTGTAACTATTTTCTGGACAATTATCAGCAAATAAAAACTATTGTAATCCTGTTTGTGGTGTCAGGGTAGCATTGTTTAAAGGAAGTATGGTGTGAACCTTTTTAAATGAAGTCTTCTCTATTGTAATGTGCATGTGTGCTAAGTCACTTCAGTCGTGTGTGACTCTGTGTGACCCTATGGACTGTAGCCCACTGGGCTCCTCTGTCCATGGGATTCTCCAGGCAAGAATACTGGAGTGGGTTGCCATGCCTTCTTCCAGAAGATCTTCCCAACCCAGGAATCGAACCCACATCTCTTATGTCTCCTGCATTGGCAGGTGGGTTCTTTACCACTAGTGCCACCTGGGATGCCCTCTTTAAGTAATAATCTACTTTTTTAATAAGTTTATAATATATAAACATGATACCTGATTGACCATATATGTCTTGCATTGGGCTAAATATGTACACTAATAAAATTTTCAGAAATTTACACATTTCATTTGTCTCCAGATTATCAATTTAAGCAACTCCTATCAACAAAGACAAAGGTAATAGGCCTCTGCCCATTTTATCAATGTATGCCTCTGGCCTTTTTATCAAGAGTATCATACCATTCTGGAGAAGGAAATGGCTACCCACGCCAGTATTCTTGCCTGGGAAATCCCATGGACAGAGGAGCCTGGTGGGCTACAGTCCATGGGGTCGCAGAGAGTCGGACGTAACTGAGGGACTAAACAGCAAAATGATGCCATTTATACTGAGTTTATATAAAGGAGATTGTCATAAATGAAATATATCATTGCAGAAGGACTTTTACAAAATGTGTAGACCCATACATGTTATTACAAGTGTGACTGCTACCTTTATAAAGCTAGCACTCTAAATTTTTTTTTTTGAGAAAGGTATAAGATGCTAAGTTAAAATGAATCTTCTCAAAAGTTATTCAACCCAGGAGATTAACATGCATAAAACTCTTAATATTCCAGAAGACGTACCTGAGGAAGCTCTCAGCTGGTGTGTATGTTGGTTCCAGGTCTGCCTCTCCCTGTGATCTGGACTCGTCTGGCTCATACAGCAAAGGCAGGGGAACGGGCTTTGATTTTACAAGAAGCGGTAACGTGGAAACCAGGAGATAAGATTGTAATTGCAAGCACAGGACACAGGTATGGTATCTTCTGGATCTGATAATTTTGATTTAGAATAGAAATTTGTAACTCTGTAAAAAAGGTATGACTCAGGAGGTCCACAGCCATTTAATTTAAATTTGAAACCTCAAGTAAAGAAGCCTGGACAGCCAAATATTTATTTGTCAGACATTAACATTGAGTTGATCCCCAGTGCGAGTTTTAATTGAATTTACCATAAGAAAAAGTGTAAATATATACTAATAAAAGATTTAGTCATTTTTCATGGTTCAGTTCCCACGGAAGATTTCTTTTGACAAGAGCATTCTGCTATTAAAAGGTATTTGAAAACCTCTGAGTGATGTCATATAGAGTACAGTAAGTCAGAAAGAGAAAAACAAATACCATATATTAGTGTATGAATGTGGAATCTAGAAAGATGGTCCAGATGATTTCTTTTTGCAGGGCAGGAATAGAGACGTAGACGTAGGAAATGGACATGTGGACACAGTGGGGAAAGGGAGGGTGTACCGAACTGGGAGAGTAACACTGACATATACACATGAGCACGTGTAAAATAGATGGGCTGTGGGAAGCTGTATCGCCCAGGGAGCTCACCTCACTGCTCTGGGGTGACCTAGAGGGGTGGGATCAGGGTAGGGGTGGGAGAGAGATTCAAGAAGAGGGGGATATATGTATACTTGTGGCTGATTCACATTGTACAGCAGAAATTAACACATTGAAAGCAATTATACTCCAATTAAAAAAAAAGAAAACCTCTGAGTGAGAGCTTTAGCTGAGTACATCAATGCATGCAAAAATGTAAATGAGCTTCTTTGTTTGGGGTCACCAAGGAGCACAGTTGAAAGCAGCTAGTTAAGTCTTTTTAATCTTACAGTCTTGGCAGTGGTTCCCATGGAGCAAAATTGTTAGTAATGATTGAATGATAGGGATGAAATTATAGTGTAAGTAATGATTAACATGACCTTTGATGTCTGACATTTTATCATGAAACTGCTTATGGCCCTTAATTATTGTTTAATTATATATTTTGGCAAATAAGAAATACAAGGAACAAAACTAATATAGCTACACCAAGAATTCTGGTGGGGAGATAAAGCAAAAGGAGCTTTATTTTTGCTTTATTATTCAAATTATGTAATAGCAAAATTGGATATAGTTATGTGGATCAGGGAACAAATAGTAATTTATGACAAGAAACAGTTAAGTTGTATTAAGGTTGTGACTCAATTTAGAATTAAAATTCAGGATGGCATTTTGAATTTGTCCCTTTCCAAGTTAAAAATAGACTTGCAGATGTTAGGAAGAGTTAAATATATACTTAGCTTTATAAGCACCCTCTTTTTTTTCTCTGCCCTTGGGATGATATAATGGCAAAGTTAAAAAGCAGCAAAATGACAAGGCTTCTTTATAGAATAGGAAGTCCTCATAGCTTTTCCAGGTGAAAGAAAAGTAAGTTTAGAACTTAGGGGTCTCAAAGAGTCGGACACGACTGAGTGACTGAACAACAAAACAAAGTTTTAATAAACAAGAATTTAGGAATTTCCCACCAAATCTAATTAGTTGTTCACTATTTCATTTGTAAATCCTATTTGAGTGCTTGCAAAGCAGGTGGTTAAGAATACTACTTCTAAAGTTAGTTGACCTAGATCCAGCCCCCGGCAATACCACTTACCAGGCCTAATGCCATATTATTTTGCCGCTCTGTGCTTCACTGAAATTGGAATGCTGTTAGTATGTGTCTCAGAGTTCGTTGTAAGGATTAAATGAGTTAATATGTGTAAAACAGAGTGGAACTTGGCTCAAAGTTAGTGCTATATGTGTGGATATTATTACCAAGGAAGGAAAGGTGCATTTAGGTGAAATGGCAGCCTACTTCAGTGTTCTTGCCTGGAGAATCCCATGGACAGGGGAGCCTGGCGGGCTACAGCCTGTGGGGTCACAAGAGTCGGAGATGGCTTAGTGACTAAAAACCAAAACATATAAAAATCCTTTTGAGAACTTCTTTTCTAAAAATATCATCTCTGTATCATCTGAATCTAAGAGAATTAGGAGAAGTTAGTCCAAATCACCTGAGGGATCTTGTAATATTATTGATATACCCTATTCAAACATCCTTAGTCTCTACTTCCCCCTCCCTCCTGCCCCTCTAATTCCTTCCTTGGGTCTTTGGGAATTATGTCTTTCCATCCACTTACCATCTTGGAAAAAAACCAACTTTGGTCTCTTGTAACTTCTAGCTTTTCTGTCTCTCTCCCCGCCCCCTCTCTCCCCGCCCCATCTCTCCCCCTCCCTTTCTCTCTCTCAATTATTGAATCACTTGAATACCATGCCCATTTCTTCCATTTCAATCTCACTTTCCATTTTTTCCCTTTAAAGCCTACAATCTAATTTTCATCTTCTCAAAAATTTTCCTAGTGACCTTCTGACTATCAGCTGTCTTCGCTTCCTGCACATCACCAAGTTCTTTGGGTTCTGCCCTTGAAATGCCTCTTCCACCAGCTTTCCTTACTTTCAGTTGAATTTAGACTTCCAGTCCCTCATGCTGGAATATTCCATCATCTTCTTATTTGGGTTCCATTCCTCTACCTTCTTCCCTCAGGAATTTATTCTGCATTGATTTGATCAGTCAGTCACATCTATGACTGAGATGTGACAGGTGCTCAGTATACAGAATGATTCAACGGGTGCCTTACCTAGAGGAGCAGACAGCTATGGGAAGGACAGAGAAGTAAATGGGTGATAGGTCTGCAGTGTGGTAACTGTGAGTGCTAATGGGGCATTAGGAAGTGCTTATTGGGAATCCAGAAGAAGAGCTGGGGAAGTTGAGAGAGGTGCTTTACAATCTATTTCACATGCAACATTGTTATTTGACCTGGTAGTTAAAGGAGGAGAAAGATTTGCCAAGGAAGAGAGGAATCAAAAAGCAGTGTCAGGAAGATACATTGATAACTCCCCTAAAGGCACCTCTGTCAACAGCATCAGTCACACACTTTAGTAGATAAAACCCAAAATCATCCATAGAAACGTGTCTCTCTGAAGTTAGGGGCACTACTGCTTGGTACCCAACTCCCAGTACTTAACTCTGAGTCTAGAAAACAGGCCTGTTCTTATTCAGTGGCTAAGTAGTGTTTGACTCTTTGCAACCCTGTGAACTATAGCCCACCTCTGTTCATAGAATTTCCTCTGTCCATGGAATTTCCAGGCAAGAATATTGGAGTCGGTTGCCATATCCTCCTAGACACTCAATAAATATTTGTTGGAAGAACTCAGTACATGAATGTGTATATTATCGATTTGGCCAGTCCTTTTGCTGGAACTTGGGGTGTGTTGGAGGAATGGGTAGAAATGAGACCTCCTGAACTCACCTCAGTCATTTCTTTTCCCTGCTCTGGAACCTCCAGTGGACTCCCTCTGTAAGGGTTTTCCCAACCTCAGCACTATTGACGTTTTAGATAGGGTAATTCTTTGTTGTATGTCACAGGAGATTTAGGAACATCCTCAGCCACTACCTACTAGTAGCAAACCACCACCATCAGTACCACCACCACCACCACCAGTACCAACACCATCAACACCACCACCACCAGTACCAACACCACCACCACCACCACCAATACCAACACCACCAACACCACCACCATCAATACCAACACCAACACCACCAATACCACCACCACCAACACCATCAACACCACCACCACCAGTACCAACACCACCACCACCACCACCACCAATACCAACACCACCAACACCACCACCATCAATACCAACACCACCACCACCAATACCACCAACACCAACACCATCAACAACAACACCAGTACCAACACCACCAACACCACCACCAATACCAAAACCAACACCACCACCAATACCAAAACCAACACCACCACCACCAATACCACCACCACCACCACCACCAATACCACCACCACCACCACCATACCAACACCACCAATACCAACACCACCACCAATACCAACACCATCATCAACACCACCACAACCAATACCAACACCACCACCACCAATACCAACACAACCACCACCACCGCCACCAATACCACACCATCAACACCAACACCACCAACACACCACCATTAATACCACCACCACCAATACCAACACCAACACCACCACCAATACCACACCACTGACACCAACACCACCAACACACCACCATTAATACCAACACCACCACCAATACCAACACCAGCACCCCCAATACCAACACCACCAATACCACCACCAATACCAACACCATCAACACCACCACCACCAGTACCAACACACCAACACCATCACCAATACGAACACCACCACCACCAATACCAACACCACCGACACCAACACCAACACAGCACCCCCCACCCTACTGCATTATGACAACCAAAAATGTGTCCAGGCATTGCCAAATGTCCCCAGGGGGACAAAATCACCCTTGGTTGAGAGCCACTGTGTGTGATCCTCAAAGCTGTAAAGGAGTTGTTCTTTTGAATACTTTAAAGAGAGTAAAACACCATCTTCAAATTCCTCTTCAGCATACTGTATGACATAAACATTTTTTTCCTATTTTACAGATGAAGTTTTCAAAATAGACTAAAACAAATACACCAAAACAATAGTGTGTTAATTTATATTAATTCCGAGAGCTTGTGGTTAAAATTTTTACAGACACAGCCAACGTGAAAATGAAAAAAGGACCATTGCATCTGTATCTGCTGATGGCAGGAACATAATGCTCACTGATCCACTGAATTACACACACTTGGGGATCACTGTCACCCTCCCTGATGGAACTCTTTTTGAAGCAAGAGCAGAAATTGGAATTCTTACAAGAAATATTTTAATAAGAGGATCTGACAGTGTGGAGTGGAATAGCAAAATCCCAGCATGTCCTGATGGATTTGACACAGGTAACTTTAGTAGCCTTAGTGAGTCAACTTAAATGTTTCCAGACATTGCAGAAATACTCCCTGTGGGCAAAATAAGTTCCTGTTCAGAACTAATAGACTTGGTTATGCACTGGCAATAAATAAGCCCCAAATTTTAGTGAGTTAAAATGGTAAAGGTTTATTTCTTATTTATGCTACATGTGTCCAGTATGAGTGAACAGTGGGGCTCTGATCACTGTAATTTTCCAGGGTCTGGGTTGATGGAGGCTTCATCTCCACATGGGTTTCCATGGTCTCTGAGACAGGAGATCAGAAGGCTGGGAAGTTAATCACCAGCAGTTAGTTACTTTGGTCCTGAAGGGACATGTGTCTCTTCTACTCAGGTGTCAATAGTTGGGACTGGTTCTATGGCTATCCTTAACTTACCATACTTCTCAGAGATATATAATATATACATATGTGTATGGACTTCCCTGGTAGCTCAGCAGTAAAGAATCCACCTGCAGTGCAGGAGCTGCAGAAAACGTAGGTTCCATCCCTGGGTCGGGAAGATCCCCTGGAGGAGGATGTGGCAACCTACTCCAGTACTCTTGCCTGAGGAATCCCATGGATAAAGGAGCCTGGGAGGCTACAGTCTGTAGCGCTGCAAAGAGTTGGACACGACTGAAGTGACTTAGCATGCCTACATGCACATATACATATGTGTGTATATATGTTTACATAAAACTATGTATAACTATCGGAGAAGGCAATGGCACCCCACTCCAGTACTCTTGCCTGGAAAATCCCATGGACGGAGGAGCCTGGTAGGTTGCAGACCATGGGGTAGCTAAGAGTCAGACACGACTGAGCGACTTCACTTTCACTTTTCACTTTCATGCATTGGAGAAGGAAATGGCAACCTACTCGAGTATTCTTGCCTGGAGAATCCCAGGACAGCAGAGCCTGGTGATCTGCCGTCTATGGGGTCTCACAGAGTCAGACATGACTGAGGTGACTTAGCAGCAGCTGCAGCATGTGTAACTATATATATGTGTATAGCTAGGAAGCACAGTGCATTTAAGTCTTTTCTAATATTTTATGTGATCACTACTACTGTTGTTGTTGGTTAGTTCCTAAGTCGTGTCCGACTCTTTGAGACCCTGTGGACTGCAGCCAGCTAGGCTCCCCTGTCCATGGGATTCTCCAGGCAAGAATACTGGAGTGGGTTGCCATTTCCTTCTCCAGGGAATCGAACCTGCGTGTCTCCTGCATTGGCAGGCAGATTCTTTACCGCTGAGCCACCAGGTAAGCCCACTGCCATTACAATCCTATAAGCAGCTAAATAATAACTGGTACACCTTAGGTACAGGCTTTTCTTCAGTGGAAACATAAGACAAAGCTCACTGGATTCAGTGTCAAGTGACCTGCATTCTGATTCCAGTTCATCTGCATCATCTCACTATGTCCATTGTAAACCTAGTTTCATCCTGTTTTATATAAAAATACTTCCTGTTCTGCCAACCTACTGTTGTAAGAATTAAGTGAGATAATGCATGTTCTAATCTTGTACCAGTGTAAGATTGTATCAACTATGTTAATCCCAAATGTTGTGAAAAACAAATTCAGAGATAATAAAGCAAAATACCTTTATCAGCATTCATTCAGCCATTCAAATATTTATCTAGTATCTTTGAAAGATACTAAAGTAAGTACCTTTGGGCTTCTCTGGTAGCTCAGACAGTAAAGAATCTGCCTGCAATGCGGGAGACCTGGGTTTGATCCCTGGTTTGGGAAGATCCCCTGGAGAGGGCATGGCAACCCACTCCAGTATTCTTGCCTGGTGAGTCCTCTATGGACAGAAGAGCCTGGAAGGCTATAGTGGGATCACAAAGAGTCGGACACAGCTGAGCGACTAAGCACAGCACAGCAAAGTAAGTACTTTAGGGGAACAAGCAAAGGTGAACAAGACAAGGCATTTACCTTCCTTACTGTGCATAGGAGGAGATAACGTGGATGCAAACAATTATGTTCTAGGATAAGATTAAAATTATATATAAATAAAAAGATATAACTAGGTGTGAAAAGAAGTCTTTATATAATGAGAGAATTTTGACTCTGTTTTCCTTTGTTGTATCTTAAAAATTATTTTTAAAGGTGAATTTGCTACACAGACATGTGTCCAAGGAAAGTTTGGAGAAGAAATAGGAAGTGACCAGTTTGGAGGCTGCATTATGCTTCATGCTCCTTTACCTGGTGCTAACATGGTAACTGGAAGGATAGAATATGTGGAGGTAAGAGGCACTATTATTAGCAGTTTATCCAAAGTTGTCTATACAATGAGTTTGTATTGAGCACCTGCTTTTTGCCAGATGCTGCTTATAATAATGTTTGGTAGAGGAGACATATAAATAAACAGACAGTGTCAATACATCCGTTATTCATGTATATCATCATGCCAAAATTTTGTTTCTCTCTTTTTCTTATACCCACCCCATGTCAAATTCATTAACAAGTTCTATCCCAAAATAGTGTATCCTGAATCCATTATTTTTCCAGCGCTCCACCTGTTTCCAAACCCAAACCACTGTCACCTCTCACCTGGACTACTATGCTTTTCTCCTAACTGGTCTTCCTGCCTCCACCTTTTCTGCAACAGAATCTCCACACCACAGCCAAAGTTCAGCTTTTTTATTTTTTATTTTATTGGAGAATAATTGGTTTACAATATTGTGTTGGTTTCTGCCATAACATCCCCATGAATCACCCACCGGTATATATGTGTCCCCTTCCTCCTGAACCCCCCCTCCCATCTCCCTAGAGCCTATTATCCAGAGTGAAGTAAGTCAGAAAGAGAAAGACAAATATAATATATTAATGCATGCATATGAAATCTAGAAAGATGGTACTTATGAACTTGTTTGCAGGGCAGCGATGGAGACACAGACATAGAGAACAGACTTGTGAACAAAGCTCAGGCTTTAAAGTGTGAATCAGATCTTGCCACACTGTGTTCAAAACACTTCAGTAGCTTCACAATACACTTAAAACAAAATGTCCACACTTTTCCCAGAGGAGCCACACTATCTGACCCCACTCTGGCCCCTTGCTGTCTCGTGTGAACTGCCCTTGGCCCCCACCATGCTGGCCACATAGGCCTCCCTGCGTCATGTGACCACGTCAGGCACGTTCCTAGCTCAGTTCTTCCCACTTGCTCTTCATTTTCCTTAGAATGCTTCTCTGCCAGGTACTTCCATGTTCACACTCATTTCAGTCAGATCTCTTCTCAGATGTATCTCTTAAGAGAGGCCGTGCCTCACCACCTTTGTTTGAAAGAGCTGCCAAACTCCTATTTTTCTTTATTAACTCCTAACTCTAGGTGTATATATATATATATATATATATATATATATATATATTTTAATCTCTTCTTCTAGAACATAAGCAGTCCTTCTAGTTTTCTACTGATTCCTCTGTAGCTGGAGCAGTGCTTGGTGCATAGCAGATTCTTAATTGACTATAAATTGAACAAATACATAAATAAAAGAAAAATATGCAAGTTATGTCTAAAAAATCAGGAGCTCCTCTGTATCTCAGTCAATATAATCTGGGTTTAGCACAGTATTTATCAAGTATTCAATAAAAGGAAGGAGGGTGTGAAGGAAGGAAGGATAGTAAAATCCACAAATCGGTTAAACTGGGAACACCCAACTGTAGTAAGGGTGGCAGAGTCAACGGTTACATTTGGTAAAACTCTCCTCCCCCTAGGTTATGTTACACACATGTGACTTCTGGATATGGACTAAGTGAGGTTAGCAGGGTTGACCTGTATAGTAAATATTAGTAATAGTTAAGTTTTATTTTTATATGAAGAATGAGATTAAATGGATGCCCTAACATTTTATTTCCAAACCTCATAAGATTATATTTCACAGATACACACACATACACACGCACAGAGGTGTCTTCTGTCTTAGATTATTAGATCATTTTGGTGGATCAGTTACTAAGTCGTGCCTGACTCTGTGCGACTCCATGGACTGCAGCACGCCAGGCTCTCCTGCCCTTCGCTCTCTCCCGGAGTTTGCTCAGATTCATGTCCACTGAGTTGGTGGTGCTGTATAATTATTTGATCCCCTGCTGCCCGCTTCTCCTTTTGCCTCCCATCTTTCCCAGCATCAGGGTTTTTTCCAATGAGTTGGCCCTTCACATCAGGTGGGTTGTAGACCTTTGAAAGTATAGCAGAGTGGTTACTAAGAACACCAACTCTATAATCAGACCAGTGGGTTTAAGTGGAGCTTTGTGACCATGAAATAGATACTCAGCATTTCTAAATTTCACTTTCTTCATCTATAAAATGAAGCTTATGATGAGTGGCTACTTCCTAGGACTGTAGTAAAGGGTATGATCATGCGTATGACGTTTAGCACAATATCTGGCATTTGATGGATATTCAGGAAGTATTTCTTATAATTAAGTAAGGATTAAAAGGAGGAGGAAAAGAAGTACTTTAAAAGGTTGTGTTTTGCTCAACACCAAAATTCCATAATGGAGTCAGGTGAAAAGTGGAAGAGTTGAAGATGGCTTTTGTTCATTCATTCATTTGATAAAAAGCATGAGCACACATAGGCTGTTATATTAATATATTGAATAAAACAAGGTGGGTTGGGGGTCAAAGAACATTTTAAAATGATAAACAGGAATAATATGGGAGAGATCAATGCATTAATAATAATTAATGTGAAAGTGGATATTATTTTGAAGCAAGAAAGTATGAGCCAGGCAAACTATGTGTATCACTGAATAGCTGTGATTTCTGGGCTTGACAGATATTCCATGCTGGTCAGGCATTCCGGTTGGGACGATATCCAATACATTGGCACCTGCTTGGAGATTTACAGTTTAAATCTTATGTAAAAGGCTGTGCAATTCACCAGACCTATAACAGGGCTATTACTATCCATAACACACATCACCTTCTGGTTGAGAGGAATATTATATATGACATCAGGGGAGGAGCATTTTTTATAGAAGATGGCATTGAACACGGCAATATCCTGCAATATAACTTGGCAGTATTTGTACGTCAGAGTACTAGTCTTCTGAATGACGATGTGACTCCAGCTGCATTTTGGGTAACCAATCCAAACAACACCATACGACACAATGCGGCTGCTGGTGGCACTCACTTTGGCTTCTGGTACCGAATGAACAACCACCCTGATGGGCCATCCTATGACCGAAACATTTGCCAAAAAAGAGTCCCTCTTGGAGAATTCTTTAACAACACTGTTCATTCTCAAGGTTGGTTTGGATTGTGGATCTTTGAAGAATATTTCCCCATGCAGACAGGATCATGTACTTCTTCGGTGCCACTGCCTGCAGTATTTCATTCACTCACAACTTGGAATTGTCAAAAAGGAGCCGAATGGGTCAACGGAGGTGCCCTTCAGTTCCATAACTTTGTAATGGTAAATAATTACGAGGCTGGAATTGAAACAAAGAGGATCCTGGCTCCTTACGTTGGAGGATGGGGTGAAACCAATGGAGCAGTGGTTAAAAATGCCAAAATAGTTGGTCATCTTGATGAACTGGGGATGGGGTCTGCATTTTGCACGACAAAAGGCCTGGTTCTCCCATTTAGTGAAGGACTGACTGTGTCTTCCGTACACTTCATGAACTTTGACCGTCCCACCTGTGCAGCTTTGGGAGTGACATCCATCACAGGCATTTGTAACCACAGATGTGGAGGGTGGAGTGCAAAATTTGCTGGCATCCAGTATTCTCACACGCCGAACAAGGCTGGCTTTCGATGGGAACATGAAGTGGTACTGATTGATGTTGATGGTTCACTTACAGGTAAGGTGATGTTTTCATTTCTGACAAAATATTTTGGCAATGTATTTTTCTCTTGTCAACATGGAGTTGAATTGTCATAGCATATTTGAATGAATCACAAATCTTACCTGGTACCAAACTTTCCTAATGACTTAAAGATGTAGGTCAGCACTAGTCATAGATGACACATCCTTTTCTGGAGAAGTCCAAAGCTGTCAGATGCAGCCTCCATGTATATCCTTTTTTCCCCTGCATTTTCACTTTGGTTTTGAGTTAATAGCAGATTTTAAGCAATATTTATGGAATTAGGGATCACAAAAGAAAGCCATGTCAGTCTGAGAATGACTCTATCTTTTATTCAGTTAATTACATGACTACCCAAATTCTCCAGCCAGTCAGGCCCGTAGACGTATAAATTCCAGGTTTATTTACATAAGCAATGTAGACAAACTGGATACATCCTGTTCAAGTACTTTAGAGGGAAGTAGTAAGTCACAGGCCTACTGTTAGCTTTTTTCTTTCCCATCTAAATTCTGAATTTGGAATTGGTTCAAAGAATATGTGAACTCTAGTACGATATTCAACATTCTTTGTAGGTTAAATTTTTCTACCATCTGAAGTTCAGCTCTTTCTGTAAATATGATTTCTAGAATTTAGCATTTTTATAAAATTTTAATGAAAACAACTTGGCTTCCCTGGTGGCTCAGTGGTAAAGAATCTGCCTGCCAACGCAGGAGACACAAGTTCGATCCTTGGGTTGGGAAGATACCCTGAAGAAGGAAATGGCAACCCATTCCATTATTCTTACCTGGGAAATCCTATGGACAGAGGAGCCTGGTGGGCTACAGTCCATGGGGTAGCAAAAGAGTCGGACACGACTTAGCGACTAAACAACAATAACAATTTGGCTAAATAAGATAGGAAGGATATGTGTGTGTGTATGATTCTGCATAATACCTTATAAAAGAGAAACGACTGACAAGTAAACCTACAGATATTAACAAATGTTTTTGAAAGCCTTTGAAAGAAGTTTCATCTCAATAGTCAAACAGACTGAATACTCACCTATAGTTGTTGATTTGTTTCCTATTCTAAGTGTGGCTTTAAGAAGGAGAACATTTGGATAATCCCAATATACAGAGCTTTATTGACCTTTATTCCTTAATTCAACTTAGACTCTTTTTTTAAAAATATTTGTGTGTTAGGCTGTGCCAAGTCTTAGCTGTAACACGCAGGATCTTTAGTTGAGGCATATGAACTCTTAGTTGGGGCATTTGGTGATCTAGGTCCCTCACCACGGATCAAACCTGGGTCCCCTGCTTTGGGAGCATGCAGTCCTAGGCACTGGACCACCAGGCATGTCCCTCAGCTTAGATTCTTAATGTTTGTTGACAGACTCTCAGTTGAGAGCCCAGGCTTTATGGTCAGACAGCCTGGATTTACATCCTTCCTTGTGTCCTTGACCAAGTTACTTATTCCCCATCCCATCCCCTACTGTGTCTCTCATGGGCTCTTCACATCCCATATTTCTGCTATGTTCATGATAAGCTCCCTGAGCAGAGTCCATTATAAAGCCTTTTTAGGAGGTCTCCTTACTCCATGACAAAAAAGAAGAAAATAAGCCAAGACTTTTTGATTGTATTGGTGGCACTCTGGATCATAGTAAGCATATGTTGTAGACAGTGTGGCTTTTTAGTTTTCTGACATAAAACATGCTGTTTGCGCCCATTTCCTAGGTCACAAAGGACACACCGTCATCCCACACAGCCCCCTGCTGGACCCTTCTCACTGCACTCAAGAAGCCGAGTGGAGCATAGGGTTCCCCGGGTCTGTCTGTGACGCCTCGGTCAGCTTCCACCGGCTAGCATTCAACAAGCCTTCTCCAGTGTCCCTGCTTGAAAAGGATGTGGTTCTCTCAGACTCCTTTGGTAAGTGCAATGTAATCATGTGAACCACTCATTTAAATATGTTTTCTTCAATTTTCATCATCCTCTTCCTGAGTTGTCACTCACTTATTTGGAACACTGGAAAAAGAATAATGTTGCTATCAGTCAGAAGCCAGGCAGGAAACTAATAGCACACCCCAAAACGACTTATGAGGAGTATTGAGTAAATGCATGGACGAGCGCGACTTCTGCTGATTAAGGCACGCCAATATCATGGGCTCCCCTGGTAAAGAATCTGCCTACAATGCAGGAGGCCTGGGTTTGATCCCTGGGTCAGGAAGATCCCCTGGAGGATACTCCAGTATTCTTGCCTGGAGAACCCCATAGACAGAGGAGCCTGGCAGACTACACCATGGGGTCACAGAGAGTCAGACACAACTGAGGAACTAAGCAGCATGCAACCATAGCCAATATTGTGACAGAGGGCAGGATAGTTGGCATAGCTTTTGGATTAAGACAGTGAAAATACATCATTGTTTCTAACCCTGAAAGCAAATTATTTTGATTATCTTTGCTGATTGATGTAGGATGGGGGTGCATCTGCTAGGTGCCTGGCTTGCACCCCAGGTGCCAGAGGCTGTTGATTTACTGAGTCATTTGAGTAAAGATACTATATGTGGAACACCACATGTGCTTGACATCGTTGCCTGATGAGATTGCATTAATTTACCATCATTATTCATGATCCATCTGGCATTTGCATCAGCCAGACAAGCAAGTTAAATGGAGATTGGTAGGAATCCTAATCATCACATCTTTCAGATTTTTTGTTGTGGCTTTATTTTCTATATTTTCCCCCCTCAAGGGCTTGGAATTGCTTTTAATTTATTATCTTGTTAAGGTGGTGGCAGGGGGAAGTATGGTTCCTAAAGTGTTCACTAGTCCTTCCTATCTGATTTTCCTTCCCTTCATTAGGAACTCTTCCAGTTACTAAATATGTCTATTTTCATCATGTCTGACCTGGTATGACTGGACTGGCTCCGATCTATATATCATTCCATCCACCCCTTTATACACACACCCATCATCTGTCTGAATTATTGGTTAAAATGTGTGTGTTCTCACTCGCTCAGTTGTGTTCAACTCTTTGTGACCCATGAACTATAGCCCACCAAGCTCCTCTGGCCACAGGGTTTTCCAGGCAAGAGCCCTAAGTGGGTTTCCATTTCCTCCTCCAGGGGATCTTCCCAACCCAGGGATTGAATCCACATCACCTGCATCTCCTGCATTGGCAGGTGGATTCTTTACCACTTAGTCAGCTGGAAGCCGCATTAGTTAAAACATCTACAATTAATCCACTCTCCTATACACTGTTCTGATAGACTGCAGATTTTGGAAAATAGGGAAAGCATTGGTGCATCAAAGATTTGCTAAACATGATTCTCAAATATAGTTTTCCACATTTTCTGCATGAATCTAAATGATACAGCTTCTTGATGACAGTGGTTCCAAATTTCCATGTTTAATGATATTTATAAGGTAGAAACTTGCAATTTGAAACTAAAATTATGTATCTCAATGTAAGCCAAATGAATTTTGAAAACATGTAGCATGATTATACCAGTAATACTATAGCTGCTAAAATTATAGCTATGTCAAATCCATCAGGACATGCTAGTGTTTTGTTACTCCACCCCATATTATTAGATCCTTTTGGTAGGATATTTCTTGTGAGCATTTCAACCTCTGCTCTTTCTTCAAACAGAGTTCTATATCTATTCCCACTATATATTTTGCAACTGGAGAGATAATCCTAAGATGACCCAGTGGCCTCAATGGACCAGCCATGAGATGAGCAAAGACTCATTCTGTGGCCTGGCCTTTGTAAGCTGCCACTCCAGCGGGTTGACCATGGTGGCATTTAGAGTCTTTGAGGGTTTGTATCAATTCAGATCTAGAAACTAACAACTCTTGGAAGGTTTGGATAGTTTGCTCTCCCTAGTAGGCAGCAGCCCCATAAATGGCTAGATTTCTCCCACTCAGTGTTAGGTGTTTTCAGTCTGTGAATTGGCTTGGATCTAGGAAATAGGTGAGAAGTAGCAAGTGTCCACTTGGGTAACTTGAATTAAATCTACATCCCCAAGATCTATATACTTTTTCTATCTATGTATGTCAAACGTCACCTTAGTGTGCTACCCACTATTCTCCTAGGGGAGTATCTTTGCATTGCAGTGACAGAGGCTCAGAGGGTGTGTTTCACCCAGCAAGCACTTTTTAAGTCTTTGCAGTGTCAGTTCTGCTAATAGTTCCTGGGCCAAAGAAGTCACCCAATATCAACAGAACTGGAAAGTGTATTCTGCCCTCAAGGAGAGGAGAGGAGTGAATATTTGCTGAATAATCCAAATTATCATAGTCCTTCTCATATACTGCATATCTTTTTAAACTGTTTTTAGTGCCTCTGGTCATGGGCTCTTCAAAACTTAATGCTAATTCATAAGCCTAAGAATATGTTCATCCTTGATATTGGAATTTGTTTTGCTTTATTCCCTAGTGGCTCAGATGATAAAGAACCCACCTGCAATGCAGAAGACCCAGGGTTGGGAAAACCCCCTGGAGAAGGGCGTGGCAACCCACTCTAGTATTCTTGCCTGGAGAATCCCATGGACAGAGGAGCCTGGCGGGCTTACAGTCCATGGGGTCGCAAAGAGTCAGACACAACTGAAGCGACTTAGCATGCATTTACACATCCCCAAAGGAAAAGAATGACAGTTTATTTTTGCTTTGTTCATTTTTTGTTTTTTTTTTTTAACTTTGATGTGCTTTTGTTACTTGTTTTCTAAAAATTTTTGCTTTATATTGGAGTATAGCCAATTAACAATGTTGTGATAATTTCAGGTGGACCTCTAAGGGACTCAGTCATGCATATACATGTATCCATTCTCCTCCAAATTCCCCTCCCATCCAGGCTGCCACACAACAATAAGCAGAGTACCCTGTGTTGTGCAGTAGGACCTTGTTGGTTATCCATTCTAAATGTAGCTGTGTGCGCTTGACAGTCTATTTTGTAATCTCACTTCTGACTTCTTTCTCCTAATTTGGAAAGGGACGAGGTTGCAAATTTAAAGTAAAATTCAATCAAAGATGAAAGAAGGGAGAGGAAAAAATGTAATTAATCAATCACAGATTTTTTTTCTTTATATTGTGAGAGATCTTTTCAAATCTTCACCCGAAGATGTCAGGCATTCTCTCAGATTAAATCTTTTTCCCATAACAGGTAGTTCAGGTTCCAGGTTTGTCATTCAAAAAATTTAGAGTGTCACGGCCAGTGTTAGAGGCTGCTTGTAGCCTAGTTCCCTAAGCGCTATCAATCAAAGATTTCCATTCATACTCGTTAGGCTGAGTTTTATTAACACAGCAAGTATAAAAGAATCTAATAATGTTTAGGACATATATTTACATACTCTGCAAATAAGGATTTTGAAGAAGAATAGAAATGGAATTATATTTCAGATCAGTGATATTTTAGAAACTGTATTGATATATCTAAGCACTTTGTCTTAGTCATTATGCCATCATATTTCAATTTTATTTTTCCCCAGGGAATATAAGCTCCATATCAATTCAAAATTCCAAGTGAGAAAACATTTTGTGTTTCAGTTAAGGGTGATATTAAGTGTTGGGGCCTTCAGGTCAACAAAGACATTTAGAACATAAGTAATGAAACGCTATACTGGTCTCTTTAGAGACTTCCATTGCTGCTGCTGCTACTAAGGCACTTCACTTGTGTCCGACTCTGTGCGACCCCATAGACGGCAGCCCACCAGGCCCCCCATCCCTGGGATTCTCCAGGCAAGATCACTGGAGTGGGTTGCCATTTCCTTCTCCAATGCATGAAAGTGAAAAGTGAAAGTGAAGTCGCTCAGTCATGTCCGACTCTTAGCGACCCCATGGACTGCAGCCTACCAGGCTTTCCCATCCCTGGGATTCTCCAGGCAAGAACACTGGAGTGGGTTGCCATTTCCTTCTCCAATGAAGGAAAGTGAAAAATGAAAGTGAAATCGCTCAGTTGTGTCTGACTCTTAGCGACCCCACGGACTGCAGCCTACCAGGCTCCTCCGTCCATGGGATTTTCCAGGCAAGAGTACTGGAGTGGGGTGCCATTGCCTTCTCCATTAGAGACTTCCATTGACTAGACTAATATTTACTTTTGCACTTACCCATAAGAGAAGAAATTTTCTAGAGGTAGATTACTATTGTTTGTTTATGTCCTATAGGCACAAGCATTGTTCCCTTTCAGAAGAAACGACTGACTCATATGTCTGGCTGGATGGCTCTGATTCCAAATGCAAAACACATTAACTGGTATTTTAAAGGTGTAGATCACATAACCAACATATCGTATACATCAACATTCTATGGATTTAAGGTAAATAAAGAGTTGCATAATCCATCTTCTGATCATTTATGTTGCATATTATTCTAACGCAGCCCACCCACACCAATTGTGAGACCCAGACTGTCCTTGCCTCACATATTGACACTTTTCATGACCCATCTTAAATCTCAGAAGCAAGCCAAAAAAATCCTTCTTCAAAAATCAGAAGTAAGCGATCTTTCTGCCACATTCCTGTAGTACTAAGCTTATTATATCCCTGATAATAGCTGACATTTATTGAGTACTTATGATGTTTTGGAATACAGTTAAGGGCTTTATTATTTGTATTGTGAAACATAGCAGATACAGAAAATTACAGAAAATAGCAGGCCCGAATCCCACATGCCCACTACCTAGCTGTCTGAATCAAACATTCTGTAACATTCTGTGACTCTTTACTTCAGATTTTTTAAAAGAAATAAATATTTTTGGATGAAGTGGGTGTCCTCTGCATGGCTTACTCTGATATCAACTCTCACTCTCTACCGTTAATGGTCACCAGTTTCCTGAATTGGGTATTTTCCTTCCCGTTCACATTCTTCTGTTTATGCTACACGGGCAACCAAAAACAAAAAAACAAAAAAAAGTGCCTAGCACTGTTTCAGGTGTTTTGAAATATTATATAAATTAAATATTCTCTGAATGTATGCATATGTATGTGTATGTATGTATATATAGAGAGAGAAAGAGAGAAGGAAAAAAACTTTCACTGCCTTTGTGATAAACTTAGCATTATTGCCATAGACAGATAAAATGTTAAACAAAATATAAATGCAAAATGAAAAACAAACTAAACCAAAATTTAACTTTTAATATAGGGGTTAAGTGATTCCTGTCATAAAAATGAGTGTATATTATGCAGAATATTAACATCTAAAATAAACTTTAATAGGAAGAAGACTATGTAATCATATCTCATAACTTCACTCAAAATCCTGATATGTTTAATATCATTGATATGAGGAATGGCTCTTCAAATCCATTGAATTGGAACACTAGCAAGAATGGAGACTGGCACCTTGAAGCAAACACTAGTACTCTGTATTACCTGGGTATGTATTTAGTAGGCAAAAGTGATTTATTTATTGTTGCATCTAAAGGAGGAGAATAGTGGCTCAATGGGCAAATGCATTATATAGTGCCTTGTATACAGCAGGATTTAATGAGTGTTTGTTGATTAAAGAATGGAGACTAAATTTATGCTGGAAAAGGCCTTGAATTGAATTAAGAACTTATGTTTTATGCTTGGAGGTAGCACCATCCTTCATAATTAACTCCAACATTTATTTTACAAAATTAGAGGAAATGAGTACAATGCACTGTCATATATTTTGTTTCCATTTTTATTATTTAACTATTTTTGAAAATAAAAATATTTAAGAATACAGTCTGAGTTCTCAAATATTTGTTTTTGTCAAGATACTTTGACTCTATTTCTTCTCAGATGTGCATTTTGTTGGAATTTCTTCATACCTGTTCCATACATTTGAATTATACTAAGTTACTATCTAAAGAGTATTTTCAAATTGCCATGATTTTGTTTACATTCAAATGCTTTGATCATCATGTTAGTTTAAACTGCTTTTATTTTCACTTCCAGTGTCAGGAAAAAATGACCTGCATCAGAGCCAGTCCATTTCTGGGACCCTGGATCCTGATGTGAAGGATGTTATTATTAATTTCCAAGCTTATTGCTGTGTTCTCCAGGATTGCTTTCCTGTGCATCCTCCATCAAGAAAACCAATTCCCAGGAAGCGACCAGCCACATATAAGTATACAGGCCTTCTGTTCATTAATACGCTTCAGTAGTTCCTGACAGCATCCTTTTCCTCTGTCATCCTGGCTGAGATACTGTGCCCTCCTCCTGCACAGAGGGTCCCAAAACACTTCCACACGCATTGCTTCACTTGAGCATTACAGCCACCGTGATGACAAGATGGAAAAATCTCACAAAAATTATGTGTGAAAGTTACTGGGAATCTCATACTTGCAGAATGTTAGATCAGAATTATTAGATCAACTCCCTTATTATTTGATGAGGTAGCTGAAGCCCAAAGACCTTAAATGAATTACCTGAGATCACAAAACTTCTCGACACGCTCAGAACGGCACCAGAAACTGTCTCCTCATTGATCCAGTGCTTTCTTGTGCTATGCCATGCTTGGTTGCCCAGTCATGTCTGACTCTTTTCAACCCCATGGATGGTAGCCCACCAGGCTACAGCTTCTCTGTTGATGGGGATTCTCCAGGCAAGAATACTGGAGTGGGTTGCCATGCCCTCCTCCAGCGGATCTTCCCAACCCAGGGATTGAACCCAGGTCTCCCACACTGCAGGCAGTTTCTTTACTGTCCGTGCCACCACGGAAGCCCAAGAAGACTGGAGGGGGCAGCCTGTCCCTTCTCCAGGGCATCTCCTGACCCAGGAATCAAACCAGGCTCTCCTGCATTGCAGGCAGATTCTTTCCCAGCTGAGCTACCAGGGAAGCAATGCTTTCTTAGCAGGTGGCATTTCTTTCTCTAGAATAAGTCTTTTTGTGTGTGTCTGTGTGTGTGTGTTTATTTTTTATTGAAGTATAGGTGATTTATAATGTTGTGCTAGTTTCTGGTGTACAGCAAAGTGATTCGGTTATACATATATATTTTTCATATTCTTTTCCATTACAGTTTATTACAAGATATTGTGTGTAATTCCCTTGCTATTCAGGAGGACTTTATTGTTTATTTTATACATAGTAGTGTATTTCTGCTAATCCAAAACTCCTGATTTATCCCTCTTATCCCCTTTTTCCTTTGGTAACCATAAGTTTGTTTTCTGTGTCTGTGAGTCTGTTTCCATTTTGTAAATAAAATTCATTTGTATCATTTTTTACATAGACTGTCTTGGTCAGATCTCATAATACAGCTTGTTTAATTTTATTTCAGATATTTGATTTCCTAAATATATGTTAACTCTCCTAGTTAAAAAATAATTTTTCTATCCTTGAAACTTGTAAAACCCTTTACCTATATTTCTCATATGAAACATCACTTTCTACCTCATATTATAGTAATTACCATATATGGTGGTCCTAGTACATGACAGTACTAGTCTTTAAGACCTTTAAAGGCATGATCCTGATTTGATGTATATTGCGTCCCCTACAGGCAAGTAATAACCATAAAAATAATGTTTGTAATGATAAAAATTAACAATCAGTAGGCATGTAAGAGCCCAGTACTGCACATCAAGTACAAATCAATATTATTTATTAAGTGAATTATAATTTCAAAATATATAGATACTGTGATAACTGTTGCATAAAAGAATAATAATTGGATTTGTTTACACATTCAACCATAAAAAAAATTTTTACTGAGTACCTGCCATGTTCCAGGCACTGTGTTGAGCACTGAGATTAGGTTGAGAACAGCAGAATGTGGCCCCTGCCCCCATAACATACACTTCGTGTACATACCAGAGGATCGGTTTCTTCCTCCCACAGTATGAGTTCTGCTCACTAGAAGCAGTTGCAGTTGGACTTGTTAGTTTGTATTTTGCGGATAGCTATCAGTGAGAGAAGGCTTCCCTGGTGGCTCAGCGGTAAAGAACCTTCCTGCAATGCAGGAGACCTGGGTTCGATCCCTGGGTCGGGAAGATTCCCTGGAGAAGGGCATGGCAACCCCCTCCAGCACTGTTGCCTGGAGAATCCCATGGACAGAGGAGCCTGGTGGGCTGCATCCCATAGAGTCACAAAGAGTTGGACATGACTGAGCGACTAACCAGCAGCAGCATCAGTGAGAACAAATAGACTCTTGATCCAAAATTGTGCCTCGGGAATAGAATATTCAGTTCTAGCTACATAACACACAAGTGCTTAGTCCAAGAGGTATTAGGCTTTACTTTCATAACAATGGGCAAGTAGACACATATATAGCATGTAGTATAGTGCTGCTGGGCATAAGGCTGAAAGGCTTGAGAAAAGCTAGATGAACTCAACTATTGAATCTGCACAATGCTGATCAAGTTATTCAGTTAGACAGATATAACCTTTAAACAACCTTCATTGAGATGGCTTCATGAAAAAATGTATTATTGTAAGTATGAATAATCCTAAATGATCCGCTAACTTCTGTTTTAAACCCATGAAGACAAAATTTTTATAACAGGATTTCTGAACAACAGATTTTTTAGTAATACACCCGAGTAATTAAAATGTGTCATAAAAATATACTTTTAACCAAACAAACTGTTTTGATTATTCTTTAGACTTCCTACATTAGTATCAGAAAATGTTTTAAATTTCTACCTAGGCAGGAGAACAACCTCTGTGATCATTTTTAAACAGGAAAATACACTCAACTGTGTAATAATATGGTTTGTAACAGTTTGTCCTGAGATAGTTTCTAGCAGGCATAGTGATGGTAAGTAAAGATGGTGTCTCCTCCAACACACTTTCCATATGCTGTGCTATGCATGCATGGTCAGTTGTGTCTGACTCTTTGCAACCCCATGGAACGTAGCCCACCAGGTTCCTGTGTCCATGGAATTTTTCAGGCAAGAATAATGAAGTGAGCTGCCATTTCCTTCTCCAGGGGATCTTCCGAATCCAGGGATTGAACCTGTGTCTCTTGCATCTCCTGCACTGGCATCTCCTGCACTGGAAAGCCGCACACTTTCCATATTTATTTCAATTTAACATAACACTTTTCACTCTGGTTATAGACTGCTATCTGTGCCTCCAGCCCAGGGGCTTACTCTCATTGACCCATCCTTAACAATTCAGAGACCATTCTTCCAGGCCTCCTTCACAGAATCTAGCCAACTATATGGCCTCTTGTCACTTTCCCCTGAAATAGCACCATATCTAAGAATCTTTAAATGGACAAAGGATGCATTTTTTTTACTTTTCCACCTTTGCACACACTGCTATATTTAAAGTAGGTAACTAACAAGGACGTTCTGTAACACAGATAACTCTGCTCCATATGATGTAACAACCTAAATGGGTAAAGAATTTGAAAAAGAATAGGTACATGTATATGTATAACTGGATCACTTTGCCGTACACCTGAAACCATCACAACATTGCTAATCAACTATGCTTCAATATAAAATTAAAAAGTTTTTAAAAAGAAACCTTCTAAAGAAATCCAATTGTTCATGTGATAGACAAAATTAGGGTATCACAATAAGGCTTTAGTAGGGGAAAAAGTGATTCAGATAGTTTTCTCCAATGGCGAAAAATCTCTTATGTAGTTATGTGTGTTGAGTCTTTTACTAATTGCATACGTTAGCTTGTCAGTGAAATTACAAACTATCTAATTTGCATTCTGTTATCCCCAAAACATCTAGTATAGTGCTACACCCTAAGGAGATGCTTATTAAATAAACAGAGATAATACTAAATGGAAATATTTCTTTTCTCTTTTCAGCTTATGGTCGAATAATTCTTTTTGGCAATCATCTCGAGAAAATAATTATACCATACCTTACCCAGGAGCAAATGTTGTTATTCCTGAAGGTAAATGCATAAGTGTAAATAAATAAAATGCTTGTGTTTATCACCTTTAGGATAGATGCCACAGTACTTAGCAGTTAGGGTAGATACTGTTACACAGCACACCCTGGAGAAAGAAAATGTGAAGAGGTGGATTTCATTCTTGTGTCCCGGATGCTATATTATATGGAAAAAAGACTCACTAACTTCAAAATTAGTGTTTTATCTATAGGCTATAGTCTATGGATTACGTTATATTCCTTACATTGAAGTCTTATTTTATAGGAACATGGATTGTGGCAGACACAGAGATTCCACCAATGGAAAGGCTTGTGATTTGGGGGGTTCTAGAATTGGAAGATAAACATAATGTAGGAGCTGCAGGGTCTTCTTACAGAAAAGTTGTTCTGAATGCTACCTACATATCACTGCAGGTAAGACTGAGGGTCTTGTAACTTTCACCCTTACTAGCCAAGTGCTAAAATGTTGGAGATTTACTGAACAGATTATAAGAAAGCATATTCAATTGATGTGAATTGAAACATAACTGACTCTACCCCAGGAAATGCAAGCCTAAGTTTAATACATTGAACTTATGTTTCTGCTCTCCTTTACATTTTAACAACACCTTCCTTACGTGGGAATTATCCTGCTACTTTGTAGTGTGAAGTCTCCTCATTTTGTCCTTTAAAATAATTTATATCATTGTTAGGTAAAACTAAACTCACAGCTTGCTGCAACTAATAGAGAACTCCCTGGAGTTCTGGGGGAAAAAGAGATTTTAAACCTTTAAAAAAAAAATGAACAGTATTTCTTAAGATGAATGGATGTAGAAGGGATTATGAAAACCAGGAGCAGACTAATAAAAATATTTCAGTTGTTTGAAATAATCACCTCGTTCTCTCATAAACCTCAGATGGTCTTGAATATGTAGTAGTTTAATCAATTTAATTGTTCTGTCAGTGTTTTATTGGTGTTCACTTAAAAGAACAGCTTAACCAAAAGCTATTAAGCACCACTAAAAAATAAGTGGGAGCCTTTCTTTCATAAAACTAGGCCTTTAAAGCTTTAAAGATATGTGATATTTTGGTTAGATGCAGAGCCTAGAGGGAAGTTACCGCTACAATTGAATCCTTACTTCATTGTTAAATTGTTGGGTAACAGGTTAAGTTATTTGACTTCTTTCCACATCAGTTTTATCATCTCTGAAATAAGGATAATAATTCCAATTCATGGGTTTAGTGTCAAGGTAAAATGATATAAAATATGTAAAGCCTTGCATGTTATACCTGGCATAGAATCAGAAACCATTTAGTAATAGCAATTTTTATTAACAGTGATGGCTCATGAATAGCATAGCTTGGCTTCCCCAGTGACTCAGCAGTAAGGAATCCACCTACAATGCAGGAGACAGGAGTTGGATCCCTGAGTCGGGAAAACCCCCTAGAGAAGGAAATGGCAACCCATTCCAGTCTTCTTGCCTGCAGAATTCCATGGACATAGAAGCCTAGTGGGGTACAGCCCATGGGGTCACAAAAGAGTCATAGCAACTGAACAAAAATGAAAAGAATATACTTTATATATGCTGCATTATTTTAAGATACAGTGTGATCTGTTCAAACGGCATTAGTTTAAGTGTCAGGAGGTCTCAGTTTTAGGTCCAGTTCTGACAAGTAGAGGTTGAATTTGACCTTGGACAAAATCATTTAAATTGCCTATCCCAAAGTGGAGGAGTTAAATTAAGATCGCTTCTAGTTACAATACTGTTTTTTGTAAAACCACAGTTCATTTATTTTCATTAGGGGAGTCTGCAAGCCTTCCTAATTCCTTTTTTATGGGGAAGATTTTCCTGCTCAGTTCCTAAGTATTAACAACTTTCTGCTTCACTGCAGGGAGGTAGATTAATCGGTGGCTGGGAAGACAACCCTTTCAAAGGGGAATTACAGATTGTTCTGAGAGGGAATCATTCTACTCCAGAGTGGACTCTTCCAGAAGGACCAAATCAAGGATCCAAGGTCTTAGGTATGTGCTCCCAGATACCAAAAGAATTGTGCTGTTTTGAGAATTTGCTTTAAAACATGGAGCACTAATAGACTTGCCCTTAGTTCATAATGTTACAGTATTAGAAGTTTTTACAAACACTGATTTGTAGTAATGGGTTATAAAAGTTGCCGACATTTTAAAAAATTAAATCGTGCCACATTAAATTCTAAACCAAAATGTAATTTATTACAAAACTAACATTGATCACTCCATATGTAGATTATTTCTCTGATGTGGTTTTCTTCATAATCTTTCTTTTGTAGAAACAATAATGTTTTTCATACTTTAGGACTTTCCCCCTAAAAGGTAACTTTCCTGCACATTATTCCTACCCAGTATTAGTAATCTGTGGATCAGTTGACTCTGCTGTCAGTTATCCAGTTGTAACTATTGCTGTGTTTTAACTTTCCAGTTGCATTTGTGTGGTTGTACAGATTCCCACTTGAGCCTAGAAAGCAATGGACCTGAGAGGGTTTAATTTGGTCCCAGTAAATAACTGCTTTTATTAATACCACTGCATCTTTTTTAAATTTATTTATTTTAATTGGAGGCTAATTACTTTACAATATTGTAGCAGTTTTTGCATTACATTGACATGAATCAGCCATGGGTGTACATGTGTCCCCATCCTGAACCCCCCTCCCACCTCCCTCCCCATCCCATCCCTCAGGCTCGTCCCAGTGCACCAGTCCTGAGCGCCCTGTCTCATGCATCCAACCTGGACTGGCGATCTGTTTCACATATGATAATATACATGGTTCAGTGCTATTCTCTCAAATCACCACTGCATCTTTACTTAAAAGATACATGCTATGTTGGCCATAAAGCTCATTTATTCAAATATTTTTCCCCCATACTATCTTATGAAAAAACCGAAAATGAACTTTTTAGCCAACTCAATAAATGTGCTTCACTTGCTCTAATGTACAATTTCTAAAACAGTGATAGTAAGTAAGGGGATTTTTTTAATGGCTTAAAATTGAGTTAGCTCTTCTGAGACAGACAAATTCAAATCTTAAAAGTTTCCTGGGACTTTCTTGGGGGTTCAGTTGGTTAAGACTTTGCTTCTTGGGCAAGGGCTGTAGGTTTGATCCCTAGTCGGGAAACTAAAATACCACACAGTGTGGGATAAAGAAAAGAAAAAAGAAAAAGAAAAATTTCCTGAGGCAGATAAATGTAACCTTAAAAAAAATTTTTGTGCTTTTATGTGCTTATTTTTTTATTTCAAAAATACTCTAACAACAGAGAACAATATCAAGAAAAGACATACATCTTACGAATTCTCCTCTCTGCATGAGGAAACTAACATTAGCAGTTTCTTCATGTTCTTTTCATGCTTTTTATCTAGGTCTATATTCATATTACATAAAATGACTTGAAGCCTTATACAAAAACATGGTCAAGCTAAATATATTATTGTGTGTTTTCTTGTTAACATATGAACATCTTTCCAGATCGATACTTACATATAAAACTCTTCCTTTTATTGCATATTACACCACAGTATTATAATATATTCTAATTTACTCCTTCATTATGCTATTGATGTACATTTAGATTAATTCTAGTTTTTCTAATATATCCAAATATTGTTGTATTAAGCATCCACATTCGTGTTTCCTTGTGTACTGGATTTAATTTCTAGGGACCAGATTCCTAGCAATGGGTCAGAGAGCCAAAGCCTTCTTCTATAGCCCTGAGCAGATAACCCTAATCCTTTGCATTAATTCTAAAATGTTCAATCACTTACTGAAATATATCTATTGTTTCACTTTATACTAGCACCTAACTCAGTTCTGTATGGTGAATAAATAGGAGTGGATTTTTCTCCTTCAGGGGTGTTTGGTGAACTGGACCTTCATGGAATTCCACATTCGATATATAAAACTAAGCTCTCAGAAACTGCAGCGGCAGGTTCCAAAGTCCTCTCTCTGATGGATGCTGTGGATTGGCAGGTAGAGGAATTGCTCTGTGGGGGGAAGTAAAAACATGCAGTGGGTCAACTTAAAAAGGTTTCGTCTTTATTTTCATGGACATTTATTTTCTCACATGATTATCCAGGCAAGAAATGTGTGTTTTACAATGAATGTTTTAGCTTTCACTCAAAAATCTGACTTTGACAGCAGGCATTTAAAAATTGTGGTGTCAGAGTGTCTTCAGAATATATAAAGAACATTATGTATAAATTACAAAAGGAAAATATGAAGGTTTGGGGGTAAAAAAAAATTGTTTACAAATTCTTGGCAAACAGAAAAAGGAATTTTTTTAAAATGCACTTTTGTGTTATCTCACTTGTCTGAGATTTGCTTCTGATTTGTGATTTTACACATTAAGTGTTTGGAAAGAAACCAGATCTTGATGTCTGCTGCTGCTGCTAAGCCTAGTGATATTCAAAACAGGCCTATGTTAAGTAAGAGATTTTGGTAGAATATGAATAGTGGCAATTCCAATCTCTACTAGATTCATAGGTTTGCATGGGATAATTGTGATAGTTAAGATGTGATTACTTTTTAAAGATGACTAAATGATTTAAATATCCCCATTATCCAATTAGCATTTATTATTACTTATCCAATTAATATTTTATGTATATTATTTATGCAGTTAATATTTAGCTGAGTGTCAAACATTTTCTAGGCACAGAGGTATCATTTGTGAAGAAACTGGTCAAAATAGAGAGGAAATTGCATTGAGGTGGGAGAGGCAGACACTAAATGAATAAATAAATGTGTTAATTTTAGATCATAATCTTCATAATGAAGGAAATAAATCAGGTGTGATAGAGACTGCCATGTAGAGGGTGGCAGATGACATTAAATTGAGTTGCCAAAGAAGGCCTGTCAAAGGTGTGACAGGATTCAGGACTTGCTACTCCAAAATATTGACTATTTTAAGCTGAAAAATTTCTGCGCGTGCAGGAGGACTTTCTGACCTTTCCCTGAAGCAGGTCATAAAACCTTCATGTGAAAGTTGCCCACCCTATACCCGGAAGAAAAGACCATCCTCAGCTCTAAAGACAAAGAGACACAGAGAGGAATCAGAATGGACAAGTGTTGCTGTTTATCCAAGTTTCCTACACTTAGCTCACACCCTATCACATTTTCCCTGTACTCCCCACTGTTCCATAAAAATGCTCAGGTTTGTGGTCCAGTAGTTAAGAATCTGCCTGCCAAAACAGGGGACATAGGTTCAATCCCTGGTATGGGAAGATTCCACATGCTGTGGGGCAACTAAGCCCGTGCACCCCAACTACTGAACCTGCATTCTGGAGCAACCCGGCTTGCGAGAACTGAGCCCAAGTTCTGTAACTTCCAAAGCCCGTGTGCCCTAGAGCCTGGTCCCTGCCGCAAAAGAAGCCACTGCAATGGGAAGCCTGTGCACCGCAACTGGAGAGTAGCCTCGCTTGCCACGACTAGAGAAGGCCTGCGTGCAGCCACAAAGCTCAGCGCATCAGTAAATTCAATAAAGAAATAAGTTTTTTTGTGTGCTCAGGCTTAACAATTCCTTCAAGTCTTCTGTCATATAAAACTTACACTGGATAAAATTTATACCCTTTTCTCCTGTTATTCAGTCTTTTGTTACAGAGGCCGCAGCTGAGAACTTGGAAGAGTAGAAGAAAAACATCTTTTTCCTCCTCTGCAAGTATAGTTGAGCAGAGGTTTGGATGACAAAGAGGAGCTTATCATATATGACAGAGATTCTAAGACTTGACCCTGTACTTGTCACTTTTATCTGTGTTTCTCACCTTTTCAGGAATAATAGTTAAGTGTGTAAAAAAAATCTGGGGGAAATTTTTTTAAGTCTTAAGGATATTATTCTGAGCAATTTTTAGTAAAAATACAAATATATTTGCTTTGATCTATCTAATTTTAAAAATGTATATTAAATGACTGAATTCAACTTGAGGAAATGTTGACATAATTCAGAATATAGAATTCTTGGTATCAAACTAAAGCATATTTATTTTAGAAACCTAAAGGTATGGTTTGTTTTCTATGATAATACTATGGTTGTAACCAATGTAAGTTAAATTAGAATTATTTAATAGTTATTAAGAGATATAAGCCTATTTTTTTAAATTGTCTTGAATTTGGAATTTTTCTAAGGAGGGTGAGGAGATTGTCATAACAACCACAAGCTATGATTTCCACCAGACGGAAACTAGAAGCATCGTTAAAGTCCTGCATGATCACAAAATTCTCATTCTCAATGATACCCTTTCCTACACCCACTTTGGTAAGTGGCTGTTCTTTAACCAGATAGCTATATCATTAAAATGTCTTGAAAAAGTCACATTTTAGTCCTCTCCTCTGTACTTGCAATTGTTTGATGAAATAGCTCACAATTATTTTATAGGTGCATTTCAGTAGGATTGGCAGTGGTACCCAGAGGGTGCTGCTCTTTAGGTGTTGGCTGCCAAGAGTTCCTGCTATATGTATTCGTTTATTCAGCAAATATTCGGCGGTGACCATTATATTCCATGGGATAAGCTTACACTTTCTGTTTTAAGCAAGCTTCTAGACATACTCATGCATGCTGAAATTTGAGAAGCCTTAGTCCAAGAGCATCTTTGCCCTGATTGGTTTCACTGACACATTCCTCAGTGGTAACTGCATTTAGACAAGCTACCGCAAAATGGTAAGCTCTGATTCTCAAGGAGAGAAGGAATTAATCAGAATCACTTGGAGGTGATCTTTCAGCTTGTAGAATCAGGGCCTTCCCAGCACCCCAGGCTTTTCCCATTTCACATGCTGTGCTGTGCTTAGTTGCTCAAATATGTCCAACTCTGCGGCCGCCAGACTGTAGCCTGTCAGGCTCCTCTGTCCGTGGGGATTCTCCAGGCAAGAATACTGGAGTGGGTTGCCATACCCTCCTCCAGGGAATCTTCCCAATCCAGGGATCAAGCCCAGGTATCCTGCATAGTTGGCAGATTCTTTACCGTCTTAGCCGCCAGGGAATCCTCATTTCACATGCTGCCTTCATCTGAATCGCAGGAGGTGGAAGCAGACAGGAGTGTAATGTTAGAAAGGCCATTCAGGTACTTCTGATGTTCCTGAGAACCTCAGCTGAGATGGCATGATACACTGGTGGATATGTGACCTGCATGAAAAAAGAAACTTTTTAAAGCAGTATTTTGATAGAAGCATGTGTTTATCATTCTATATCACGTATTTTTTCTTTAGATCAAAAGTAAAGGGTTTCTTTGAAGAATATTTTAATCTTAAGATAGTTTTTGAAGTTTGATAGTGTAGATTCTTTCATTTAAAGTACCAGATACTTCTCTCTGTTTGAAATGTACCTGCTTGTCTTAAAGTTTTGAGTGAGATCTCTTGAAACGTAGAATGTAATTTAGGTTATGTTTTTAAATCATGAAAATGTAAATGTACAGACTGTGTTTGATAAATAGGATATACTCCATATTTATAAAGAATTGTTTTGGTACAAAACATATCACAGGAAAAGCAGAGCTAACCAAGGTTTAAGCATCAGCAGAGGTAATATCTATGTGTTACTGATTCTCCACGTGGCCATAGGCAAGTTCTTTTACTTCTCTATCTCATTTCCTCATCTGTTAAAATTACAGTAAGCTCCCCAACTTGCCTTACAAGTGTATTTTTATGTTTAATTTGAAGTGATCACAAAATACCTCTGAAACAATAACTTCCTAATTGCTTTGGTATAAATAGAATAACTACTTTTGATTATTTTTTATAAATAAAAAGGTGTAATTTCTAGCTGCCGTCTGTGTACGTTTAAGCGTGTGTCTTGAGTCAATTCATGTACTTGTTCTGACTTTTGGCATATTAGAAAGTTATGTGGCCTGTAAGCTGCAAAGAAACTAGTAAAGACAGATATTTCTCAGTGTTGGTAATAATCTAACTGTCCTGCTGCAGCTGAAAGATACCGTGTTCCTGGAACTAGTCAGAGCTACACATTAGCTGCCGACGTTGGGATACTGAGCAGGAACATCAAAATACTTGGTGAGGATTATCCAGGTTGGTTGAAGGAATCTTTTGGTGCACACGTCCTAGTCAGTTCCTTCACTGAAAATATGGTGACTTTTAAAGGTTAGTACAGATTCAGTTTATTTTTCTAAATGAAATATAGGATGGTCTCTTCCATGTTTAATTCTTAAATAATCCTCACTCCTTTATAGGATCATTTGTGTTAAAAATATATATATATCCAACTGAGTAAATTTTAAAGATCTCATTAGCTTTATTCAAGGATACATGAATGGGGCAGCAGCCAATCTAAAAAACCCTAAGGAGCATCAGAGAGCTGTACAAAACAGAAGACTTTTATAAGCAGAAGGAAGCAGCAACAAAATAGTTATTCTAGGCAAAAAGAGGATTGGCAATTGCAAGGCTACTTTTCTTGTAGTGGGAGCAGAGGTTTATCAAGCAGATTACCTAATCAATGCTGATAAGGCAATTCCTGATGGGCTGGTTTAAGATTCCATTTCAGGAGAGCTGAAACTGTAATTAAGTCTGTTTGGTGGTGCAGGGCTTAGCAAAAGGGCCTGATGTATTGTTTTTAACACTGAAAAACAGAGCCTTGATAAAAAACTATTATATAGTGCAGGTACCACCCTTCAGAACCAAATTCCTAACATTATTCTTCTAATTTTATCTTCATAGACAAAATAATTATCAAATTAACAATGACCTTAGGTAACAGCTTACCCTCTGTCACATGCCTGGTACTAAGTTGCTTCAGACATGTCCAACTCTGTGATCCTATGGACTGGTAGCCCACCAGGTTCCTCTGTCCATGGAATTCTCCAGGCAAGGATCCTGGAGTAGGTTGCCATGCCCTCCTCCAGGGGATCTTCCCAGGCCAGGGATGGAACCTGCATCTCTTACATCTCCTGCATTGGCAGGCAGGTTCTTTCCCACTAGTGCCACCTGGGAAGCCCGCCTACCATCACACTCAAAGACAAATCAATTCATAACAAGCACAACCAATCTGTTATTCTTGTGTGAAGGAGAATTTCTAACATATATTAAAAATAGAGAAATGTATAATGCTTATCATCACCAATTATCACAAGTATCAGCTTTGGCCAATCTTGTTCTACCTATGTGTTCACCCACTTTCTTCAAGCCCCAGATTGTTTTGAAGCAGCAGGCATATATTTTTTAAGATATAATGGACACATAATATTGTGTAAGTTTCAGGTGTATAGTATGTTGATTTGATACTTTTATATATTGCCATTTGATTACCACAGTAGTGTTAACTAACATCTCTGTCGTGTCATATAATTATTATTTCTTTGGTTATGGTGAGCACAATTAAGACCTAGTCTCTTAGCAACTTTGAAGTTTATAATATGGTATTTTTACTGTTTCCCTATGCTGTACATTGGATTTCCAGGACTTATTTATCTACTAGTTGCAAGTTTATACCCTTAAATAGCTCCCTATTTCTACCACCCCACAGATCCTGATAACCACCTTTCTATTCTGTTTTTATGGGTTCAGCTTTCTTGTATATGTTAATTGCTCAGTCGTATCCGACTCTTCACGATGCCAAGGACTATAGCCTGCCAGACTCCTCTGTCCATGGAATTCTCCATGCAAGAATACTGGAGCGGATTGCCATTTCCTTCTCCAGGGGCTCTTCCTGACCCAGGGATTGAACCCGAGTCCGTTTCATTTATATGCGGAAGCTTTTTAAGATTCTGCATATAAATGAGATCATACAGAGTTTATCTTTCTCTGACTTATCTCACTTAATGTAATTCCCTCCAGGTCCATCCATGTTGTCCCAAATGACAGAATTTCCTTCTTTCTTACTCATGGCTGAGTGATGTGATATACATATATATACAGTGGAATGTTTTAGATAGAGGGGAGGGTGTCTCACATCTTTATCCTTTCATCCATCGATAGACAGTTGGGTTGCTTCTGTATCTTGGCTATTATGAATGAAGCAACCACATATGCATCTAGAGATATTTCAGTGTGTGAATCTAAGAGACATCTTTAAAAACGTCTGTAAGAATCAGATTTTAAAATCTTAGCTATAATTTCTAAACATCAAACGACTGTCCAGAATTCTCCAGTTCATTCCTTCTTCCCCTTCCTTCTTTATCCCCTCCCTCCCTCTCCCTCTTCTTTCCTCCTCCCCTTTCCCATTTTCCTCTTTTCTTTTTTTTTTCCCTTCCTTTCTTTATTTCCTTCTTTCTCTTTGACTCTTTGTTCAAGTTGGACTCTAAATAGATCCATATCGCAACTGGTTATGAATCTTAAATCTCTGATTCAATTTTCTTCCCTTGTAATTTACTAATAAAAGAAGCTAGGTCTTCTGTCATATAGTGTCTGCAATAGCCCCAATTATTGATGCACCCCTAGAATTTAACATGCCCCTGTCTCCTTCGTATTCTCTATGAATAAGTAGCAAATTGAGAATTAGTAAAATGACCAGACCCAAACTCAATTTTTAGGCAAGAATTCCTCACAACTGGTAGTTGTATTTCCATTAATAGGCACATAATATCCAATTGTTCTTCCTTTTGTGAAGTTAGCAATTATTAATAATCATTGCCTGGATCTATTAAATCACTGAGGTTTAAAAAGGTAACACTACCATTCCCTCCTCTTTTATAATCGTGAATGTTTCTATAAAGAGAAGCTTCCCCAGACAACTGTTTGACCACCTTGAAGGATAGTTTATATAGAAAAAATGTTGAATTCTTTCCTTTTATTTATTGGTTTTCAAAATAATGAATTGGTTCCCAATCATCCTCTGAAGGTGACAAGGAGTTTTAGTTTTGTTTTCTTAGTATCATTATGAGCTTCCTTATGTTCTTCACCATATATCCAAATGCCAGCTCATGGATTTCCAGACAGAAATCAATTTCCCTTCTAGTGTAAAATAACTCTTCTCCAATGCATTTCATTAGATATCAGTTTTTGAAACAAGGATTATTCTCTAGTGTTTTTTTTTCAGACATGAATCATTGTGCCCCAGTTAACCTGTATAAAAGACAGGAATAATCAGAGTTCCTGACTCATAGATGTACGAGAATTAAACATTGCCTGCTAAGCACTTAGTACAGAACTTGACATAGAGTCAGCTCTCACAGATTGTTATGGCTGTTCCTAATAATCTATGAAATTGCTTTTTGTCACTTCAGTGGCACTTATGACAAATTCGATCTGCAGATACTTCACAGTGCATATTCTGGAAAAAATTATGTAAAGATAATGTCTTTAAAAAGCTCTTTGGAGCATCAAAATTGAAATGTCAGGTAAATTATAACTTGTATCTCATGTCATGCATTCTTAACAGGGACAGTATAACACCGACAGGTGCAAACTGCCTCTTGGGGGCAAAAAAAGCTTAAACAGTTTATGGTCCTCCAAAGGGCCACTATACAGTGGCAGGTATGTAGTTGTTGTTCAGTTGCTAGGTCATGTCTGACTCTTTGCAACACCAATGTGTAGCACATCTGTGATATTAAAATTTCATGGAGAATGGATGCTATTTAGAAAAAAATGTCTAAAGAGGTTTTTGGAAGGGCAGTGAAAAAACAACTTTAGAAACATTACCTTATTTGGATTAAAAGAACAAAAAATGGATGTAATTTCCTTGAAAAAGTTGAAAACAAATTTGTAATTTGGAAAATTACTAGAACTTCCATAGTTTTTCAAAAATTTTTATTCAGTTTCGAAGAAAAAAAATGTGTAACTCTTCCCCACCAGGAAATGCAAGAATAAGTAATGTGGAATTTTATCACAGTGGTCAAGAAGGCTTCAGAGATAGCACAGACCCAAGATATGCTGTAACATTTCTTAACCTCGGACAGGTTTGTACTTTATTTTAAATTTTTGCATATACTCAAAATTAAATATTTTAATTTATTTTCATTTAAATTTACTTAGTAGCCATATCTTAGAATTTCTAAAACTAAATTTAATATAATAAAAATTTCTTAGCTATATTTCCCATTAACATTTTTAGACTTACAGCAGGAGTCTAACCATGTCCTCCTGGTTATGTCATGCATGTCATGTTGGAACCATTTGACTCCAACCATGTCATCCATTTATTTAAGGCCAGTAAGGGAAAAAAAAGGAAATGGAGCACAGGAGGTAGGAAAATTGAAGATCTATGATAGTATTTCCCATCTCTGCTTTGCTTTACAATGACCAAAAATATGTCCAAATAGTTACTGTTAAACAAAGTGAGTACTGCTTAAGTTTTTCAAGTGAAAAGCATGTCTGAATATCCATGCCTCTGTCAAAAGGCATATTTATCTGGGGAGATATATTTCCCAGATAAATACGCCTAGAGGGCTGGTGACTTAAGAAAAAACAAGAAAGAATATATTTCTTATTTGAAAAAGAATTGATACATGTATGTATAACTGAATCACTTTGCTGTACATCTGAAACTCACACAACATTGTAACCAACTACTCTCTAATATAAAATAAAAGTCTTTAAATAAAATATGTACATATATTATTGGGGAGGAGATAAATTGGGAGTCTGGGATTAACATATACACACTAGTATAAGTAAAATAGATAAACAACAGGGACCTGCAGTATAGCAAAGGAAACTATGGTCAATATTCTTGTAATAATTCCTATAATGGAAACACCTATGAAAAAGAATAGATATATGTGTGTAACTGAATTACTCTGCTTACACTTTAAACTAACACAACATGGTAAATCAACTATATGTCAATAAAAATAAATAAATAAAATTAAAAAAAAAATCATGTAGGTTTGAAGTTGAAACCCCTAAACTATTCATTGACTGTTTTCCTACAGATATTTAAATTTGAATCCCTTGCCTAGCGTATCAACTTTCGTGGTTAAAAAAAAAATCCCTGGTCATCATATAATAAATTATTCTGAAAAATAATTTTTAATTTCTTTGCATTTTATAAGTAGTGATAAAATCTAAATTCATAGAAGAAGCACTGGAGAATTTTTAATTCACTTTTAAAGTAAGCAAATTTTTTTTTGCTTTATTTAATCATAAATTGAAGAATGTAGCAATTACCTAGGATTAAAAGATCTCCTGGGAAATCATATTCTTTCATGGAATATAAGCTGAGTGTTTTATTTATCAAGATTTGTTTCCTGAAAATCACCTACTTTGATTTTTTTCTTTAAATATACTTTAATTTTATTTTTTAAATGTTTACTGAATCTCAATGTTTTATAGATTCAAGAACGTGGCTCATCTTATGTTCGAGGCTGTGCTTTTCACAATGCCTTTTCCCCTGCAATTGGTGTATTTGGGACAGATGGATTGGACATAGATGATAATGTCATTCACTTTACAGTGGGGGAAGGTAATATGATAATATTTTGGTCGAATAATCTGTCTTTCTGAGATAGCCTTGTATGCAAGCTTTGGAGCCATGGTGTCCAAATGGCCTTTCTAAAAAAATGGAAATGGCCTAAGTTTGTGCTAACATGGGAATTGCTACACTGCATGTGGCCATTGAACACTTGAAATGTGGCTAATGTGACTGATAAGCTGTATTTTTAAGTTTAATTATACTTAATTTAATTGTACTTACTTTACATATAAGTAGTCATATGTAGCTATGGATAGTACAGCTCTAGAAATATTTACCAGATGGTGATCTTATGTGAGTTATCTAATCACCAATATTTTAAATTACTATGACTTTTAACATACTTCTCACATATCAATCAAAAAGATTATTCACAAATAAATGCTACTATTTTATAAAAAGTAAGTTTGATTGTAGGGAATTAACCTTTCTTGAATATCAGTCTAAAGCATAATACAAACGCAATGAAGGTGTATACAGTATGTGTGTGTGTTTGTTAAAATCTAGGGCAGAGCCTGTGAACACGCATATTTAACAAACACCCCAGAAAATTCTATTTCAGGAAATCTGTTAAAGAGGTAGAGTATCAAAGAGTTTAGAGGATTTGCTCTAAAACTGAAGAAGTTCGTTTGTCAGGCTCAAACTAGAACTTATTTCATGGAAGAAACGAACAACATTCTCCATAATACTCATTACAAATTTATATGTATTGGGGGATTTTATTTTTTTCCAGGCATAAGAATATGGGGGGATGCCAACAGAGTCCGAGGAAACTTGGTTACTCTTTCAGTTTGGCCAGGAACCTATCAGAACAGAAAAGATCTGAGTTCCACTCTCTGGCATGCCGCAATTGAGGTAGTATGAACAAATTTAAAGATTGTAAATTACCATGTGTAAAAGAGAGAGAGAGAGGGAACCTGTGGTATAACACGGAAATCAGCTAAGTGCTCTGTAATGATCTAGAAGGGTGAGATGGGAGAGTTGGGGGGGGGGGTTCCAAGTAGGGAGGATATTTGTATACATATAGCTGATTTGTTTTGTTGTACAGCAGAAACCAACACAACATGATAAAGCAATTATACTCCAATTTTTTAAGAATGTGAGCTCCAGTAGCCATTGGATTTTTCTGTGTTGGCGTCCTTTAGTTTAAGTAGTTTTCCCTTATTTCCTTGCTTCTCCAACATTAATGACTGCTTTCAAGCTCCATACAGGGTTTCTCTACTGCTAATTGTTTGAATGCCTTACACATATTACAGTGTTTAACCCTGAATTTAGTTTCCTTCCTTATATGAAAAATTAGAATGATAGACTTATATAAAAGGCCTAAAATTCATTTTTCATCTAAAATTCTTCTATATGCAAGGTTATTTACTCTTATCAGATATTACTAATTGGACCCTATTTCCCTTGAAGTTTCTTCAGTTACTTTAGCTATTTGTTTAGATGTAGAGTGAGATTGTGAACAAGAAAATAGACAGTACAGAAGGAAGATTTGGAGGAAAGACAGCTTCCTTTTATTTTTATTTTGCTTACTTAAGCCATAGGAAGGGAAAGGTATTAAAAATAGCTCACTTTAAAAGATGGGATAGGGATTGAATTTTGTTTTTGTGCAACTGTTAATAATCACCTTAAAGCAAAATCCAGAAGTCTGGGCCTTAGTATACATTTATGAGGTAATAATGTTCTCTTTTCATCTGTTTATAGATGTTAGAATGTAACCAAATGTCAATTAAAGTTAGTTATATTTTTTGAAAGACACTTATTTTACTTTTATGAATTGTATTTGACTATTTTTATCATCTTTAAAGATAAGGGTGTTTAATATGCTTTCAGTTAGATTTTGTCTGTTTTGCTGATACTGTTAGACAAGAAATAAACCTTCTATGCTTTGTACTTTTCATTTCTACCACTCTGATTTGGCTCATAAAATAAAATTGTTTAGTAATTATCTAATGCTTGTTCTAACCCTGTTTTTATTATAGCCGATTTTCTTTAAACTAATGAAGGCCTCTACTGAATTTAATGACCCACTGATGGCCTTAGTTGCCTTTTTCTTAACTAATCAAATTGGTGACAGAATATAGCCAAAAAGAGTGACAAAATTTTTGTAATCTTGCTATAATACTGGAATTTTGTGTATGGCTTGTTAATATTGAACCACATCCGGTGGATTTTGTGACTGAAATGTACTTTAATGTACTTTTCTAATGAAGACTGAGGTATAGTATCTAGTGGTGGGTTTACACCAAGAACCTAAGGTAATTTCAGTACTTCATTTGTACTATAAATTTGAATGTGGGTGAATAATGAATTAGATTTTTACTTCAGAAAGCATTGTGGTAATTAGTTTACCGGTGTATGTTGCATACCTACTCTCATTGTGTAATTGTGTAAAAGCCTGACCTAAAGCATTTTCTTTATCATTGTACTAGATAAATAGAGGGACCAATACAGTCTTACAAAATAATGTAGTGGCTGGATTTGGAAGGGCTGGATACCGCATCGATGGTGAACTTTGCTCAAGTAAGTCTTTGGGTCATTATAATTAGGAAATATCTTGTCCAAATTTGTTAGAAATAAATAATTATTGTTCATCAGTTGAATGTGTAATATAAATAATTATTGTCTGTCAGTTGAATATGTAATATTTTCTCTTCCTAGGCACTGAAAGAATTCAACAAACAAAATTTTTTCTATAAAATATTGGGTTTAAAGAAAAAATTAAAACCAATTTTCTTCTCCTCCTTCACCTACATTACTCTTCACACAGTGATATAACCCTTCCAAAGGGGAATCTGACAAGAGCTACCAAAATTATAGAGGCATTTACCTTTGACTCAACGTTTCTACTTCCTATAATCTAACAGTTGCTTCTACAACAGTGAGAAAAAGATTTGTGAACAAGGTTATTCATCACAGTGTTGTCCGTACTGGTGAAAAACTGAAAACTACCCTGTGTCCAGTTGTTGTGAGCTAGTTATAGAAAGCCAAACGTTGGGACACTAGGCCCCTCTAAAAAAGAAGGAAAAAGATGCGTATCTATGTATTAGCATGGAGAAATCACCAGGGTATTCTAAAGTGATAAGAGGAGGTTGCAGAACAGTGTATGTAAAACTGCTTTGTGTATAGTATGTTTTGTGGAAGAAAGGGAAGAAACGACTATATGTGGTCTGTGCGGGCTTCTCAGGTGCCTGAGATGGTTGAGACTGCCGACAGTGTGGGAGACTTGGCTTTAGTCCGTGGGTTGAGAAGATTCCCTGGAGAAGGGTATGGCAACCCACTCCAGTATTCTTGCCTGGAGAATTCCATGGACAGAGGAGCCTGGCGGGCTACAGTCCATGGGGTCACCAAGAGTCGGATATGACTGAGCAACTGACTAACACACACACACACACACACACACACACACACACAGAGTTAATGAATTTACATAAAGAAACACTGAAAGTGTTAAAGCAAAAAGTCATTGAAGGTAAGTAGGAACAGGGTGCCTGGTCACTTACTACTGTATAAATTTTTGTAACTTCTTGACTTCTAAACCAGGTAAATTAATTATTGAATCAAAAAAAAATAGAATAAGAGAACTGCAGGCCTTACCTCTTGAGAAACTTAGCTAAAGGAAATGGAATTTTCTCTGAAAAATGTATAGTCCTTCTACAGCTGATATTTTTTACATCTCTGAAATTCTTTGAGTAAACATTTTTTCTATAAGTTCAAAAAATATTGGACTTTAGCTAATTCTGTTTTTGTGCAAAATACATTTTGAAGGAATAAAACAACTATGGCACAGGTTTAACTGATTCCTTGATGTATGCTCCTTTTAAATATTGTAGTTCCCAACAGCTTAAAAGTGGCTTTTCTTTGACTTAAAATTTTAAAATATGTAATTTTGTAAAATTTCTTTGAAGTGTTGTTGTGGGTTTGTTTAAATCAAAATATGACCTGTGAATTTGAGTATTTACTAATAATGTACAATGCCATGTAATACATTTTTACTGACTATGTTGATCTTCCAAAATAATTGGAAGTGTTTATAAGGAGGTTTTAGATTTAAAGCTATTGAAAAATGAGACATCACAAAAAAATTGAAGATTTAAGTTCCTGGGATGCAACATCAATTTATGCAATTCATGTCCCAGACAAGTGAGGGGCTGGGATGCTAGAAAGGGAACTCTGACACAAGTGGGTCCAGAGGTGAAGCCATGCTTGTCCATGGGGCTACTCTGTGCAGAAACAAGGTGTAGACATGAAAACAGCTTCTTAGGGAGAAAACAAAACAGAAATCAGGCAAACTGACCATAGGTGAAATGTCAGTCTCAAAGGAAGAAGGGAAAAGCAGTAGAAGATGGAGGAAGTGAGATCTTGGGGAACTTGGACAAGAGAGCTGGTACAATTTAGGAGATGGTGCTCCTCTTTATAAGGAATCCTTAAATTTATGCACGGTTGGGGGGGTTGTTTAAGGTTACTGCTCTGGTTTGTCCATAAGTAAAACTTTCATGAAAATCCACTTTAATTATCCTGTATATTAATAATGGATATAGCTTCCATTTATTGAAGCACTTCATTTGATTATTTCATTTTGAAACAATCCTGAATTAGGCATTAAAATTTTTTATATATGAGGAAACTGAAATTATAAAATTTTAAACATCTTTCCCAAGATCATGCATGCATTAATTCAAGAAATACTTGATGAGCACCTACCTCTTCATTACTTTCTAGGCTTTAGGAATATGGCAGTGAAGGAGCTAGACACAATTCCTTCTCTCATGAAGCTTATTTCTAGTAGAAGAGAGGAGATGAATAATTCACAAATAAGTGGTAATTAAACATCAAAGTGAAAAAAATGTAATGCCATGTTAAGTGACTGAGGTGCTACCTCATTTTTTTTTTTTAATATTTGCTTATTTATTTGACTGTGCCAGGTCTTAGTTGCAGCACATGGGATCTTTTAGTTGCAGCGTGCAGAATCTAGTTCCCCAACTGGGGCTTGAACCTCCTCCCTCTGCATTTGGAGCATGGAGTCTTAGCCCCTGGACCACTAGGAAAGTCCCCCTGAAGTGCTGCTTTGAATCAGGTTGTCAGAGAAAGCTTTTTAAGGAAGTGACCCTTAACTTGACAAAGGGATAATCAGAAGAAACCAGCAAAATTGATAGGCAACAAGTGGTATCATTGTATTTTTCAGTTTAGCCTTGTTTGAATCCAAACTTCATAATCTTTCCAAAGATTATGAAGAAACTTATCTTTAATCAGATATAATAAGTTAAGGGTACTAGCTCTAAGTCAAACTTTTGCAAATGAGTATATAATTATTCTGAGTAATAGTGAAGAGACAAACTAGATAAGAAAAAATGCTAAATAAAGTAAACCATAAATGGCCGAGCCATGCAAATATTTGATTATCTTGTTAAAACTTGCATCAGAATTATATATTTAATTTTTAAAAGAATTTCAACTTTAACCAATACTGCTTATAACTGACATTTGATTCATAATGTTAATTCTTTGCTTCTTTATTTCCTTCAAAGGTCAGTCTAATTCTCTGGAAAAGTGGTTTGACAATGAAGCCCATGGAGGTTTATTTGGTATCTATATGAACCAAGATGGCCTTCCTGGATGTTCACTTATACAGGGATTTACCATTTGGTCATGCTGGGATTACGGAATTTATTTTCAGGTAAATGGATCCCAAAAAAGTGATTGTTTATTTTCTTTAATGATTGTATTCTGTACTGTGTAACCTACAAATTCTATTACAGACCCCGGAGAGTGTGCATATCTACAACGTGACCCTCATTGACAATGGAATGGCCATTTTTTCAATGATTTACATGCCATCTGCTGTATCTCACAAGATTTCCAGCAAAAGGGTGCAAATTAAGGTAAGAATTGAATGCAGCCACACAAAGCAGAAAGAACAACTCTGAAAAGGGTAAAATTACTGAATACAAATGATTTTCTCCACTTCTTCGCCCTTCTAGTCATACCTCCTGCTTTTGTGCTCATCGTCTTCTGCCAGGAATCTCTCCATCCTTCCCTCTCCCCACTCCTTCCCTCATCTCTTCTTGCTTATCACCTATTAATCTTGCCACAGTTAGTTTAATTTTCACCCATACTATGAAGTCTCCTGAACCCGCTTAGGTAGTTCTGACACTTTGTCCTCTTTTTGTTGCTACTGTTCCCTGCACAAATTCCAATCATAGAAACACCACATGCCATTATATATAATTATTTATATGCCTGTCTCCCCACTCCTGCTTTGAGTGTCGTCCACTCAGGGTAGAAATCCCATCTTTTGCATCTTGGTTTACTGAATGATCCACTTCTCAAAGTTATATAGCTTGTGCTCTGCTACAGTGGAATTCAGTACTATTCGTTGTCATGTTTTCTTTTAAGAAAAGTTGTTATTAAAGCTTACCTTTTGATCTTTTTAAAATAGAACTCCCTAATTGTTGGAAGTAGCCCTGAATTTAATTGCTCTGATGTCCTAACTAATGATGATCCCAATATTGAGCTTTCTGCTGCCCATCGAAGTTCTAGACCTCCATCAGGTAAAGATTTTAGAACTTTTGATTTTGGGATTCATAAGAGTGCATATTCAAATTTCATTGACTGACTTCTTTTTATAAAAGGTGGGAGAAGTGGGATTTGCTGGCCTACCTTTTCTTCAGCACACAACATGGCGCCTCGGAAACCCCATGCAGGGATCATGAGTTATAACTCCATCAGTGGTCTTTTGGACATCTCAGGCAAGTTTAAACATAGTCTTTGAAAATCTACTCAATTAAGTTATGTAAAGACTATGTAGAATATAACTAGTAATTTCATTGTTAAAAAAATAATGATTAAAGTAATCTGCTCAATATAAGCAAAGAAACTAGACATCAGAGTCAATTTCAAGAATGGTTCCCTGGAGAGTTCCCTGGCAGTTCAGTGGTTAGGACTCTGCACGTGATGTGGCCAGAAGAACTAAAAAATGGTTCCCTGGTCAAATTTGTATATGTATTAAAGAATTGACATTACATTTTCCTTCTCAAACAACAGAAAAGGCACTGGTATAATGATTTACTATTACTTCGTTTCTCTAAATTGGAATGCCCTTTTGTATCATTTGGGTTATATTTTATTAGAACATTTTACAGCTGAAAAATTTTAGTTCATAGAACTTAAATGTTTTCCCAAACTTCCACTGCTTTTGGCAGAGCTAGGATTAGAATCAAGATCTCTTGACTTAAAAATGGCTGCATCCTTAAAAATATAAAATAGTTATATTCAAATTCATATAGAGAATATACCAAGTATTTTCATTTTTCCCATTAAATACACTGAACCATTCTCTACTTCAGTTTAGCAAGTCTCCCTTTCGTGAAAACTTTAACCAGTGTCCCCTCAAAGAAACCAGGTCAATAACTTAGACACCTAAGTTTCGACATACTGTTCCTCATAATTTTAATTCCTAGAAATGCAGAACAAATTATCATCATTTGTCCATGGTCAGGACCAGAGTGAGGCTATAGTGAGGGTAAGTGTCAGGCCAAAGTGAGGATTAGGGTCAGACCCTAGTGAGCTTGAGAGTCAGCCATAATGAGCATGAGAGTCTTGCAACAAGGTGGACGAGAGTCAGGGCATAGTGAGGACCAAAATCAGGTCCCAGTGAGGAATCATTCAGGCTTTAGTGAGAAAAGGAGTCATGCCCCAGTAAGCCAAAGAATCAGGCTTCAGTGAGGAAAACTTTCAGGCTGTAGTGAGGCATAGAATGAGGCATTTGCTAGGCAAAGAATCAGGCCATAGAAAGGACTGGTGTCAGGCTCTGGAGGATGAGTTCCAGGCCCTAGTGAGGACAAGAGACAAGCTGATGTGAGGACCAAGGTCGGACCATTGTGAGAACCAGACTCAGGGCCCATCGAGGAGCACAGTCAGTGCAGACTGAGGACAGAGTTGGGGAAATGATGACAATTTGTTTCACATTTTTAGGAATTGAAATTATGAGAAATAGTATGTCAAAACTTAGATGTCTAAGTTATTGACCTGGTGTCTTTGTTGATGGGCTTCCCTGGTGGCTCAGCTGGTAAAGAATTCGCCTGCAATGTGGGAGACCTGGGTTCGATCCCTGGGTTGGGAAGATCCCCTGGAGAAGGGAAAGGCAACCCACTCCAGTATTCTGGCCTGGAGAATTCCATGGACTGTGTAGTCCTTGGGGTTGCAAAGAGTCAGACATGACTGAGCGACTTTCACTATAATGTGGATGACTCGCAAAAAATTGCTTAACATGCCACATAGGTTTAAGACCAATAAAGGATATCTGCATAGTGTATGAACAGCATCTACTGCTGCAATATTTTGTAAATATTATTCTACAGGTTTATACTCATGCATATGCAATATTTTCTTACAAGAAAATGTAATCAGGCAGGGTAGTAGATAGCACATAGCTAATTAGAGAATTTTTTTGAGCCACTTTTTACTGTTTTAGGTTTTGAGTAATGAAATTTTAAGTGCAAAAGAGCAATCAGTTTTATCTTTGGAGCATATAATATTTGCAGTAAAACCAAGGGAGCAATAGTGTTTCAGGTATCCTTTGCTGCATAACAAACCATCCTCCAAATTCAGAGCATTTAAACAACCATTTATTAGGTCATGATTCTGTGGCTTGGCAGTCTAGGCTTTGTTCAGCTGAGTAGTTCTGCTAATCTTACCTAGGACTGTTCACTGAGCTGCTATCATTTTACAAGATGTCTTAAGGACTGCTTAGTCTAGGATAGTTTCACTTGCATGTCTGGTGATTGGTGCTGGCTCTTGATGGGATAATGGGAATGATTGAACCAAACATCTCCTAGGCTTATTCACATGCTGATAATCACAGAATTCCCCCAAAGTACCGAGAGAGTGAGCCCTCATATGCAAGCTCTTTTCAGATCTTATGTTTATATTGCTCTTGTCCCATTGTCTAAAGCAAATCACAGAGAAAATATGCCAAGCTCAGAGAAAATACAAGAGAAGACTACTCAATGGTGTGGATTTAGTCCACAAATAGTGGTGGCCTTACCTGTCACATGGACTTCCCTGGTAGCTCAGAGAGTAAAAAGTACGCCTGCAGTGCAGGAGACTCGGGTTTGATCCCTGGGTCAGGAAGATCTCCTGGAGAAGAGAATGGCAACCCGCTCCAGTATTCTTGCCTGGAGAACCCTGGAGGAGCCATGGGGTTGCAGAGAGTCAGACATGACTGAGTGACTAACACTTATCTGACATGTAAGAGCTCTGTGTTCAAGGTAGTGTTAAATGATACGTTTGGTGCAATAGATTTGAAACAAAACTGATTCAATACTTTCTCTATAGCAGATAATCATTTTCCTATTATTTTTATTTTAGGTACAACATTCGTTGGATTTAAAAATGTTTGTTCAGGTGAAACTAATGTAATATTCATTACTAACCCTTTAAATGAGGATTTACAGCATCCAATCCACGTGAAGAACATACAGCTGGTTGACACTACTGAACAATCAAAAATATTTATCCATAGGCCTGATTTAAGGTAAAATATGTGAAAATTAAGCTTCTTCTTCCCTGTCATCACAGTTTTCCATTGTTTTATTTCCCTGCCATAGATCTAAGAAAGTTGCTATATTTAAAGTAAATGTTCATGTCTATGAAATTTTAATTGGCATTATGAAAATGTCTAATATATCTATGCCTTCAGGTAAGTTGAAGAATCTAGGCCTTATTATGTATATTTTCTCAAGCTTTTCTGCTTGTGTATCATAAATAGCACCATCTTTAAACACGAAAGATAACAGACCAAGTCCGAAGTGTATTTGTACATTAAGATCTCTCCATTAAGTCATTAGAAATGAAAGTCATGTCTATCATTTCTTCTCTTTTCCTTACCTCTTTTGTTTCCTTTTGCTTTCCAAATATCTTATTATATGCACCGCAGTGTATATTTGGAAATTAAATGGGAGTCATTATAATCATTGTGATTGAGAGTATGCAGAAAATTTTCTGAGAATATGCAGAATGATGATTTTTTTGAATCACGAAGGTCAGCTGGTGTCAGAATATTTCTAGAAGTTGAACCACTTAGATCCTAAGTCTTGAAAGAATATAGCCAATAACTGCTATTCTTCATAAGATGGACAGACCAGGAATTTAGATATAAGAAGCTACTAGAGAAAGAAAATTTCTATTAGAGCTCTTTGACCATTTTCAGTACAGAGAGAAGACAAGAAATAATGCTAATTAGATAGACATCTTTTCAGAGAAATGCAGTATTTCATAATTAGTTTGATTTCATCTGATCTTATTTTGATGAAAACCCTGTATCTCCTCAATAATTGTTAAACCGAAGTGTTTTTTGGCTCGCTGGAGGCTCTTTCCTCCTAATAGCTAATAGGAGCTATTTATTAGCTAATTATTAGTTAATTATTAGCTCCTATTAGCTAATTATTAGCTCCTATAAGCTCCTATTAGCCCCTATTTAGTTAGTTATTAGCTCCTATTAGCTATTTATTAGCTAATTATTAGCTCCTATTAGCTCCTATTTAGTTATCATTGAATCTTTCAGATTTCGTATATAACTTTAATATCTAGGTCATGGAGAAAAAATTATGTTTTAAAATATGTCTTTGAATTCTGTGCTTTTATTGGGATACTGTTCGCACAATCCCAGATCCCTTTTACTAGGTAGTTCATCCAGTCTTCAAATGCTCTAAATGTTGGCCAGTAATGACTTGCATTTGCCTGCTTTTCCAGAAGATTATTCGAACAGGAATAGCTCTGAGAGGCTAAAGTTCTTCCTACTACCACCTTCTTGCAGTCCATAAAAAAAATGATTATACAAGAAGAGGTAGAACCCCTCTGGGTATAATTCATGATCCAGAGGTTCTCTTGAGATCAGATTGAAGCTAGTATGTAGGCCACAGTTGTCCCCCTTTTCTTTCCCTTGCTGTATACAGCTTCTCTCCTCTCTTCTCTCCTTTCCTTATTGAGGACTCTCTTTATAACTCACTTGAACAAAAATCCACATCTCAGGTTCTGTTTCTTTGGAACCTGAAGTAAGATGGAGCCCAACACTATAATGTAAGAGTGCCACTGGGCACTCCATTCACAGACTTGCTCACAAAAACACTCTGCACACACTTGAACACAAAGAACATATAACCTACAGAAATAGTTATTCAAATCATCTCCAAAACTAATAGAGTAGAGTGAGGAATAGTTTGTAGTTTCATGTCTTTTTTAGCAAAAAGCTCAGGTCTACTAGATAGTATTTTGTTGCTATAACTCTGGAATATAATTTTATTTCCCCATTGTATATATCATATACTGTAAGTATACTATATACCAGGTATATACAATGTCTAGTACATTGCAAATTAAGCAACCATTTTTATTATTATACCTAATAACAGTTAACACTCCAGGTGGCTCAAGATGAAAGCAGAATTCCATCTATGATTGAACTGCATGATGGGTTTACAGTATTTCATCTCTTATGGTTTGTGTATCTACAGAATGATTATTAAAATATGTAGTGTAAAAATTATAATTTAAATATATCTGCTTGTATATACATAGACAAAAACCTACAAAAATATATACTAATCTATAATTGTTGATGAGCCTAAGAACTTGGGATAGAAAAGTGAAGTGGACTGAGCTTTTATTAAGGATTTATTTTCTAGGAAACATGCAGTACATTTATAATTCTTAAAGAACCATTAAAAAGAAGAAAAGGAAGGGAAAAATATTAAGACTTCCCTGCCAACACAAGGATTTTATATGTCTGCACTACTGAGTAATTTACCTACTCTTTGAGCAGTGTTAGTATATTTTGAGCAATGTACAAATATGAAATATATCATTCAACAAAATATAAAATAGCAAAATGGAATTCTAATTTTTTTCTCACAGGTATAAATTGTTCTTTTGAAATGTTAATGAATTCATAATAATAGACCAAATCAATACAATGGGAAAGCAGGTCTCATTACAATGCTAATTATATATGCTACTTGGTCCCACTTTGAATCCTTTCTGAAATAAGATTCAATCAAACAATGCTGTGGTACTTTAATCAAATATGCAAGTATATTCAAATACTCTCTAGAAATAGAGAGGTTTACTAAATCTAAGTATTTATGCATTTTACCTTTTCTCCACAGTAAGGTGAATCCATCAGATTGTGTAGATATGGTTTGTGATGCCAAAAGGAAATCTTTACTTAAAGATATGGATGGCTCCTTCCTGGGGAATTCTGGTTCAGTGATACCTGAAGCAGAATATGAATGGAATGGAAATAGCCAGTTTGGAATTGGAGATTATAGAATTCCTAAGGTGATGCTCACATTCCCAAATGGAAGTAGAATTCCTGTCACTGAAAAAGCACCTTATAAAGGTTTGTTGGATCTTATTCTGTTAGTCTTCAGGTTCATGGAACAAAATATATCTTTTATTTTTAATGATTGATGTACTCTAATATATATTTTGTACTTATTAATCACATGTAAAAACAAAAGATAATATGTGAATGCTTTTGTAAGGAGATTCTGTTTCATTTATAAATGTATTTTCTACCATTTCCAGGAATCATTAGAGATTCAACCTGTAAATACATTCCAGAATGGCAGGGCTATCGGTGCTTTGGGATGGAATATGCAATGATGGTTATCGAAAGCCTGGATTCTGACACAGAAACTCGAAGACTCTCCCCGGTGGCTATAGTGAGCAATGGTTATGTTGATCTCATTAATGGTAGGTATTCAATGTAAATCAACTAGAGTTACTCAAAGCATTCACTCTTTATTACATTCATGGACATATCTCATAAATTATCTATCACAAAGAACTAGCAAACATCTGAACTTCCTTGCCTTCTGATTGTAAGAAAGATCTAAGGAAGGGAAAGAGACTTGACTCTTCAGCAGTACCCCTTCCATTAGAAAGCAGACAATAACTCCAAACTGACCATTAAAAGAAGAGGAAGAAGGATGCCTTGAGTGATCTTTATAGGTATGAATGTGGCATAAATACATTTAAGAAAAAATTGATCTGAATGTCTGCAAAAAAAAAAAACCCATCCAATTTTCCTTACATAAATTAAAAAACTGATAATGTTATATTTGTAATACTTGAGAATGAACAGTGTCAACCCACACCTTTCATTTTCATGAATCCTTGGAAGATTGAATCTTGAATCAGTGTGTTGTGGGGTTTTCTGTTTGCCTTTGGTTTTTCTCCATCCTGATTTCTTTGACTGTGAAGACTATCTGTCAAGCTCCAGAGTCTAGGTCCCGTCCATGCTGGTCCATGGTGGCTCTCATATAATGAAAGGCAATGGTCTCCTGAGGATTCAGATCAACTCTGGTGTCCAAGAGTTTTAGAATAAACAGGTGAAGTTCTAAAAGCTACTTAAAACAGAGGGCAAGGACTCATTGTATATCCCTGAAGTGGCATTGGGGGCTCAAATGTTAGTCCCTATTCATGCTTAGAGTCTTTGAAATGCTGAAGGGGCACATAACCAGGATCAGAAAGATCTCTCTGTCCTGGCAATGTCACAACATGTACCAGAATATTCTGAAATTCCCCAAATAGCCAGTACCCTACAAGTTCATTTTTTTAACTTGTTGAAGAGACTAGAATGAGGTATGTCAGCTACATGATTTTAAGTTGCCCCTCAATTCTGCTCCAACATATAATCTTCCTGGTTTCTATGACCTATAGTCAACCCAGTTTCAAATTCTACCTCTCAGATTTTATAAAGCAGAGAAATCATGGAAAGAATTTTAAACCAGTAAGTGACTAATGAAGAGGTGTTCAAATTGCTCTGTTTTATATGGGGAAAGATTTTATTCTATTTATTTTTACATTTTGCTTTTCCTGAAAGGCAATACAAGTTTTCCATTTATAATATACAAGTTTTCCATTTATAATAGTGATATGACATTTCTCTTTTAAGTAAATTTAAATTTTAAAAAGTGACTGTCTAAGGGTAAAGAACCCACCTGCCAATGCAAGAGGCATGAGATGTGTGTTTGATCCCTGGGTTGAGAGGATCCCCTGGAGGAGGGGATGGCAACCCACTCCAGTATTCTTGCCTGGAGAATCCCATGGACAGAGGAGCCTGGCGGGCTACAGTCCATAGGGTCACAAAGAGTTGGACATGACTAAACTGACTTAGCACACATTCATGTCAGTTTAACGAGAATATAGTTTAATTATAAATAATAACAATGTGGCAAAAATTATGAGAGTGTTAGAAGGATTATTGAAGCTTGGGATGTCTCTATTAGGTGGAAAGAAAAATTCCAAGATAAAATTTGTACATACCACTAAAGTTTCCCTCAATTTTATTTGCTTTTAAAATATGGCTTATGTTATTCTAAATTTTTTATTTTATGCATAGAAATGTTTGTGTCCAAAACCACAAAGAAGGTTTATTTAAAAGCAGGATTTATGTTTTTAATGCTAAGGGATATGTTATGCTCTATTTGAGCTTCAGAAGTTTATATTGATGTAAAATTCAATCAAAGTTCAGTTATAAATATTGATCATTCCAAGCAAGCTAGGAAATTGAGCAAAACTAATGAATAAATACTGCTCATACTGTTCATACAAGAAAATTAGAGATACCAAGGGAACATTTCATGCAAAGATGAGTTCAGTAAAGGACAGAAATGTTATGGACCTAACAGAAGCAGAAGATATTAAGAAGAGGTGGCAAGAATACACAGAAGAACTGTACAAAAAAGATCTTCACAACCCAGATAATCATGATAGTGTGATCACTCACCTAGAGCCAGACATCCTGGAATGCAAAGTCAAGTGGGCCTTAGAAAGCATCACTACGAACAAAGCTAGTGGAGGTGATGAAATTCCAGTTGAGCTATTTCAAATCCTGAAAGATGAAGCTGTGAAAGTGCTGCACTCAGTATGCCAAATTTGGAAAACTCAGCAGTGGCCACAGGACTGGAAAAGGCCAGTTTTCATTCCAATCCCAAAGAAAGGCAATCCCAAAGAATGCTCAAACTCCCACACAATTGCACTCCTCACACGCTAATAAAGCAATGCTCAAAATTCTCCAAGCCAGGCTTCAGTAATATGTGAACCGTGAACTTCCAGATGTTCAAGGTAGTTTTAGAAAAGGCAGAGGAACCAGAGATCAAATTGCCAACATCCACTGGATCATCGAAAAAGCAAGAGAGTTCCAGAATAACATCTATTTCTGCTTTATTGACTATGCCAAAGCCTTTGACTGTGTTCAGTCCAGTTCAGTTCAGTCGCTCAGTCGTGTCCGACTCTTTGCGACCCCATGAATCACACACACCAGGCCTCCCTGTCCATCACCAACTCCCGGAGTTTACTCAAACTCATGTCCATTGAGTTGGTGATGCCATCCAGCCATCTCATCCTCTGTCATCCCCTTCTCCTCCTGCCCCCCAATCCCTCCCAGCATCAGGGTCTTTTCCAATAAGTCAGCTCTTCGCATGAGGTGGCCAAAGTACTGGAGTTTCAGCTTCAGCATCAGTCCTTCCAATGAACACCCAGGACTGATCATCTTGACTGTATAGATCACAAGAAACTGTGGAAAATTCTGAAAGAGATGGGCATACCAGACCACCTGACCTGCCTTTTGAGAAACCTGTATGCAGGTCAGGAAGCAATAGTTAGAACTGGACATGGAACAACAGACTGGTTCCAAATAGGAAAAGTAGTACGTCAAGGCTGTAAATTGCCACCCTGCTTATTTAACTTATATGCAGAGTACATCATGAGAAACGCTGGGCTGGAAAAAGCATAAGCTGGAATCAAGATTGCCGGAAGAAATATCAGTCACCTCAGATATGCAGATGACACCACCCTTATGGCAGAAAGTGAAGAGGAACTAAAAAGCCTCTTGATGAAAGTGAAAGAGGAGAGTGAAAAAGTTGGCTTAAAGCTTAACATTCAGAAAACTAAGATCATGGCATCTGGCCCCATCACCTCATGGGAAATAGATGGGGAAACAGTGAGAGACTTTATTTTTTGGGGCTTCAAAATCACTGCAGATGGTGATTGCAGCCATGAAATTAAAATACGCTTACTGCTTGGAAGGAAAGTTATGACCAACCTACACAGCATATTAAAAAACAGAGATATTACTTTGCCAACAAAGGTCCATCTGGTCAAGGCTATGGTTTTTCCAGTGGTCATGTATGGATGTGAGAGTTCGACTGTGAAGAAAGCTGAGTGCCAAAAAATTGATGCTTTTGAACTGTGGTGTTGGAGAAGACTCTTGAGAGTCCCTTGGACTGCAAGGAGATTCAACCAGTCCATCCTAAAGGAGATCAGTCCTGAGTTTTCATTGGAAGGACTGATGCTGAAGCTGAAACTCCAATACTTTGGCCACCTCATGCAGAGAGTTGACTCATTGGAAAAGATCCTGATGCTGGGAGAGATTGGGGTCAGGAGGAGAAGGGAATGACAGAGGATGAGATGGCTGGATGGCTTCACCGACTCAATGGACATGAGTTTGAGTAAACCCTGGGAGTTGGTGATGGACAGGGAGGGCTGGCGTGCTGTGATTCATGGGGTCGCAAAGAGTCAGACATGACTGAGCAACTGAACTGAACTGAACTGAATGAATAAATACATCAAGAAAATTCATCATTCCCTATCTCACTACTGTGTATATATATGTAATCCCAGCCACTTTAAAACTGAAGTGCAATAGAGAAGTTTCTTACAAGTCATGTTACATGTGTTATGGAAATGTCTGGATTCAGATGAAATTGTCCACTTTCTTTTGCTTTTGAGAGAGTTTAATGGAATGTTATTTTTCACATTTCTTCTGTTTATTTATGATGTTGACCCTCCAATAGTACCTATCCTCATTAACAAAAATATTAAAATAACATGAAGGAATGTTAAAGGCAATAAAAACATACTTAAAAGTTTGTCAAGTTAACAAATTAACTATTGAACAAATGAGTGTGTGAAAGAAATGATTAATACATTAGTGATTTGGACATTGAAATGTATGTGTTTTCTAGGTACAAGCTGTATTTTTAGCAAATTAGCTCTGTTACAGTGTATTTCTCAATAAATGATTTGAGAAAGTTCGTTTCCCACCCAAAGTCACATTTGATAGGAGAAACAGGAGAAAGCATCAAGCATTTTCTTCTTCACTGTGGGGCCTGGACTCAAACATGATTATTAAAGTAGATATATAAAGTTTTCATGTCACCCTTTTTTGTTTGTTTAAAGTCCGTCCGGAGTCTTTATTTATTTATTTATTGGCCACACTGTGACTGTTGCCATGCACAGATTTTTGTTGCCACGCACAGATTCTTGTTGCTGTGCACGGGCTTTCTCTAGTTGCAGCGAGCGTGGGCTGCTCTCTAGTTGTGGTGCACAGTCTTCTTGTTCAAGTGGCTTTTCTTCTTGTGGAGCACAGGCTCTACAGTGCACAGGCTCAATAGTTGTGGTACCTGGGCTTAGTTTCCCCATGGCATGTGGGAATCTTCCCAGACCAGGGATCATATCTGTGTCCCCCACATTAGCAGGTGGATTCTTAACCACTGAACCACCAGGAAAGACCCCTACCTTCTTTTTTAAGGCAAGGCTTGAGAAATAGCTTAGATCACTGAATGGACAGGTGGATGGATAATGACTGTAAATGCTGAACTTGACCACTGCAATTTATTTTGAATACAATTACACTTCAGGCTTTGCACTAGTGATATTCATAATATGGAGCATGAACTTTCATTTGTGTGGATATAGGCCCACAGGATCATGGCTGGTGTGCTGGGTACACATGTCAGAGAAGACTGTCCCTGTTTCACAGTATCGTGGCTCTGGGCAAATCTTACGAGGTCTACTTCACGGGCACCAGTCCTCAGAATCTTCGACTGATGTTGCTTAATGTTGACCATGACAAGGTAAGTCAAGGTAGAAATGATTTCTTATTTTATTATTGGTTCCATGTGTATAGCAAAGTGATTGATTCAGTTGTACATATACATGTGTCTACCTGAAACTAACACAACACTGTTAACCAACTATATGCCAATATAAAATAAAAAATATTTTAAATAAATAAATGAAGTAATTATTGATAGGTATGTAAAAACTAATAAAAATTATTTCATTTATTGACTTTTTCAAGAAATGCACTTTGTCATTCCATAATTCTATGAAGATTATTTCTGTTCAGTTACTTTGAAGTAATTTATTTTAAAAAGTCTAAAAACCAAAAAAATGAATTACTGGGGAATTCCCTGGCAGTCCAGTGGTTTAGACTCGAGGCTTCGGGGAACTAAGATCCAGCATGCCATACAGTGTGGCCAGAAAAAAATAATGACGAAACTTAAAAAATCAAAGGCTTAAAAAAAGAGTTATTGGTGTTATTTGCATATATTTCTATCCGCTAAGGACTTTACTTCCTTCCTTGTCCTCTGGAACATCATCAGCCTTAGAGCTCCTTTTCAGGAACCTTTCAGTAGGGTACCACTTTCAGTAGGTACCTCCTTTCAGTAGGGTACCACTAAGAATACTGTGAATCCAGACAGTTTTATCAGCCTGAGAGCACACAGGAGTTCCCAACACCTCTCCCCATATGTACTGGCTTGTTCTGCTACATCTGAGGTGTGACAGTGAGTCCTATGATTTGAGTGATTAGCAAGCAAACCTGAACTTTTACGTAAAAATAGCATGTATCTAAAGCTGGTCCTTTAGGATTATATTGTCATTCTTCCATTCTGCTATTATTTATATATGTCAGAAATACACCTTTGGAACTTACTTCAGAGATCACAACACATTATCTAAAATCTCTTCAATAATGTCAGCTCTTTGCTGTAAAATGAATTCTGCTGGGATAATTAACTTTATGTTATGTCAGTGGGAAAACAGTATGAGGCTAAGTAGAAGTATCATACTATAGATTTTTTTTCTAAGAGTATGAGACTCAGAAGTCCCAGAGTATCAGGAACTGATACTCATCAGTAATGAGTATGAGACGAGGCAGAGAGAGGAGTAAGGAAAGGAGACCCTTGAGAATGGCGAGAGCATTTCCATCCTTTCAGCTGCTCAAGATAAAACCTTGGAATCATTCTTTATTCCTCTCTTTCTCTCACATTCCTCATCTAGCCCATCTGCAAATCCTATTGAGTGTTCCTGCGAAATGTCCAGGATCTGACCACTCCTCACCTCCAGTGCTCCTGTCCAGCTTGAGCCAACATTATCTCCTCCCTGGAGTGAGGCAGTTCCCTCCCATCTCCTCTTGCTGCTCTGCCTTTGCCCCCTCTGTGGTCTGTTCTCAGTAACCACCGAGATACCTTCAAACACACAGGTCAGAGCAGGCCACGCCTGTGCCCCAAACCTGCAGTAATTTCCCCATTGTCTCCATACAAGAGTCGGAGTCCTCACAGTGGTCTACGGGGCACCTGAGAATCTCCCCCACCCCTCAGCACTCTGACTTCTCCCCCAGCCATGCTGGGCCCCTTGCTATTCCTCACCACACCAGACATCTCACCCTCTGAGCCTGTGTTTCCGATGATGGTGAGTCTGCCTGGAACATTCTACATTCCACTCCCAACTTCCTCAACTCTCTCCTTTGTAGGCCCACCCTGACCACCCCTCCCTGCTGGCTTGCCCAGTTACTCAGACTCTGATCTACCTTTCCTTTTTTCCTATGGCACTTCTCACCTTTTAGCATGCTTCATACTCTAATTTTCATTATTTCTATTATTTATTGTCTCTCCCTATTCTAGAATGTAAGCTCAAAGAGGGCGGGAACTTTTGAAAAAGTTCCTAAAATAGTGCCTGAATCAGACAGGGACTCAAAATTTTGACTGAAAGAGAATATTTACGTGTAGCTTATCAGATTTCTTATAAATTCTGCCCCACCTTTGCAAAAGCCAAGTCTCCTTACTTTATCTGATAGCATGAAATACGGGGAATTAACATGAAGGAGGACCCACAGTTAATCAAAATAGTTATTTTGACTGATTTTTTTTTTAATCTTACTAACAAAATTTTCTTAGAGATGGGCAGTGTTTTCAACATTAAGTACCTAATTTTGTGTGGTTGCATTGTACAGAAGAGCACTGCTAACGCTCCCAGTTCCCCTGCCCCTGGAGTTGAAAGCCTGTGTTGAATATCATCTTTAAAAGGAATTCTTTCTTTAATTTAGAGGTTGTCCGCTAGTATTTTTTTTCTTGCATTACATTCTTTCCTATGAATGCGTGTATGCTCAATTGCTCAGTCATGTCTTACTCTTTGAGACCCTATGAACTGTAGCCCGCCAGGCTTCTCTGTCCATGGGATTTCCCAGAAAGGAATATTGGAGTGGGTTGCTATTTCCTTTTCCAGGGGATCTTCCTGACCCAGGGATTGAAACCAAGTCTCTTGCTTCTCCTGCATTGGCAGGCAGATTCTTTAGCACTGCACCACATGGGAAGCCCTTTCCATGAATTCACACACACCTTGCATGCCTGCATGCATGCTGAGTCACTTCAGTCATGTCCAACTCCTTGCGATCCCATGTTGAATGTAAATCTGTTTAAGGTTTTTAGTTTAATATTTACCCTAAATCCATAAAACTTTGTTTTAATATTACACGGAAAGCATGTATAAAGAATATTTTTGAAGTGCTAAATTCTAAGTATTCTGTTTCATTGTTCTCTTTAGATGTAAAAATGTTGTTTATTTTTAATAGGCTGTTCTGGTAGGAATTTTTTTCCCCACACGTCAGCGTTTGGATGTCTATGTGAACAATGCACTTGTCTGCCCCCAAGATACAGTGTGGAACTCCCAACAGAAACATTGTGAACTTACTAGACAACTGTATACAGGTATTTGCTCAGAAAAATACAGCATACATTGTATATGTACTTAATGGTGTATAAAATTCTTCATAGTGTTTCATTATTAATATTTTAAGCTCCTTAGCCCTTGACAAATACAGAGAAAATAAATGTTTACCCACGGTCCACCGCACACTAAGATGTGTTCCTTTAGAACATGTGTGCCCTGAAAGATCCCTCCTGATGGAATTCTTATCTATCTGCAAATCTGCAGATAAAAGTCTGTATGGCTATTCCTTTGCCCCGGAAACATTTATATGCTACACATTTAGTTCAGTTATTCCTGCATACAGAAGAGATTTCACTTGGAATTTTTACCCTATGTTTGCTTCACCTCTCTTTCATAGAGGTTAGAACCTAACTTCATTGGTAGTCACCAGAAGTATTGCCGAGAAAGTTAGCATAACACCAATTGAACACCGTGAAATAAATATGTGAAGTAAGCTCTGGATTTAAAGGAAATATATGACAGAAGCTAACTTGTGCATCTACCAGTGTTGCAAAACCAGGATTTATCTCTGCTCCTGGAAGTCTTTTTGTTAAACAGGGTACTAATAAGGCCAGTCCACTCCTTTCCACATGTGCTACTTATCATCATATTTTAGCTGCGCCCCCTAATCTTGGTTAACGATTACATCAGTGTGTGCTGTAGATCATAATAGAAGCTCGACAGGAGAGTATGAATGAATAACCCATAATCATTACTGTCTATGAAGCAAGTCCTACTTCTACTAATATGAATAGCTGCTATTTCCAGAGACGTTGCTATGTGTCAGGCACTGTGCTAAGTGCTTTGTATATAATAACTCACTGTTCCTATGTCCTAATAATAACCCTCTGAGGTAGGCACAGATGGGTAAACTGAGACACAGGGGGTTGAAGTAATTTGCCAAGGTCTCTGCCTTAGCTCAGGCTGCCATAACAAAATGCCATAAACTAGATGGCTTAAAAACAGAAATTTAGTTTTTTACTAAATCCTGTGAGATCAGGATACCATTATGGTCTGGTTCTGAATACTTGCAGATGGCTGCCTTCTCACTGTAATCTCAGGTGGCAGGGAGGGGCTGGGGAGAGCATGAGCTCTCTGGTGTCCCTTTTTATAAGGGCCTTAATTCTTCATGAAGTCCCCACCCTCTCGACTTCATCTAAACCTAATTACTTTGCAAAGACCTCATCTCAAAATCCTGTCACATTGGGGGTTATGGCTACCATATGTGAATTTGAGTGGGGGGACACAACCAATCCAGAGCAATAGCAAAGCTGGTAGGGGCAGAGCAAGGTACTGAACACATAGAGTCTAGCTCTATAACCCACGCACTTTGTTATGCTCCATGGCCTCCTTGTAAATTAGGAGAGTCAGTGTTATTTTTACATACAAATGATTGCACCTATTTGCAGCTCAATTTTTATAAATTTTAACTCTTTTTTTTTAAAAAAACAGTACTTTTCATACAAAGTACTCTATCATTCAAGTCAAGGAAATAGAAAGAATATCAACAGGCAGAACTTAATAAATTGGTTACAGGGAATTGATTATAGAAGTCTGCAAAACAATACAACCACTGCCCTTTTAGAAATTTTTTTTCTGAAATAGCATTGTTTTTAGACAAACATTTTGCTTTGACACTTGGAATGAGAAATGATATCCCTATATTATGACACTGTACATATCTCTTTAGGTTGCCCAAAATGTGAAGGCATGAGAAAGTTATCTAGAATAAGTGATATATGCATCTCTAACGGTAGCTTGATAACAGCTTCAATTTATAATACAAAAGCACATGCTTCAGATTCATGGAATGTTTAAGCCAAATTGCAAGTAGAACTTATACTAGTAGATGTTTAAAAAATATATAGTAATAATGAAATAGCTTCTTAATGCCATTGCTATGAATGTCTATTATGTTAGTAAGAAATAATCTCTTTTTTCTAAGATTCTAATTTCTTTTCCTCAGTATGCCCCACTATGAAATGTGGTAAGAAGCTTCATACCACATTCCAGTATTATTGTACAGTTAGATTTTGTGTTCAATATGCGTTAGTGGATTTATTACTTCTTGGACATTTTTTATTCTCTGCCCTAAAAATCATTTTTATATATTTATTAATTACACATATATGTATATATAATCTCATCACTTTTACAAAAATTCAGTGCCTTAGAAGAATTTGTTTTACATTAACTGAAGGGTTTTCAGTCTGAAATGTAAACTTTTGTTATTGATGTAAGATCCTTCTGAGATCTTTTCATATAAACTTTATTTATATTATATACTTTTGTCCTTAGTAAAAATAAAAGTGCTGAATCATCAGTTTTCCTTAAGAACTTGTATATAGCACTGCATAAACTAAATGGCTACATTTTTTAATTACAAAATGCCCTTAGTCAAGGCTTTAAAATTCTGAAAAAGTAAATAGTGTTACAACATAGATTTCTAGTTTATAATTAGATTTTATTTCTCATTAGTATGTGTCTATAGCTAGTTGTTTTCTAAACTAAATTTAATACATAATTATTATTAATGGTCTTATTTTAAAAATTGACTAATTTTGCATGTCAGTTCTATAAATGCTTTTGCTTTTAATTTGCACATTTTCCTGTGAAAGAATGATAATATTGAACTTTTTCAGAATTTCCTACATTTTAAACAAATATTAAATACTGCATGGTAATTATGATAATATAAATAAATTTAACTGTGCTATTTTGACTTTTTTTCCTTTATAGAGCAATTACTTCCTAACCTGAATTCCACTGTCCTTGGTGAAAACTACTTTGATAGAACCTACCAGATGCTTTACCTTTTGGTTAAAGGAACTATACCAGTTGAAGTTCATACCACTGCAGTCATATTTGTCTCTTTCCAATTACCTGCTGTAACAGAGGATGACTTTTATAGCTCTCATAATCTGGTTAGAAATCTTGCCTTGTTCCTAAAGATACCAAGTGACAAAATCCGTGTCAGCAAAGTAATACGAGGGGAGAGCCCACGGAGGAAGAGATCCATGGAGCGCACGATTGAACTGGAGATTGGTGATCCTCCCCCTCGGTTTGTAACCAATGACACCGCAGGTATGAAAAGTAGACACTTGAGAAAGGGTAATGTCATTACCAAAACCACATCCATAAGTAACACCATCAAGGCTTGGTAAGCCAGGCCTCAGGAAATCCCACCAACCCCACATCCTGAACCCTCTAAGACCTGGAGACCCTTTTCTCTGCTCTATCCTGTGATCCCAAACTCTTTTGAATTATGAAGAAACTTCAACCTCTATTTTGTTATTGTAGCAATTAATTACTTCCACAATAGGATTTGACCTAAGGAAAGATCCAAAAAATGACCTAAGGAAGTGACCTTATAGTTGAGAGATTCAGGATGAAAAGAGTTGGTCAAAGTGGGTGGTAAGAATACTGGAGCTGAGGAAATAGGTAGTGCGAGTTTGGTCCAGTTGAAGAACTGGAAAGGACCCAGAAGATCTGCAGCAGAAGGTTCCAGGAAGTACAAGCTGCTGGAGACGAGGTTGAGAGGTAGACAGGTGCTAGATTGTGGGAAACCAATAGAGGTTCTCCTCTTTGTAAGCCGAGAGAAGGACAGTAGGGGTCTTCCTAAGGGAGATAAATAAACCCTTGGAGATTCTGAGAGGTGGAGTAGTAGGTTCTAAAGTCACCTGTTTATACTAATAAGTACAAATGTGCAAGAATACATCCTGTCCTTCATTTCTGTGAATGACCTAATCAGCCTTACTAGCCTTCACCCCTTTCTCTGTCCCTCACTCACTATACCCTATTTTCTGGGTATCAGAGATCAAAATAAGCTCAGCTGTTCCATCAAAGGTAACTTTGGTGGCTTAAATTATGGTTTCTTTAGGCTGACTCTGGTTGAGCATTTGGTTAAATGTTCAGACCTTCAGATTTTGTTCCTCTCCATCTTTTCAAGTTGGTATCTGAATGTCAAGGGGCTTTCTTGACCTCAGACCCTCGCATCACCCTCTTGTCCTCATAGTTTCTGTGACAGAGTGGGTGGTCTTCTCTGCTCTGCCTGAACCTCTCTGTGGTGTAACTGAACTTTCCTGGCCTCTTGACATGCAATCACGTTCTCAGCTGTAATTCCATGCTGTTGTCTCTGGTGGTCAAGCACAAGTGTCTAGGCATACGCCTCTCCAAGCAGATGAGATCTGGGTCTCTGTAGGAGGAAGATTAGCAACCAGCTTAAGCTTCAAGTCCCTTTACTTGTACAAGTCCTGGGATGGGCTTTAACTTTCAAGACCCTGAAAGAAGGATCCACTTAATAATGTGGTCAAATAATTGACTATTATTATAAAAGTTGTACATATAAGACTTATTCTTAAAGAGAGTCTCCATGTTGTATAAAGTTCAGACTCAGAAAATCCTCATCTACCCCATTCCTGTTAAGCATCTGTTTCATTCAACTCCCAGGCTCTCTTATGTGTCCACTTAGGTACTCAGTATTCTCATCTTCTGCCACTGGAGTCATCACTCATTTCCCCAGGAGGCTGGCTTCCGAGCGTTAACCCCATGCACCTGCCATGTGGCTCTTCTGGAATTCTACCAGTTAGGCAGGCCAAAGCTTCCTCCCTTGTGGGGATCAGCCTGTGAAAAGGCTTGCATGAATGGAAGGAAGTACTGATCAGCTCTCTGTTGAAGGAAACAGGAAGCACAAGCTTGTGTTTGCAGCCAGATCTTCCACTGGGCTTCCCTGGTGGCTCAGCTGGTAAAGAATCCACCTGCAATGTGGGAGACCTGGGTTCGATCCCTGGGTTGGGAAGATCCCCAGGAAAAGGGAACGGCTATCCGCTCTAGTAGTCTGGCCTGGAGAATTTCATAGACTGTATAGTCCATGGGGTCACAAAGAGTCAGACACAGCTGAGCGACTTTCACTCTCTGCCCGGTCGTAGGTTACTCTCCTTCATCAGCCTTGGGTTTCCTTATATCTACAGGGTCAGGGCTTTGAGATCAACATAGTCTCTAATTTAGTCCAGGAGTTGCATCAGGTTCAGATACAGGTCTGTATATACAGATTGTTCACTGACTCTAAAAAAAATCCCTGGTAAGCCCTTACATGTATTGAGGTCCAGTACCTACTACACTAGCCACTCTAATGTCAAAAGAAACTGTGATTTATTTCCTGTATGTAATCTAAATTGCTTCACATACAACCTCTCCTACCCTCCATTCTCTAAAAGTAGTTTTATCTTGCTAGCCAGATTTAGATATAAATTGGATGTTTAGATACCCAGATGTAGGCACACTGCAGTTTAAGAACATGGAAATAGGGGCAGGAGGAAAGATAGGCTAACAGCTTGTTTCTAAGACTTAAACTGAATTAGGGTTGGAGGTCTCAAGGAAAGCCCTACAACCTGGCAAGGAGTGACATCACAGCAAAATTTTGGAAAGTGGCAATAAAGATAAGCATGGAGGAGTACTTCTGGCCTCTCACAGCCTTCACAAAGTGTTAGGACATCCAGAAGTTTCCAGGTGTCCTAGAAAGTGGTTGCTTAAGTACTGAGGGGACCTCTGGACCTCAGGAAAAACAGCTCTTCAAGTGAAAGTCTTTGGTTTCTAGCTGGAAGTCAGCAGAAATGGATGCCTTCACATGTCAGATGGTCAGAGAGAACCTGTTAACCCTGCCAACAGGTCAGGCGTGCCACCCTGCACCAAAAACCAGCGAGGAAGATGATCGTAGCAGTGCATGGGTGTGAAGCACCTTTGTACAGCTGCCCATAACTAGAAAGCCATCTTGTCGGCGAGTGTGTAGGTGGGGAGAGTCTGAAAGACTGCCATTTATCCGGAAGAGACTGAATCAACCAGAACAGGCCTTTAAAATGGACTAAAAATACCCGAGGCTGTGATTTTCAGTGTCACGTGAGAACTTCTGCCCCGAGAGCGCTGCCTCCTGAGCACGCTAAGCTTGAGGGCCTCGCCTTCATGGAAGAAGCTCGGTGACTAAGGCCCTCAGGGCATGAGTCTGGGTAGGGAAGGTGCTAGAGACATAGGAATAGTACACCAAAACATTGGCTGTGGTTGTTGTTGTTTTTAATTTTTTGTTTCTTTTTCATTGGAATATAATTGATTTTACAATGTTGTGTTAGTTTCTGCTGTATGACATCACGAATCAGCCATTGTTGTTGTTCAGTCACCCAGTCATGTCCAACTCTTTGTGACCCCATAGAGTGCAGCACGCCAGGCCTCCCTGTCCATCACCATCTCCCAGAGTTTGCCCAGTTTCATGTCCGTTGCATCAGTGATACCATCCAGCCATCTCATCCTCTGACGTTTTCCCAGCATCAGGGACTTTTCCAATGAGTCGACTGTTCACACCATGTAACCAAAATACTGGAGCTTCAGCTTCAGCATCAGTCCTTCCAATGAGTATTCAGAGTTGATTTCCCTTAATATTGACTGGTTTGATCTCCTTGCAGTCCAAGGGACATTCAGGAGTCTTTTTCAGCACCACAGTTCGAAGGCATCAATTCTTTGGCAGTCTGCCTTCTTTACAGTCCAGCTCTCACAACACTACATGACCACTGGGAAGACCATAGCCTTGTCTATACAAACCTTTGACAGCAGAGTAATGTATCAGCTTTTCAACACACTGTCTAGGTTTATCATAGCTTTCCTGCCAAGAAGCTAATGTCTTCTGATTTCATGGCTGCAGTCACCGTCTGCAGTGATTTTAGAGCCCAAGAAGAGGAAATCTGTCACTAGTTCCACCTTTTCCCCTTCTATATGCATGAAGTAATGGTACTAGATGACATAATCTTAGTTTTTTTAATATTTAGTTTTAAGCCAACTTTTTCATTCTTCTCCTTCACTCTCATTAAGAGGTTCTTCAGTTCCTCTTCACTTTCTGCCATTAGAGTGGTATCATCCACACATCTGAGGTCATTGATATTTCTCCCACCTATCCTAATTCCAGCTTGCAACTCATCCAGCTCAGCATTTCTCATGATGTGCTCAGTGTATAGGTTAAATAAACATGGTGACAGCAGACATCCCTGTTGTACTGCTTTCTCAATCCTGAACCAATTGATTGTTCCATACAGGGTTCTAACTGTTGCTTCTTGACCTGCATACAGGTTTCTCAGGAGACAGGTAAGATGGTTGGTATCCCCATCTCTTTAAGAGTTTTCCACAGTAGTTTATGATCCACACAGTCAAAGGCTTTAGTATAGTTGATAAAAGAGAGGTAGATGTTTCCCTGGAATTTCCTTTCTTTCTCTATGAACCAACGAGTGTTGGCAATTTAAATCTCTGGTTCCTCTGCCTTTTCTAAACCCAGCTTGTATATCTGGAAGTTCTTGGTTCTCTTAATGCTGAAGCCTAGCATGTAAAATTTTAAGCATGACCTGATTAGATGATGAAGCAGGTTCTGATTAGACCTGGGAGATGAGGCAATTGTCCAATGATTAGATCATTCTTTAATACTACCCTAAGGAGGGGATACATATGTATATATGTGTGTATATATGCCCTCCTTCTTGAACCCCCCTCCCACTCTCCCATTCCACCCATCTAAGTTATCACAGGTTCCAGCCTTCTAGGGCATCACAGAGCACTATGCTCTATGGCAACTTCCCACTAGCTCTTTCACACATGGTAGGGTATATGTGCCAGTGATACTCTCTCCATTCATCCCACCCTCCTTCTCCCTCTATGTCCACAGGTCCATTCTCTACGTCTGTGCCTCTGTTTCTGCCCTGCAAATAGGTTCATCAATACCATTTTTCTAGATTCCATATATATGCATTAATAGACAGTGTTTGATTTTCTCTTTCTGATGGGCTTCACTCTGTAGTTGTTTCTTAAACGGTTGTGCTGACTGCAGTGTGTAGAACAGAATGCAAGAGGAATGGATGCCAGGAAGCCAGTTTGAAAGCTGTTTTAATATCTCTGCTGCTGATGCATTTACTAGGATTTGGACAGTGGAGTCAGAGAGAATTAGAAATTGAGAACTGATTATATGTGTGGGGGACAGGTGAAGTAGAAGGGCTCAAGGAGAGTTCCAGGCTTCTCTGGCAAGAGGCGCCCCTTCACAAGGTAAGGAGCCTTAGCGGGGGAAGTAGGTTTACAAGGAAATGCAAAGCTACAAAAAGGGAACAGAAACTACCTACAGTATTAGAATTAACCTCGAAAATTGTCAATGTCCAGAGCAAGGAACATTTTTGTTGGTAATTTAATGATAATTTTAGCCACTCATTGCTACATACTATAAATTCGATGATGCTTATTATCCTTCCATTCTGCAATTAACACTCTATTTTTTAAAAAAGTAATATTTGATGATAGACATACATGAGAGTGCTTCACTGCTAAACAAAGAATGACATAGGAAAGTATCAAATTAAGAAACATTTTTCCCTGCATGCTCTCACTCATTTTTCTTGAAATTATATTATCACCTTTGTTTTTTTTTTCTTTAATTCTAGCTAAAAAAATATATATTCTAGAGTTTTTTATTTTCCTGACCTCCTTAGTATGACTTTGTCATGTTTAGCTCAGGTACAGTTAGAAAGCTGTAGAATTCTTTAATGTGGATGGAGCAAATGGCACAAACAAAAACTAAAGTGGAATATTCTCACACGTTCTCACTATTCCATATTCTTACAGTCCCTGTGTCATAACACTTTCCTCATAGGTCAGATGCAGTTATCTGAACTCCAAGAAATTGCTGGTTCTCTTGGACAAGCTGTAATTTTAGGAAAAACCAATAGTATCCTCGGATTTAATGTCTCTTCCATGTCTATTACCGATCCTATCCCCAGTCCCAGTGATTCTGGCTGGGCTAAGGTAAGAAAATGCAACTAGAAAGATGCATTTTGCTATTTAAAACATTGCTTCTTTCTTATTTTAACTGTTCTTCTATTTCAGTAGAGTACATGTCTTTCTAACTGTTGCCTATTTTTTTTACAGTATTGCCAAAATCATAAAGTAGTTGAAAAAGGAGTGTATCTTCTAAAAAAGTATTTGTTGGTATAAAATGTGCTTTGCTTTCATTATTTACGACAGTGCTTCATGAATATGCTCTAGAGGAAATATTGTAATAATATTGACTTCACGCCTTGAACATACTTTTAACAATGAATGTTGCATTTAGCCTGGCTAAGACGAGTTTGCTACTGAATGTAGTTTATCATGTGATAACCACTCTGTGGCGCCTGACCACTCACAGGTGACTGCCCAGCCGGTTGGGAGGTTTTCATTTCCTGTCCATCATGTGGCCCTCGTGTCTTCGCTCTCAGTGGTCACTCAACCAGTGGCAGCACAGCTGGGACAGCCATTTTCTCAACAGCCGTCGGTAAAGGCAGAAGATTCTGACGTAAGTTATAACTCAGAGGTTTGTTTAAGTGGACGAATGAACTTATCAATTCTGGAGGATGAGCTAACTTCACTAATCCTGATACACCGGCAACCTGGGAATGGCACTGCCTCTTCAAATTTGGACTGTTATCTATGAATGTCGTCTTTTACTGTTTTTAAAATGTACCTTTTCTGTGAACTTGTTCCACAACTTGTTATTTGAACTCTTTGTGTAGGAAAAGCTTCTGAAGATGTAAAATTTGAAATGAGACATTTAAAAAGATAAAGTTCCACATATCTTTTTTTTAGGGGAAAACAAAAGAAGCATGGTAACAGGTCAATTGTAATTCTCTACTCTTTTGTTCTTTAGGGTAATTGTGTATCAGTTGGGATTACTGCACTGGCTTTGAAGGCCATACTAAAGGACTCCAATAATAACCAAATCAGTGGACTTAGTGGAAACACAACAATTCCATTTAGCAGCTGTTGGGCCAACTACACAGATCTTACTCTTCTTAGAACAGGTAAGTGTACTATTTTGGATCCTCACATGTATACCCATAAATAAGGATAATTATACTTTCCTTTTAATGAACGAAGTGGTCTATACTACTCTGGTCAATAAATTATAGAAATCAGAATGTCTAGCTTACAGAAATATATCTAATATGCAAAACAAGGTGAAAAATAAAATAAGCAATTAAGGAAATTAAAACAGGTAATTTGAGGATGTAGATCAAAATTATATAATGATTCATATTTTCTTTCTTATCCAGGTGTAATTTTTCTAAATTTTCTCACTATGTGAGAATTACATTTTACATGTATAGTAAGAAAATTTAATATATAGAGTTTTCAGTTCAAGAAAAGCGAAGGTAAGATAGTGTCAGGTAATTTTAATGTCCCATGCTGGAGTTCAGAGTTGGGCTGGAAAGAGGGTTCTAGGCTTTCTATAAGCCAATGCGAAAGAGAAAACACGAGCATTTCCATGATTCATGGCTCTCTAAAGATAGAACAGTTGCTCTGATGAATTACAATTTGCTCTGAGATCAGAACAAATGTCTCCTGTGAGTTCTCATGAAGTATACTCATGATCTCTTCAACATGGTTAATGTAAATATAGTCACAACTCCCACAGCGAGGTTTCTTATATTATTTCCATGTGGACTGATGGCATAGCTTCAATTGGTAAAAGCCTTTCTACTATGGCAAAAATGATTTGTCCAAAAAATAGGTCTCTAGTGATGACAGATGAATCAATGTCAAAAAGAAGAAAATAGACTCTCTGTGTTGGAGACAGACCAACATTACTCTGTTTACCTCAACCCGGGGCTCATTTAGGACCTTTTAGGCCCAACTCCTGAAAGTTTTATCTCAGCCCTCACTTTCCTCACCAGTGTTATTTCAAACACACACATACTAAAGGTCAGAATAAAAGCCACAATAGGGCTTTCCTGGTGGCTCAGTGGTAAAGAATCCATGTGCCAGTGCAGGAGATGGGTTTGATCCCTGATCCGGGAAGATTCCACATGCCACAGAGCAACTAAGCCTGTGTACCACAACCACCGAGCCTGAGCTTTAGAGCCCATGCTCTGCAACGAGAGAAACCACCGCAGTGAGAAACGCTCGCGCTGCAATTAGAGAGTTGCCCCCGCTCACCACAGCAATGAAAACCCAACACAGCCAGAAATAAATTCTCTTTAAAAAGCCAAAATAAAGAGTCAGAGAAGTTAAAGAAATTCTAACAATAATCTGGATTTTTTTTTTCATAAGAGCTAAATAGCAAAAGCTAAAATCATTCCAAAAGAGAGAAGCTTGATCTTCTTACTGGGCAGCAATATCTCAACCTAGAGTTTGATGGAAATCTGGTGGCAATGAGTTCAACATTGTGCTCTGGGGCAAGAACCTGGAGTGTCCTGTAAGTTTCAACAGTCAGCCTAAATGATGGGACCCTTCTATGGGCTATGAGGCACTTGACAAGAACGCCATCTGAGAGAAGGTTGCCCACCTCCCCACGAAGGTGGACTCAGAAGGTTCCCAGCGGCAAAGACCCAACCTGAAGATCAAGGTCTTCATACTACCACTTTCAGTGGCAGTGTTCCAAAGTAACTGGGATCACTGGAGTGCTGAAGCAATAATGGAGATTTTGGCACTTTTCATGATAACAAAATAGTGCTCTCCTTTTACCCAGTAAATTTTCCTTTAGAGTTCAAGGCTTCCCTTAGAGTGTCTATCTGTTATTTCTAATTCTCTTCCTTCCTCCCTCCCTCCCTTCCTCCTTCCTTCCTTATTTCTTGCTTTCTTTTTTCCCATGAAGTGTAGGCTTTCAGTCCCCTGCTTCTGTACAGTAAGGAAGGTCAAATATAGTCTTTTCATGATTTTTAGATTGGTTAGCCAGTTTGTAGATTAACCACTGTAAAACTGTAAAAACAACAAAGCCTATGCAAGAAAAGTGATAAACTGTCTTTCCATTGCTCCTTGGTCAACTATACAATGATCAGACAAGGCTCAGCACCCTCAGCTCTCTTCCATACTGTCCTTTGTTTCAAACAGCCAGTCCTGGGCATTAGGAGAGAACCCCTAAGAAGCAGGTATTGAGGTTCCAGAAAGAAAATCTATCCAGAGTCCTCCTGTCCATAGCTGATGAGCAGATAAAAGTGAAAGTGTTAGTTGCTCAGCCCTGTCTGACTCTTTGTGACTCCATGGACTGTAGCCCACCAGGCTCCTCTGTCCATGGAATTCTCCAGGCAGGAATACTGGAGTGGGTAGCCATTCCCTTCTCCAGGGGATTTTCCTGACCCAGGGATTGAACCTGGGTTTTCTGCATTGCAGGTGGATTCTTGACCATCTGAGCCACCAGGGAAGTCACCTATAGCAGATAGAACACTTCTCACTCTGAGCCCCTCTCTACACTTGTTTATATTTCAATTCATTTGACTCAGTTTCCAAAAGTACTTCATTAGGGGGTTATACAGTATTTATAAGTTGATGAAAACCCAGTTGGAAGTGTATGAAAACAAGCAGATAATCAAAGGAAGTCAAAACTGCCATTTTTCCCCCCCCAGGAAAAAATTTTAAGATTGAATTTATCCTGGATGAGTCTGCTCGGGTGGAGTCCAGGCCTCTCAGCCTGGCCCCGCAGTCTGTCTCCAGCCCAGGCAGCAGCAGCGGCGGCAGCAGCAACAGCAAAGCATCCACTGTGGGCACAGCTGCCCAGAGAGTGACTACAGTGATACGCTGTCTGGTGGCAAGAGTGCTGCTCCTGGAAGTATTTGTGACTGCAGTTGTGACATTGAACGTACTCTAGGTAAGCATGGTACATGCTGTTTGTCTCCAAATACTAAAGTATCAGAAAATGTTTACTGAATAAAGACAGCAGCGTGGCACCACTATGGACAAAAGACAGTCTCAGCCATTAAGAAAGTTGTTGCCCACCCAGCGGAGGCGTGGGTCGGCAGTGGCCTCCTGCAGGGCTGGGGGCACTGAGTGTAGCACTGCATGCATGGGAAGGAGGCAGTTTTGAAGGAGGTCACCATTATCTTCATTACCTCCTTCATAGTTTGGCCCCAGGTCAAATAACAGGAAGGGAACACAGTCCCACCCATCAACAGAAAAAGATTTACTGAGCATGGCCCTGCCCATCAGAACAAGACTTAGTTTCTGCCTCAGTCAGTCTCTCCCATCAGGAAGCTTCCATAAACCTATTATCCTTCTCCATCAGAGGGCAGACTGAAAACCTTGATCACAGAAAACTAACCAATCTGATCACATGGACCACTCAATGAAACTCAATGAAACTATGAGCTGTGCCATGTAGGGCCAACCAAGACGGACGGGTCATGGTGGAGAGTTCTGACAAAACGTGGTCCACTGGAGAAGGGAATGGCAAACCACTTCAGTATTCTTGTCTTGAGAACCCCATGAACAGTATGAAAAGGCAAAAAGATAGGACACTGAAAGATGAATTCCCCAGGTCAGTCGGTGCCCAATATGCTACTGGAGATCAGTGGAGAAATAACTCCAGAAAGAATGAAGAGACAGAACCAAAGCAAAAACAATACCCAGTTGTGGATGTGACTGGTGATGGAAGCAAGGTCCAATGCTGTAAAGAGCAATATTGTATAGGAACCTGGAATGTTAGGTCCATGAATCAAAGCAAATTGGAAGTGGTCAAACAGGAGTTGGCAAGAGTGAACATCGATATTTTAGGAATCAGCAAACTAAACTGGACTGGAATGGGTGAATTTAACTCAGATAGCCATTATATTTACTACTGTGGGCAAGAATCCCTTAGAAGAAATGGAGTAGCCATCATAGTCAACAAAAGAGTTTGAAATGCAGTACTTGGATGCAATCTCAAAAACAACAGAATGATCTCTGTTTGTTTCCAAAGCAAACCATTCAGTATCATAGTAATCCAAGTCTATGCCCCAACCAATAACACTGAAGAAGCTGAAGTTGAACAGTTCTGTGAAGACGTAAAAGACCTTCTAAAACTAATGCCCAAAAAAGATGTCCTTTTCATTATAGGGGACTGGAATGCAAAAGTAGGAAGTCAAGAAATACCTGGAGTAACAGGCAAATTCGGCCTTGGAGTATAGAATGAAGCAGGTCAAAGACTAACAGAGGTTTGACAAGAGAACACACTGGTCATAGCAAACACCCTCTTCCAACAACACGAGAAGACTCGACACATGAACATCACCAGATGGTCAACACTGAAATCAGACTGATTATATTCTTTGCAGCCAAAATGGAGAAGCTCTATACAGTCAGCAAAAACATGACCAGGAGCTGACTGTGGCTCAGATAATGAACTCCTTATTGCCAAATTCAAACTTAAATTGAAGAAAGTGGGGAAAACCACTTAGACCATTCAGGTATGACCTAAATCAAATTCCTTATGATTATACAGTGGAAGTGAGAAATAGATTCAAGGGATTAGATCTGATAGACAGAGTGCCTGAAGAACTATGGATGGAGGTTCATGACATTGTATAAGAGCAGCGATCAAGGCCATCCCCAAGAAAAAGAAATGCAAAAAGGCAAAATGGTTGTCTGAGGAGGCCTTACAAATAGCAGTGAAGAGAAGAGACGCGAAAGGCAAAGGAGAAAAGGAAAGATACAGAGTTTGAATGCAGAGTTCCAAAGAACAGCAAGGAGAGGTAAGAAAGCCTTCCTCAGTGAACGATCAAAGAAATAGAGGAAAACAATAAAATGGGAAAGACTAGAGATCTCTTCAAGAAAATTAGAGATACCAAGGGAACATTTCATGCAAAGATGGGCTCGATAAAGGACAGAAATGGTATGGACCTAACAGAAGCAGAAGATATAAGAAGAGGTGGCAAAAATACACAGAAGAACTGTACAAAAAAGATCTTCACGACCCAGATAATCATGATGGTGTGATCACTCACCTAGAGCCAGACATCCTGGAATGCGAAGTCAAGTGAGCCTTACAGAGCATCGCTACGAACAAAGCTAGTGGTGGTGATGGAATTCCAGTTGAGCTATTTCAAATCCTAAAAGATGAGGCTGTGAAAGTGCTGCATTCAATATGCCAACAAATTTGGAAAACTCACCAGTGGCCACACGACCAGAAAAGGCCAGTTTCCATTCCAGTCCCAAAGAAAGACAATGCCAAGAATGCTCAAACTACACCACATTGCACTCATCTCACCCGCTAGCAAAGTAATGCTCAAAATTCTCCAAGCCAGGCTTCAGCAGTACATGAACCATGAACTTCCAGATGCTCAAGCTGGATTTAGAAAAGACAGAGGAACCAGTGATCAAATTGCCAACATAGAGATGGGAATACTAGACCACCTGACCTGCCTCCTGAGAAATCTGTATGCAGGTCAAGAAGCAACAGTTAGAACTGGACATGGAACAACAGACTGATTCCAAATAGGAAAAGGAGTATGTCAAGCCTGTATATTGTCACACTGCTTATTTAATTTATATGCAGAGTACATCATGAGAAACGCTGGACTGGATGAAGCACAAGCTGGAATCAAGATTGCTGGGAGAAATATCAATAACCTCAGATATGCAGATGACACCACTCTTATGGCAGAAAGTAAAGAAGAACTAAAGAGCCTCTTGACGAAAGTGAAAGAGGAGAGTGAAAAATTTGGCTTAAAACTCAACATTCAGAAAACTAAGATCATGGCTTCTAGTCCCATCACTTCATGGCAAATAGATGGGAAACAATGGAAACAGTGACAGACTTTATTTTGGGGGGCTCCAAAATCACTGCAGATGGTGACTTCAGCCATGAAATTAAAAGATGCTTGCCCCTTGGAAGAAATGTTGTGACCAACCAAGACAGCATATTAAAAAGCAGAGGCATTACTTTGCCAACACAGGTCCATCTAGTCAAGGCTATGGTTTTTTCAGTAATCATGTATGGATGTGAGAGTTGGACTATAGAGAAATCTGAGTGCCGAAGAATTGATGCTTTTGAACTATGGTGTTGGAGAAGACTCTTGAGAGTCCCTTGGACTGCAAGGAGATCCAACCAGTCCATCCTAAAGGAAATCAGTCCTGAATATTCATTGGAAGGACTGATGCTAAAGCTGAAACTCCAATACTTTGGTCACCTGATGCAAAGAACTGACTCATTTGAAAAGACCCTGATGCTGGGAAATATTGAAGGTTGGAGAAGGGGACGACAGAGGTTGAGATGGTTGGATGGCATCACCAACTCAATGGACATGAGTTTGAGTAAACTCCGGGAGTTGGTGATGAACAGGGAGGCCTGGCATGCTGCAGTCCATGGACTTGCAAAGAGTCAGACATGACTGAATGACTGAACCTAACTGAACTGAATAATTTAGGAGGAGAATGAAGTATTTCAGTACTAAAAGCCAAGACTAAATTTAAAATAAAAAAAAAAGTCAGGATGAAGGGAAACAATAAGGCTGCCTTTCTGGGAGAGTGGCAGAACAACTGGAGCCTGGGGCTTCAGGAAGAAATAATCCGTTCTTCCCTCCTCCTGGTAGAAACTAATTAGAAACCAGCTGTCAAGGGAGAAGCATAATTTGAAAAAGTCTCAACCCTGCCTCTTATAGATAATAGAGAAGATGGGTCTGGAGCTGAGGGATCAAAGGTAAAGAGCAGCACACAAGTTATTGTAGTTTAATGTCAGTTTTTTTGTCCCCAGAATTCTAGTAAGAGTAAAATTTGCTGTCGATTTTATAATAATGTGATAGATACTGCTTAAGTTCATTTCTTTCTTCCAAGAAGTATTAAAATACAAAGTATAAGTACTGCTTATTATTATTATATTTTTACAGTATTATTATATGTGTACATTTTGTGTTTCTTCATTAAACACATTTTTTTCCTAATTATCTTCACTGACTTTCTCCCTACCTGTATCTTACAACTTTGGAATTTTACAAAATTCAGAAAACCCTATTTTCAAGTCATTGGTAAATGATATTGTTCTTGGTGTTTTTAGGACTTTTTTCCCAGATGAAAAAGTTAACAGCTTCCCGTTTGCTACTAAATAATCCATAATTCTTCAATTAAGACATGGGAAGACTTAAACGCTGTCTTAGTCCTTTCAGGCTGCTATAATAAAATACCAAAGATTGAATGGCTTAAGAACAACAGGAATTTATTTCTTACAATTCTGGAGGCCAGAAGTCTGAGATCAGGGTGCAGCATGGTCAAATAAGGGCCCTCTTCTGGGTCACAGACTTCCTCTGTATCTTTATGTGGTCGAAGGGGCTGGGAGTTCTGTGGAGTCTCTTATAAGAATATTAATCGCGTTCATGGAAGCTCTGCCCTCAAGACCTAGGCACCTATCAAAAGCACCCTAATCCCATCACACTGGACGTTAGGTTTTAAAACATGAATTTGAGGTGGGGCTTCCTTGGTGGCTCAGCTGGTAAAGATTCCACCTGCAATGTAGGAGACCTGGGTTCAATCCATGGGTTGGGAAGATCCCCTGGAGAACGGAAAGACTACCCACTCCAGTATTCTGGCCTGGAGAATTCCATGGACTGTATGGTTCCTGGGGTCGCAAAGAGTCGGACACACAACTGAGCGACTTTCACTTTTTTTCCCATTCAGATGGGGTTTCCTAGGTGGCGCTATTGGTAAAGAATCTGCCTGCCAGTGCAGGAGACTTAAGAGATCCCTGGGTAGGTTAGATTCCGGGGTGGGAAAATCCCATGGAGAATCAAATGGCCACCCACTCCAGTATTCTTGCCATTCCGTGGACAGTGGAGCCTGGCAGGCCACAGTCCATGAGATTGCAAAGAGTCGGACACAGCACACACTCACATATTCAGATCA